TCCTTCTGATAGGAGAGTTACCTATCTGGGGCTTGAGCCAAAGCTCCGTGTGTGTGAATGGGCCCCAACAGAGCGGGCAGACAATTTCCTCTGTCTGCCCGTCAGTCAGTCTGATGTCTTTGTCCGCTCTCTCCTCCTCCGGCCACTCTGCTCCAGCTGGTGTCATGTACAGGATGCCATCACTTCCATCTCGAGCAGGCCGCTATTGATCAGCCTCGTGATCTAATCCCCTCGCTGTGCGCTGCTGTCGGACCACTTCGATCTTCCCTCAGTGTGTTACCACAAGCAGCTGCGCACCTCTTGATGTCTATATGAACCTGTCTGCAGCGCAAGCCACCCTACATCTCTCATTTCCTTCCCACATTATGTCCTCAGTCTGTTTGTGTGTGTGTGTGTGTGTGTGACCAACCCTTAAGTTATTGCCCATTCGATCTGCTCTTGCCGTGACCCAGAGAGAGAGCGAGGTGATTTTTCCTCCACCACTGAAGCAGCCTCACTTCCTTCATAAATACTTCAGGTCCTCAGCGTTCAAGGTTTAAAGTGATTCCTTAAAATTAAGTTTCTGAGCTGGGAGTAATCCATCACTGCCATTTACTTCCAGACAGGGTTTTTCTTTACAGGTTTATTAAATTAATACCTTTTCTTTCCGGCTGTTGGGAGAGGTCTGAATGAATTATGATTCCACACAGTATGAGTTAAATCATGCTTTTCAGTCTTTAAGGTAACCGCAGCCACTCTTCCATCTTTTAACGAATGGTCCACAAATGCCCAGTGAAGCCATGTCAGGTGTATCATTAGGTAAATGTTGCTTTTTCTTGGCTCTGCTCCACCTGCAGATGGGGTTTGACATTGTTCCTTGTGGACAAATCTGCACAGGGGAAAGTCTCTGCTAATGACACCATTACCCTCCTCCACCTCTTCATCACCCCAGGTGTTGAGCTCCTAATCTGTTGGCACTGGCTGGTTCTGAGGGAGGCTGCAGAGAGCCGAGTGCACTGGTTTGCCTCTGGGAGAGACACTGACACAGCGTGGCCGAGCTCCAGCCTCCGTGCCGACCTTGGTGAAGGTTGGAGAGGAAGTGTAGCTGTGCCACAGCGGAGGTTCGGCTTCAAAGTGATGCCGCTCATTAGGATCTCCTCTTTTGTTTATCCTGAATGATTTACATTTGATTTTAGGTGTTAATTGCATGGTTTTGGACATTACAGATTACACATGATAATAGTAGAAATTGTAGTCTAAGATGTGAGTGCATGGGGGACATTGCTTTGAAGCAGTCCAGTGGGCCAAGAAACTAGGATCATTAGGGAAGTTGTAAATAATCCCATTTCTTGGAGGTCAAAATAACTAGTTAGCCTGCTGAAATGTCAATGTTACCATAAAGTCAGTAAACAAACTGAAATGACATTTCAGGGACAACATTTCACCAACTTGTGGATCGGGCAGTTTACACTATAATAATTAATAACTTCTTTGATAACTAATTCTTCATTCACATCCCCTATTTTTAGCATTCAAAATATTTTCATATATAACAAAAATATAATTTTTTTGATATATATGAAAATGTTTTATCAGAATCAGAAATACTTTATTAATCCCAGGGGGGAAATTTGTTTGCTACAGTTGCTCATAACACCAAAAATCAGTAAGAAGTACAGATATAAATTCACAATATAAAATAAAAAGAAAATAGTAATAACAAAATAATAAGCATAAGTACCAAGTGATAGCAATAATAAAGTAGTATAAGTAATAAGCTATGTTCAAGCGCAGGTAATTGAAAATATGAACCATATTTACAAATATGAATATACACTGATGGATTAACAGTGTAGATATTGCACGGTTCATGTACAGATAGCACTTTTGATGTATAAATATTGTCCAGTTATTATGAGTCAACACTGAATATTAGAGCATTCTTTGTTTCATTCCAGATTTTTCTTTTTTTAACTAGCGCTGCTTTTATTTTCTGACTAATTAAAAACTGAACAATAAATTCAGAAAAAAATGGTTAGTTTCTGAAGATAACCATTGGGTTAATCTGAGTGTTTATACACCATTTGGACTCTAGAAGTGTTACCACATTCCGACAATCCTAGCAATTAACTTTTTAGATTTTTGTTTTCACAGATGGAAGAATAGTAATCCTTTAACTCAATTGTCATGATTCTCTGTTCTTTCTTTCTATTTCCTCCTTCCTTAACGCCTCTTTCTTCCCGACTGTCTCTCTGTCCGGTTCGTTTCTGGATGAGTCCCAATTCCCTTTTGATCCAGACGGCACCGGTGCTTCGTCTCTCTCAGTATTTGTCTCCTTTAGTCTGAGCTCAACCAAGAGGAGAAGGGAATAAATCTGTTTTCCCTCTTGTCCTCTGACAGACATTGCCTGTGGCTTTCCTCCTGTGGGGGACAGGTGACCAAACATAGCCGCTATATATACAAACACACACTCCTTCTTTCCAGGTCTTGCTTTCTAAGAGTACACCTGAGCACTGGTGAGGATTGAAGGGCAGTTTCTTGGAAGGAAAAGCTCTGTGTGCCTCCTAGAGATTTGTCATTATTTATTGACCATAAATCCCCTGGAATCTCAGTCAGTCACAATCTCTGACTGGAGGAAGTTGAATGGGGGAGCAGGGACGGATTTAAGGCAGGTCTGACAATCATATCTTTAGGCATTATGTACCTGGACAAGTAGAAAGCACATGAGGGACTCTGACACACTCAGACTAATGGGAAATATAAAGCAATAGTAAGAATGTGAAACACAGATTCTGGGATCAGAAAGGGTCTTATAGATCATCCAAATTTATCCCGTGTCCCAACATCCCAATGTACCCTGAAAAAAACCAACCAGACATGCAAGTATTAGAGTATAAAGATTGTCATTGAAAAATGTAATAGGTATCATCACCGAGCAAAGCAAACATTCCTTTCTGCCTTTGAGCGACTGCACCCTGCACGGTGCACCTTTGTCATGCTGTGGGAGCTACGACGTGTGGTCAGCCAGCCAGTCGTCTTACTAGTCAGTTAGTCATTCAGAGCTCACACAGGAGAGCAAGTAAACAGTCACCAACAGGGCTGGACTGGTAATCTGTCATACCGGGCATTTTACCAAATGGGCTGACATAATTTAATCTTTAAAAAAAAAAAAAAAAAAAAGCTATTAACCAGCCCACAGAGCAGTGGCTCATTCATTATTATTTTTTTAATAATGACAGCTGGCTGACCCTATCACGTGTCCTACAGGGCTGGTTTTATCCTGCTATTATCATGAACCGCTCCACACCTGTCGCTCCTCACATCATGAACCAAGTCTGGATGAAGTCAAAAACATCAGAGTCAAAATGATCAGTTGGATATGCAAAAGGGAGAGGATTACGGAAAAGGGTCTAAATAATTTTAAAATCTTTGCAAAGACTCTGCAGTGTCAGCAGCACGGCGTTGTCTGCTACGGCAGGACCCCACTGTCATGCAGCCACAGGTAGAGCGAAGAAGGACGGCGTGACACTGCCAGGCAGAGAGCTGGAGGAGCAGCTGTGTGTCAGAGGCGCAGATAAACATCGTTAGTAGAGGGAGTCTGTAGTGTATTGTTCTAAAAAGTACAGTACTTACCTCTGAGACGTTGTGGAGTAACATAAAGTACCAGAAAATGTGAATCCTAAAGTAAATTACTTCAGTTTAATTTTTTCACAAAAATGAACCTTATTGTATTGAACGGTTGTTTTAAGATTAAATAGCCTACATGTATTTAAATGTATAAATAATTGATTGTACTATCATTTCAAAGGGTGAATACACTTGTTTGCCTATATTTGTCTTGGCACTTACTTCCTTACACTTACTCCTTTGTCATGGTTTGGGGGAATAATAAGTGGCCGTTTTAAAGGGGGTCGTTTTAAACTACTTATGAGCCAAAAATGTCAGGGCCACATTTCCCCCAAAACACATCTCATGAATTGAGATTACAACAAAGGTCATGTATTTGATTCTAGAAGTGGGCACAAATAGTCTAGTGGCTGCTCTGATAAGTATTCAATGCTTCATTGTGCACTTAACATTGAGCTTCAACAGGAGTAAGGTTGCAGAAAATGCTGGAATGAATGCTTTCATGAAGAGATTGGAAAAGGGGCAAATATGAGATGACACCATGAATGCATGAGTATAACTCCACATTATCCATCATCTCAATGACAGCAGAACTGGTATTTATGCCTTGCATTAACAGGGGGCTGTAAATCTATATCAGCCTGCTTGCTCTGGATGTGTATAATTCAAGTGCAGAATAGTGCCCTCTGCTGAAACATATTTAAAAGATTGTTAATTGATAGAAAAGGGAGCAGAGTCAAGGTTATAATGTGCCCATGGGGCCTTCTGGAAAGATGGTGGAGTGAACAGTGAAGCACTTTTCAGGGCTGAAACCTGATCTGCAAAGATCTTTAAATAATTATCAATCCAAGAAGCACACAAAAAGAGAATTGGAGAAAAACAGCATTTCCAGTCATCACACTGAAGTCAACATGTCTAATTGCCTCCTGAGTAGATAAACAATATGCATATTTCATTTTCAAATTTGTAAGCACTGAACTTTTGTTTTACATTTATATCTGGATGTCCATAACTATGGGGAACATAGTATCATTTACTCAGTCATAGACCCTTGCATTTAAACATTTCAGATACTGTTTATCTGGTTTATTCATGGATTTTATTCTTTATTTCTTCATTCCTGATTTATTAGGTTGTCTACATTCATTGTGTTAAATAAAAAAAAGTAAAAAGGTTGAATTGCCTCACAAATTCTGTTTCTTTATGGTTTTTGTGCTTTATTGATTTGACCTTGGCTCTGCCTGTCAGATCCACATTCTGCATCAGTATCATATTAGAGTAACAACACAAGAAACCTTATTAATCCTCTTTGTAACAGCAACGTTTTTACCACCTTTTTATCCCACTCTCTCTCTCCCCCCCTCTCCCCTGCCTCCCCTGCCTCCCCCCATCAGGTCGAACTGGCTGAAACCGTGCTGCGGGCGCCGGGCAGCACTGTGGCAAGTCTGTCTGCTGTCGGCAGGCTTTAACTGTGTCCTGGTGGCCTGTGTCATTCTGGTGGTGGTGCTGCTGACACTGGAGCTGCTCATAGACACCAAGCTGTTGCAGTGTGAGTGTCCTTACTTTATACATTGTTCTTTATTGGTTAATAATAATAAGGATATGGATTTGAGGACATGGTTCTATGGAGGACCATGCATCCAGTGTCCCGTCCAAACTTTCAAAGCAATCTTCGAAAATCAGAAAGGGGACTATGTTACACAAAACTAGCCAATATCGTAGCCAATTATAGTTTTTTTTTAAATATATAAATGGTCAATGGTTTACAGGTTGACCATAAATATTAATCAATATATTTATTTGGAATATAATTCACTACATTCAGATTGTGCAATCGGACATGGGTTGTGTCAACAAAAAATATTTTGTTTAAATGTTGTCCCACAAGTTCAGGGAGAGTGACACAGAAGAGTTTTAATCTATACTATACTGTACTGTACTATACTATACTGTACTGTACTATACTGTACTGTACTGTACTGTACTGTACTATACTGTACTGTACTATACTGTACTGTACTGTACTGTACTGTACTATACTGTACTGTACTATACTGTACTGTACTATTCTGTACTGTACTATACTGTACTGTACTGTACTGTACTATACTGTACTGTACTGTACTGTACTATATACTGTACTGTACTGTACTATACTATACTGTACTGTACTATACTGTACTGTACTGTACTGTACTGTACTATACTGTACTGTACTATACTATACTGTACTGTACTATACTGTACTGTACTGTACTATACTGTACTGTACTGTACTATACTATACTGTACTGTACTATACTGTACTGTACTATTCTATACTGTACTGTACTATACTGTACTGTACTGTACTATGCTATACGATAACTGTGTACATTTTTATTCAGGGCACAAAATGCATGTGAGCATGTGCAGAAGGTCTAACTAGGTGCCAAGTGCTAACACGACCCTATAAGCACACACGGCAGAAAATGTTGCTCCTGAAGTATCCAAATGCTGTCAAGTCTTAAGCATTCCCAAGTGACTAGCTGACCAACATGATGTGGCAGACAAAGGACAAGTAAGACAAATGCATGAAGATGGATTAGCAGACAGAGAAAATGGGGCAATACGGAGTTGGTTGGAGGTTGAATGTAGGGAGGACTGGAGGAAGATGAATGGACTGATAGACACATCACTGAACACAGCAAACAAAGACGAATGGGGGAGAGGTGGTGCATGAAGAAAAATGCCTCAGCTGACAGCCGTGCGCTGTTTGAGAGTGCCCACAATTAGCCTCACAGATGAATGGGGTATATGCATGTGCAGCATGTGGTGAATTCTTACTAACGATGTTGCTTCGTGCCTTTGTCTTTGCATTTATGTTAAGCTAATTTTAACCACGTACACCTTGTCGACTTTATGCATACGATTACAGCTGTTACAAACATACTTAAGAATTCAACTAATGCTTCAACCTTACGTTTCAAAATCTGGTCTTTCTTTTTAAATCCAACAGTTAATAACGCTTTCCAGTTTGCAAGCATCATCCACTGGATCAGCCTGGCCATTCTCTCTGTGTTCTTCACCGAGGTGAGTCTACATTATTCCCCCGGTCTCACCTACAACTGAGGCAGCGGCTTGTCCATTAGCAGGATGTGGAGCCACAGAAGTACTTTCTCAGATCCTCATTAGAATACTAACAACCCCATGAAACGCCCCATGCCCGCTGTCACCGCTATAGTTTCCGACCTGATGAGGAGAGGGCAACTTGTGTACAGCTCCATTACAGCGTGTACTTAGTGACAACCGAATCACACAACAAATATCTACATCAGTATTCAGATTAAAACCAAACAAATAAACAAAAAACCTGCCATTAGAGCTGGCGCAGTCACTCCCTCAGTGTTTTTCCATTGATTCGCAGCACAAACGCTTTAAAATGCAGATGGAGCCTTTCTGTGTTGCTAGTTTTAAATAATTTCAAGGCTGCAGGTGTGCTCTATTGATTACCATTTTCTTTCCAGCAAGCCCCATTTGTCTTAGTTCCCCACACCAGACCACCCCCACTGCTAACTTTTGTGTAGCTGGAGTGTTGCTTATCAATAAAAGCCAGCCCTCGGGGATACATGGGTACAGAAGAAACAGCAGGGAGGTTTGTTTTTGCTCAGGTGCAACCTTGAATACTCGAAATGAGGATGGGGGCTAGGGGATGGATGCAGCAGAGGGACAAAGGGAGAGTGGTTCGCCCTCTACAGCCCCTGCTGAGTCAGCACAAACAGCCACTTGCTGTATCTCTAATTGTTTGGATGAAATCCTTTCCCACCACCTGTGATGAGTAGGAATATGACGTCAGTGATGAAGTAGCTTTGGACGTGTGAAAGTAATCTGAATGGTAGCTGCAAATGTCATCTACCGCTGCAACCCCCAAGTTTATAATTGGGAAATAATACACAAAGATCTCGACTGTCATTGTTATATTTAATCTGAAGCTTGTGTGTAATGTGCTCTTTGTCCCTCTGTCTGTCTCAGACGGTGTTCAGGATCGTCGTATTGGGGATATGGGATTACATAGAGAACAAAGTAGAGGTAAGCTCCCATGGGTCCTGTTAGTTCTGTTACTCTGGGCCCCTCTCACTGCAGTGTCATTCCTTCAATGTCAAACCACAGTGGAAGCTGCTACAGACAAACAGTAACCGTGTGCGCTTGTGTGTGCGCTTGTGTGTGTGCTTGTGTGTGCGCTTTTCTCAGGTGTTTGATGGAGCTGTCATCGTCCTTTCTCTGGCCCCCATGGTGGCCTCCACAGTGGCCAATGGCCCCAGTAGCCCCTGGGACGCTATCGGTCTCATCATCACACTGCGCATCTGGAGAGTCAAGAGGATCATTGACGGTGAGGCTGGGAGGAGCCTACACCCTCTGTGTCCTTTACTGTCAGGTCACAGAGATAGATACTGCAGTGTGCTCTCTGTGGTATCGTCAACATTTAATCTTGAGGTTGTTTGTTTGATTTGTTGTTTTTTAAATATTTGAACCAGAAAGGGAGGAAGGGCTTCATCTGTTATAAGTAAACCTGTGGTGGAAAGCTCATTCAACAGCTGCAGACATGCATTTATTTGATCATAGAGGTGCATGCAGAGCATTTTTGTGATGTAAAGAATACCTTTTTTTTTTTTTCAATAAAGTTGCTGCCCCTTGTGGTAATTAAGTACAAAATGTGCATTGCACACATCAACACAATAATAAGACCTCAAATTCACGAGTTAAACCATTTAAATTCGTCCATTTTCTGAAACAAAAATTCAGCATATCGGTGGTTGTTTTTAATAGAAAGTGCTTAAAATAAAGATCTTTTTTGGGGAGACGAAATGATGATGCAATATATATTTTGTCTGGCACAATAATAAGTGTTTTGTTTGTTGGAAGAACCAACACTAATATGCTCTTTTGTTTTAGCCTTTGTGATGCAAGTGAAAGTGGAGATGGAGCTTGAGATCCAGCAGTATGAGAAGGCCAAAGCAGTGAGGGAGGAGCAGCTTGACCGTCTCACCCAGATCTGCCAGGAACAAGCAGTATGTCCTCTTATCTGTCTTACATCTCTTGAGGACTTACTGTCTCACAGCTAATAGCTGCAGCATTTAACCAGAGGAGGGCAGCAAAGTGCAGTGCAAGAGACAAATTCAATCTCAAAACCTGCCAAGAGGATTGATCTCTCTCATATAATGGCTTAATAATATATCTGCAGATGTCTTGAGGATATCAAGTAGTCAGCACTGTGTTTTATCTTTAAGCAGACTATGAATTACATGACAATTGAGTAATGTTCTATGTTCGATTTGTGTTTTTAAATGAAGGGAATGAGTGCATTTATTTAGCCTCGACTACAATCCCTCAAAGTACTCTGCTGACTCCTATTGGTCCATATATCAAAATCTTGTTACAGCTATTTTTCTATTATTATCAAATAACATTAACACCACTATTAACATCTTCAGTGTAACTGTAATTGAATCTACTGAGTTCTTGTGAGAGTGTTTGCTGTTTGTCTGATTATATCTTTATAAGCACACAATACTGAAGAAGAAGTGAAAATGAACTGTGATACAAGCTGTGTGTTTAAACTGGGATCTTTACTTTCAATGACAAAATAGTGTTTTCTCCAGGTCTCATATTTATCCCTCTCTCTTTTTAGTTTGAAATCAGGCAGCTGAGAGCCCACCTGGCCCAGCAGGACCTAGATCTCGTAGCAGAACGTGAAGCAGCCATGCAGATCCACCATATGTGGGGTAAACAGAGCAGCAGTTTCCAGGAGGTGGACGGACTGGCCCCGGGGACCTCTGAGCCTCACGGGTCGAATAAAGCCAGAGAGCCCAGGGGGCCTGCAGGTAAATCATCTGGAACACCAAGCTTCTTTTTGTATGGCAGGTGATCCAAGACCTCTGTGCGTCAAAGCTGTGGATATGGATGGTTACGTGCTAAAATGTCCTGAGAGACATGAGCCTTTCTAGACTTGAAATGACCACAATGTTGGTGACACTGGATTATATAAGCAGGTTTAAGATTACAATTTTGGGTGCTTGTCAGGCAGTACAAATCAGAAATCCTCAGAATGAACACAATGGTACCTCAAAAAAACGTGTAACACATGCAGACGCGTTTAGGTATTTGGTCACCGTATCACTTTAAACTCTTAACACTTAACACAGACAGTGAACAACCTGAAGCTCCATGCTAGAGGCCAGGGCAGTGTGTTTAAACTGGACACACACATCTCACACGTACACATAGGTAGCCTCCTCTTTTCAAAAATATACGTCTCACAATCCACATAAAAATTCTGTTGCCACACCTAGATGGATGTTAAACCTCTCACACAGTGACAGGTCATAACTTACCCAGCTCAAAGCAACAAAGCACTTTCAGTGCAGGTGATGTCAGGGCTTAAAAAAACATAGGGGCTTTTTTCTTTATCAAAGCTATAAATCACAGTGTTTCTTGTCAGGCATCCTTTTAACTGGGGCTGCTCTTCATGTCATATTGATCATCCGGAGCCGGTCCCCCTCAGAGATAGGGCTGAACCTTGAGCAGCTCCTCTTAGGACTCTTGTAAAATACATTTGTGAAGCACAAACATAAATGAATATAAGCCTGACAGTCCTGCGGTACCTTGGTTGTTAAAATAAACAGTTGGACTGATTTAGGTTTCTCATTGAGATAGTTCTTACACAATCTGTAGATTGAACCACACCATTTGAGTGATAAGTTGTTTAACCGGTATGTTATAGGTATTTTTAGTAGGCTGGATTATTGTAACAGCGTCCTCACAGGTATCAGCAAAAAAAATCTATGAGACAGAAAGTCCAAAATGCTGCCGCCAGAGTGCTCACTAACACCAGGAAGATGGAGCACATTACACCAGTTCCTAAAACGCTGCACTGGCTCCCCCTGTGTCCCAAGGGCAGATTTTAAAATCCTGTGACTTGTTTTTAAATCACTTCACTGTCTCGGCCCCTGAATACCTCTCAGACCTAATCACACCGTATGAGGCACCCGGACCCCTCATGGTCATCTGGGGCAGGCCTCCTCAGTGTGCCCAGAATAAGAACAAAGCAGGCTGAGGCAGCTTTTGGTTTTCATGCCCCCCCGCCTCTCTGGAACAAACTGCCAGAGTATCTGAAGTGTGCTAGAACAGGTGAAGCATTTAAATCAGAGCTCAAACACTTCTGTTGAATGTGACATTTCAGTAAACCACCATGTCTGTTATTAGAGACATTTTACCTGCTTCACTTTGCTTTTGTTTTACTTACAGGTCTTTTTAGTAGAAAGTTTTTTTTTTTAGCAACAACTGTTTACTGTGTTCTTTTAATCAATTACTATTTATTAAATTTATTTGTATCTAAATCATATTTTTATCTACTGTTTTGACCTCAACTTTTATTGCCTTCTAGATTTGTTTTATTATTATCTTGTGAAATGTTTGAAATCCTTTTTGTGCCTGTGAAGCACTTTGAATTGTCTGAAAGGTGATTTGTAAATAAACCTGCCCTGCTCTGGTGGTATTGAGGGGTTACTACTCTATTGGAAGATACTCAAGTCTAAGTATTGACAAAAAATGTTGTAACTAAAAGTAGCCAATTTTCATTCACTACTATAATTATAACTAGGTTTTTGAGGAAACAATGAGAATTCATAGTGGTTTCACTTTTATCGTGTCATACATAAAAAACTATTGAGCGGCCTTTTCTTTCTCTACAGATCATCATGGTCAAGATGACATGAACAACTACATCAGCCAGTACTACAGTGAACCTAGCAGTGGTGAGCAACAAGTATTTACTGTTTTTTTGTACACATAAGTAGCACCACAGTGTTTACAGACCCGGTGCTTTATGTGTCCTTGGTCTTGTAGATATGGGGATCCCAGACCCAGCACGCGTCATCACCACAGCAGCCATAGATGTGCACCTGCCGAACAACCCCAGCCAGCTCCCCCCTTCTTTGGTGAGTGCCGATGCAGTGATATCCGGCCGTCTGCAGCGGACCGGCAGCTCAGTCAGTGAAGCCTCCACCACCACAGTGTCCCGCACAAGCTTCAGCGGCAGGCAGCACAGCATCAGCAGCCACACGCTGGGCTCCACCTCGGACTGCAGCTCCACGGTGCGGGAGGCCTCCACCTCCACGGATTACAGCGACCAACGCTGCTATCCTCCACCTTACAGCAGCCCTCTAGCCCTGGGGACTCAGCCACGAGGGAGTCCCAGCGCCGTGGTGCAGGAGCTGCTCTCCTCTTTGTCCGAGGACTCCTGTCTGACGCAGAAGGGACTGGACCCGGTTAACCTGAAACCGCCGAGCCCAGCAGGTTCCACCAAGACTAGCCCTGAGCTGGAGCACAGGCTCAACCTCTACAACAAGAGGAACCAGGAGAGCAGAGTCGGGCTGCACTCCAAGCCTCTGATTCATCTGCAGAGCAACGAGCCTCTTCTGCAGGAGAAGTACAGAATGATGGAGCCGGTGGACGCTCCAGTCAGCCGTATGTCAGAGACATAAGACTCGGCCCAAAACGGGGAACTACACTGGACTCTCTTAAGATCAACCACAAAAAATTGACGCTCTAATAAACTCTGGTGTTGGTTGTAGTCCCAGGCACATAAACAGCATGTCCTCTTTGTACTGACGGGACGGAGGGGATGAACCTTTCATAGCAGCACAAAAATAAAAGGAGATGGAAAACTGGAGGAGGCAGACTTATCAGGCATCACTTATCAGGAATCAACTTTCACAAAAATACTTTTGTGTTTTATGAAAAATTTTACCAATAGAAACCAGCAAAAAGGGCTCAGGCCTGTCGTTTTCAGACTAAAGGTCTTTGCAGAAACAATCTGGCTTTTGGTTACGTTGTGGATTGATTTCTAGCAAGAGATGCTGGACTGATCAGATGATATTACTGAAGGGCAAGGAACGGTGTATGACTTGCAGATCTAAGTACATGTATATCTGCCGCTGTAGAGGTCAGTGTAGTGTCTCCAAACACACAAAGAACAGTCCTCTTCGACTGGACAGCAGCAGGGTACGTTGGATCACATGTTCTTTCTATCTTTGTCTTTCTATATTTAGCAATGTTAACATTTTTATTGAAAATTCTATGAATGGAAACCTTCAAACTTGTCACTGGTGGATGATTCAAGTAATTCAGAGTTTTTATCTTGGTGCAATGACGTAAATCAGTGCTTAATGAGGTTTTTGCAAATACAGCATGTCCTTCTCACGTCTATTTAATTGGAAGCTACCTGCACACGGTAGTTTTGATATCATTCAGGTCTAAAATGTTACCTGTTTATTTTAATGTTTGGATGCTGTGTAAACAATTCAGGATGGGTTTGATCCATCACATCGCAGCCGTCAAATACCGAGGGACAAGAAAATGTCAAAGAAAATTTAAGCATGAACCTTCCTCTTTAAAAAAAAAAAAAAACTATTGTACTGTCAGCAGGCTTTTTCTATCTTGATCATGGGAAGAACGTATTGCAAAATGGATCCAATAAAAAAAATAGAAAAAGATAAGTTATGAGTTGTCAATTTAATACACTATTATCCAAGAGCATTTCAACAAGTACAAACCCTCTAGATAAATAGGATCTACAACTCACAGTTAGAGGTTAAGAGACAAGCCAAGCATTACCAAAGATGTCCTTTACTGCACAAGAAAAATAGTTTACAACCTGTGCTACTGCAGGCAGAAAATACCTTGTGGCATGTATGTATATCTAATTTGAGAAATTTTCCAGTCAAACTCAAGATTTTAACAATTATTACTGCATGAAAACAAGGTACATGAAAGTCCACAGCTTTAGAAAGGTGTTAAGGCATTTGCTGTGGTATCCTATGGGCGATCTCTGATTCTTCTCTCTGTTGGATTACGTCCTGAAGTATGGTGGTACTTTTTTCTCCTCACTTGTTCAGTTTCTCAGTCATCTCAGGAACGGCCTGAAGAAGAGAGAGCAGAAAGTTAAATGTAAAAAAAAAAAACGACGACATTTGCAGTCACAAAATCTAACATTTTCAAAATGCTGGCGATGTAGTTTCAAAGAGGCCAAATACAAGAGTGTCATGTGGTGAATATGATAACAAAATTAATGTATTGGCCCCTCCTCCTCATTAGTCCGAGAACTTCAGAACAGAATGATCATTCACTGGCCAGGTTGGTCCAAGGTATCAACTGTCCATTTGAGGAAAATACAGAAAGCCCATCCATTTTAATCAGCCACCTGAGCACTGAAGACATGTAAGGTGATCTCACCCAGCAGGTCACAACTCTGCTGCCACTGGCTAGATTACTAACCACTTGAACAGAGTTTGTCAAGACACCTGGCGCTGTCATCAAAGAGTTGCTCGTAGTGACGACATTTGAAGAAAATCCTCAGAATCATAAACCTTTTATAAGATTTCCCTTTTAAGTTAAGACTAGATCCCTGTTAAAATAAAAGTTCATCACAAATCATCTGAGCCGTTAAAAGAGCCCCTATATCGATATTTAGATTAAGTACTTAAATGATGAATTTGATTGATTATTGCTGTAAATAAACATAAAAAAATAAATATAACGATGCACACACAGAACAAAAAGAACACAGAGGGGAGTCTTGATTGTTTAAATGCAGACATCTCAGTTAATCTTGGATTTTTTTTTAGCGCAAAGTGAGACGTGTATGGTGAGTTCCTCTAAATGTGGTTTACTCCACAGGTGTCTTCTGATTTAACCATCAGCATCTGAAAAGGCTACTGTGTAAGTGGACATGGGTTTTTAAATATTTTTTAGGCTATGTACTTTTAAAGTACGGCTTACAATTTATTCAACATAGCTTTAATGATTATATAATGTCTAGATTTTATGTTTAAGCCGACTGATTTCCCTCTCTTTCTATGTATAAACGAGAAAACACCACAAGATAAAAGTTCCTGTTCCTAAGCTAAGACTCCCTGCTATAATGTTTAAGCTAAGTGAAGAGCCCTCTGAGAGGACAACCAACAGGACACACGAGAAAATACAACCTACTAGCCTTTCACAAGCAGCACTGGAGTCCTCCGTTGGATGTGCCAACACTCTTGGCTCACTATCCCCGGCTACCAGCTCGATACAAGAAAGTAACTAGGCGTGTAAAAGGCCTGGCAAGATGACGCTCAACAGAAAAGTGAAGCCACCTTTAAGTGATATTGATCACTTCTTTATCGGTTCAGATGCTGATGCGTTCCTTTTTTGTGTTCAGCCCCCCCACACCTGATTAATTTAAAGACCTTAATAATTTAACAGTTGCTCATTCCCATTAGTTTGAATAAGGCATCATAGAAAAATGTAACAATCAGAGAACAAATGTTTTTCTGACAGTCAGTCTGGAATCTAAGCTCTGTCAAGATACGATGGTGTCTAGGAAAACAGACACGCCTGCTGTTTTAGCCTCACTGTTTTCTGATATAAGATCCTTTCACACTAGTGTAGCAATTACAATCCCAGAAGTTTACCTTGAAAAGATCTGCCACTAAGCCATAGTCAGCCACCTGGAAGATTGGAGCTTCTGGGTCCTTGTTGATAGCAACAATAGTCTGGGTAAAAACAGAGCAATATTTTAAAACAACGACAATTACCTTTTAAATTACTATTAACTCTAGACTGGCACTTTTTTAGGAAGTTAACAAAACACACATATCCAAAATCCTTGCAAACAGAATTCTGTGTGTGAATACCGTGTACTCGTGGTGTGTGAGATGAGAGTGGTGTTTATGCACACACTGGCATTAAAACTGCAAATTTCATTTCATGCGTTACTTATTACTTTGAAGCAAAGCAACAACTATTTGTTTCTTTTATTTTGCCAAATGTCTGTGAACAAACTCAAAAGAGATACAGCACATTCCATCGAGTCCACAAACCCACTCAGACATTTTCTTTTGTTTAATATACGTAGTGAAAGTGTTTGCACCTTGCTGTCCTTCATCCCTGCCAGGTGTTGAATAGCGCCTGAGATCCCGACAGCAATGTACAACTCCTGTGGACAGAGAAGACAACATGGAAAGTGTTAGTTGCTTGCAGACATCACGTGTAATCTCAGGCCTTTTTGGAAAAGATACTGTACAGCCACTGGACTTCTGTACAGCAGAATTGACTCATGGTATAATGACCATGGCTGTGTAAACTTTCAGAGGGTGCTGGGGAAAGGGTGCAAGGGGTCAGTGGCCTCAAACTCCTGCTGGAAAAACCAACACTGCCTCTCAACTTAATGCACTGCAGTTTGACTTTTTCAGTGCTTATTAAATGTTTCAGCTGAAGTCTCAGAGTGCAGAACATCAATTTGTAAAACACAATAGTTTCTCAACATAGAAGAAAATACATAAGGCAGCTTTTACACTAAACCGACTATAAAAAAAGAATCTGCAGATCTAAAAATGACCAGTTTAATAATAGTAATAATACATTAAAATGTATATAGCTCTTTTTAGAACACTCAAGGACACTTAACAAAACAAAACAGTGAAAAGAACACAAATCTTTTTCTATTCCCAAAAGATTCTGAAAGCAACTCATTTGTGGCCTTTACATTAGGTAAACGACTGTGTAGCATCTTCACACATTTTTTGATTATTTGTATATAGATAAGGCAACAAAAAAAATGATACTGACAGATTGACAGCCCTTGATACATGTAGATAAAATGTGAAGCTTTTATTTCACTGTATAAACTATACTCAACCAAATTCAACAAGCTTGTCAAATATTTCGAAAATCTAATTTTTGACAGTCTGGCCTGGCCTGCGGCTCTAACCAGACATCCACTGCACTCTGCTTTAATGGATCCGCTAAATCATTTAGGGCCCTTAATGTGCAACCCAGTCCATTTTTGCAGAGCCTAATGTGTGGCTAATCACAGCTGGGTCAACCAGGCGGAAAGGCATAATGGGAAGTTAACCTTTTTAAAAAGCTAGAGCAGCCACTCTGATCATAGGCATGCTGTGTTACAGGAAACAGGCATTCGTCAAAAACAACAGATTTGTTCACTCATGTTAAAAGGCAGGGAACGTTTAACCTCACTTTAAATATGTTTCTGAATGTACGTGTTTACATTATGCAATCTAAGAATGATCCATTGATTATTTTCTTGATCTGTTTTACAAGTTGAAATAATTCCCAGTGATCACTTTGGTTGAGGAATAACTTACTGGAGCAACAATTTTTCCTGTTTGTCCAACCTGCATGTCATTCGGGACATACCCAGCATCCACCGCAGCTCTGGATGCACCAACTGAAAGAGAAGAAATTGCATTTTGAACTCAGCCTTTTAAAAAATTAAAGTGCTCCGGTAATGTAAAGCCCAAATGATTATCCAATCCTACCTGCTGCGTTCATTTTGTCTGCAAGGTCATAAAGCAGCTTGAAGTTATCTCCACTCTTCAAGCCCCTTCCTAAGAAAAGAATATACCATCGTGTTAAAGCACAAACACAGCTAAGTCCTCTAAAAACCCCTTACCAACTAAACCGGATGATATTAAAGATGTATTCTAACACTTCCAATGATAAAATAATGAATCCAACCTCTAGTTCAGACATGCTTTAAAAACAACACTGAAAGAGACTTTGTTCAAAAAAACTAAATGCTTTAGTAATTTATCCTTTAAAAAACACAAAAATGATCTCCCACCTCCTGACACCACAACCTTAGCGCCGGTCAGCTCTGGACGGTCGCTCTTTGTTAGACTTTGTCCGAGCCACTCAGACAATCCAGTGGCAGCAGAAGCAGCAACTGCAGACGGTAAATTAAAAGAGGAAATGGTTTCCAAAAATCAATTTCTAATGACAACAAATAACATTTACAGATAAACAATCATCAAAGTGGGTAATCCACAACTTTAAAAAAAGCTAAAAGAATACTTTAGTCCATAAAATCACAATATATGATTTACATATTGTATATTTTAGCATCATAGTGTAGGTTAGTGTGTACTGAGTCAGAGCCCTCAGAATGAATCTATAAGCCACTGAACCTTCTTCTGATGAAGCATCTCCTCCCTCTGTTGAAGCTGCCTCAAATGACGTCCCTCTCACAGTGAAAACTTTGATGGGCTCGTTACATTTCACCGTGCTGAGAGCATTTCCTAAAATGAAAGGTGTTATTATCAACATAAATTAATAAAACAGAACAAAACACAAAGATATCATCAATTCAAAATGTCAAAACCAAATCCAACTGAAAATATTGAGTTGTCTTTTGAGGTGCATCTTTGCCGTACTAAGGCTGCTCATAACCCGGCTAACACTTCTCCTGAAACACACCAATACTGTATGATTTAATAATGAATGAAAAGTACAAAAAAAATACTTTTTTTTTTATGACCAAATTATAAGATCTTACCAGCATATATGGTTCTGACAAAGGTATCTGGAGACTTGATCTCGATAATATCTGAAACCGGAGCGACATCCAACTTAGCGGCCACTCTTGGGAGCAGATTCTGCAGAGGAAGATGGTGAGTAAATAATAAATGATGGACTGAACATACAAAAACAATTAAGGAGAAAGATGTGCTAAAGTTGAATAGCCAAAAGAGACTAATCTTCAAAAGACAAGTGGATTATAATTTCCAAATCTATAGGTGTAAACAACACAAGAACTGTTTTTTTTTGTCTAATGCTAACCTTTCCAAAAGCAGATGCTCCAGCACAGATGTGGGTGTAATTGAATTGCTTCTGTGTTGCCAGGATAAGTGGAGTCAACTCCTCTGAAGAGACGAAGAAGCACAATCAGGGACACAATCAGGTTGGTCTAGGAGTGCCCACTGACTGCAGCTGTGCCAGTTATAGCAAGGTTACATACATTAGGGATGTGATTGGTAAAAGGACAAAAATGCTAGCGTACTCTATTATTGGGAAACACCTGAATTGATCATTTAAGTCTTGTGGATCCATTTTCCAGGTAAAAAACAATCCAGAATTCCAGATAAATATGGAAGAATCACATAGCTGACACACATATGAGCAGATAAAACACAAAACATTCAACACTCCCTCAGCAACTCCGACAAACTGATACATGTAAGTCAAGCATAATATCCAAATGTGATCATGTGGGACCTTGCACTTTCTTTTAAAAAGGTAGGTGATATTCTGAAAAATACTGTGTCCAGTCATGTATTTGGTTCGTGGCTGAAGATTAAATAAATAATAGGCGTTGAGTGAATAGGCGTTCTTCTTGTCACATACCTGGTAGGTAACCTTTATAAGAGTCATGTTGGGCAACCAGAACTTTCTTCACACCGTGGACTTTGCTGATTTGTTCCACAACCTGCGGAGACATAAAGCTTTTTAATAACCTGATTTTTTTGTTGACATATCTGTTATTTCTGTTTGTTAATATAAAAAAAAAACACTTATCCATATTCGTCATACAGTACATTTGTTTTTCTTTTTAAGCTGTTTGGCATTTAAAGGTTTACCTACCTTTGCACAGTCCGTTCCAGCAACCAGACAAGTCACCTCTCCTCCCAGCTTATTGGCAGCAGTAATGGCATTGAGAGTGATAGGAGTTAGCTTTCCATTGTTGTGCTCTGCAACCACCAAGGTGCTCTGAAACCTCTGAAGGAGACCAGTCTGTTGGAGAAAAAGGTCAACATCTTAACATTTGATGAACTGTGCTCGCTGTTAATCGAAAGACCTGGATGTGCTACTTTACAAACAGCCTGTCGTATTTCAGATATATTATAGACACTACATAGCAACCAAGGACGTTCAATAAATTAAAATGGAGAAGACAAAAGCCGGGCACTATTTACTACTGAAAACACATTTTCCAAAATTTCCCTAAAACATTTAGGAGCAGTGAAAGATTAAGAATACTAAATAATTACTACATTTATTAGCTGTTATTGCTGCTATTACCGCAGGAATTCATTTGCACTTTTCTACGCAGTGGTCTGCTGGGGAGGAGGGAGCACAGAGAGAGACTGAACAGACTGGTCAGGAGGGCCAGTTCTGTCCTGGACTGTCCTCTGGACTCTGTAGAGGAGGTGGGTGAGAGGAGGATGTTAGTGAAGCTGACATCCATCATGGACAACCCCTCTCACCCCCTGCATGACACTGTGGGGAGCCCCTGAGCAGCTCCTTCAGCAGCAGACTGAGACACCCACCCTGCAAGACGGAGCGCTACCGCAGGTCGTTCATCCCATCTGAAGTCAGACTGTTTGATCGGACTCTTTAACAGCATCACCACTCATATCAATACTGCTACACACTGTGTGTGTGTGTTTCATTTTAATAACAATGACTCTTCCTGGGCGCTGGTGGTGCAGTGGTTAGTGCGCGCGCCCCATGTATGGAGGCTGTCGTCTGAAGCGGGCGGCCCGGGTTCACATCCCACCTGTGGCTTCTTTCCTGCATATCATTCCCCACTCTCTCTCTCTCTCCCTGATTTCTGACTCTATCCACTGTCCTACCTCTCCATTAAAGGCACAAAAAGCCCAAAAAATAAATCTAAAAAAATTTAATAAAATTAAAAAAAAAAAACTCTTTCCACAAGTGGAAGTGTAAATACATTGTATTATTCTATTATTGTATTTTTTCACCCTTTATTTAACGGATGTAAATATGTTTGATTTTTAACTTCTTGTTATTTTTAATAATTATATTCCTGTCTCCTGTTTTCTAGAGCTGCTGTAACACAAAAATTGGGATCAATAAAGTTTATCTTTATCTTTAATAGTTGAATAACTATTTGTGAATAAAGATTTGGGGAAACTAATGGTTCACTTTTGCATAGTAAACAATCTGTGAAAGTATTGGAACCAGCTCCCTCTGGACACTATAAAGGTTAATAAAGGTCATTCACATGAAGTCAAAAGACACTTTAAATCAAAAAATACAGTATGGTGTGTTATGCATATGTTATCACCCATTGCTGTATGTCTAAACATCTACATTAACATAAAAGCTTTAGGTAACACCTGCAGTCAATGACAAAGGTTCAGTTTCGTAACAGCTGTTTTTCAAAGTTTCATAACCATTGAGCTACCTGTGCTAACAACAGATAGGACCACCTTGCAAAAAGTAAACACGTTTTGCTGCTTTATCTTCTATGCATCTATATTATCTGTTAGAACAGGACAACTAACCTGTCACAATAAATTCAGCATTTAGAAACATGGCTTTCCAGATGACCACGACTTGTTTAAGACATGACTAAATTAGCTCGCAGGCTAACAGCTGCTACAAGACAACAAGTACGCTGACTACGTGTTACGTTTTCACTGTCTGCCGTAAAACTTCAATACAAAGCCTGCATATGCTTCTACGTTACAACTGTCTACAGTCTTACCAGTTGTTTCAGGCTCGTCTTGTTCAAAGCTCTGTTCATCTTGGACCTCGCTTGCTTGCTGCCTCTCACTGCTGCAGAGACAAAACTGTGCCAAAGGTCCTCTGACGTTTGTGACAAATTCTCGCGAGATTTGGCCGATCCACAACGAAAACTTCCGGTGATATCGCCCCCTCCCTTCAAGATAGTATAAAGTAAGATAATGCTCTCACTGGCATTTAAATGTCTTTCACGAGAACAACAAGGCATTATTTTTGGGGTTTTTTTTGCAAAAAAAATATTAAAACACTTAACACTTGTTCAAAAAACGTAGATAATAATAAGGCAAATATCTGACTTGATACATTATTATATCAGGATGAGTGTGTTTGTGTTTCAGGGGATTGTTTACTGCATAATCCTGAGCAATAATTTGCATTTCATACATTATATGAGACCACAAAGTATGAATATGCCTGTTATTCTCTGATTAATCAATTCAAACAATGTAAATGTTTGATTTAATACCACCCAGAAATAAAAGCTTATAAACTCATAAAGTCACATAATACTTTAAATTTGTGTGATTCTCTAAATTAATCATTTAGGGCCCTCTTTCCTTTTACATGATTGCCCACAATTGGTTGTTTCATGCAAAGGAAATTTTAAGTTATTCATAAAATAATTTTAATTAACAGTAGCCTTATATCAATGCATTTATTTATTCAGATGCTCGTAACGAATACATTAAAATAGCCATTTGGATTCATGAAATATCCATACACAACGAACAAATTGATATCTATACTACTTCTAAATATTGCAGTGGGATGAGCTCTCTGTTGTCCAAGGTCCACAAAAGAATATTCCTCCAGTAGAGGGCCCTCTCCAGTAGGGTGAGACCACTGCTGAACTATTGCAGACACATACATACATACATGCAACAACAACAAAAAAAGGAGATTTACATTTTTTTTTTTTTTTTACCATTGATAAACAATCAAGCCAACAAATCATAAAAAATTAGTAATAAAAAAATAATAATCGTAAAAACGTTGAAAGCATATCATTTTCATCATTTTTAAAAGTAACAAAATAAAAGAACATGATGTGAAAGTATTCACAAATTGTCCTGTTTATTAAAATAAATCCAGAACCAGTGTGTTGTAACGAACCCATCAATAGTCTGAATCTCAGCTCAAAACTTTAAAACACAAATATTGAAATTGATAAGTTTGCCACGAAAAAACACACATGAGAACCCAAATATCAAGTGACAGTACTACAAAAAAAACAAAAACAGTTCAACTGAATAAAACTGAATACCTCACAATGTGTCCTTTCAATTGTATTGTCAGTCATCATTTGCTTTAACTTATGACAGAGACAGGCGGAAAGCACACAAAAAAGATAAAAAAATAAAATAAAAAAAACTCCCTAAGCTGATCCAGGGAGCAAAAAGAAAAAAAAAAGAAAGAGCAGGGGTCCAGGAGGAGATTTGCATGGCACCCTCTCTTAATGGACCCACAGAGGTCCCGGTTTGCAGACGTCACTGGTCGAGAGGATCTTTGTTTTCTCTCCACCTCTCGGTGGAGGAAGTTTATCACCCAGTCTGGGACGGGACGGTCTCCTCTGCCGCTCCTCTCCTCCGTCTATCACTTTGTCTGCGCTCATTCTCCTGTATGGTGGATATTCTGCTCAATACGTCTTTCTTGGATGATATGGGGGATCATTCCAAAAGTAAGTTATTTCTACATCCCATCATTTAGGGAAACTCTGGTGGTTTATTCTCACTTTGCAATCTCAGGTTTATATTCTGCACGGCATAGTTTGAATTTGACGATTTGTTGCAGATACATTTCGACTAATTTTGAAAACTGCAAAAAGAAAAATATCTGTACCGACGAAGACTTTCTGTAATATTTTTGTAAATCCTTATATAAACTTATAAAACCTATATGGTAACTTTTATCATAACGTGCGTTTCAAATTGACCCTGCTCTATAGGTATTGTAATATTTTTTAGCTCCCGTGGCCTCATAATAGTTCTTTTTTTTTTGGAGAGATCTGCATGTTTGTTGTGATCTAACATTTTCTCTCCTTAAGGTGAAGGGGTGAAAGGGCTTTAACAGGGATGTCATGGGGATTAAAAGAGCGCGCTTTCACTGTTGCATTAATACATCCCCCCCCCCTTCACACGCATACAGAGAAGTCGGGAATCGCGATGTGTGTGGGCTGTGGAAGTCAGATACACGACCAGTACATCCTGAGAGTTTCCCCGGACCTGGAGTGGCATGCAGCCTGCCTCAAGTGTGCAGAGTGCAGCCAGTACCTAGACGAGACCTGCACATGCTACGTCCGGGACGGGAAAACTTACTGTAAAAGAGATTATGCAAGGTTGGAGTTCTTTCTTAATACATTTCTATTTCAGAGGCCATGTGCTGTAAATGTGGAACGAACGTTGTGGATTAAAAAAAAAAGGGGGTTATTTAGAAGAGGATAAATAATATTCCCACTTTTAGGGGCAATGTGAATGAAAATGAAATGGTGCAAAAGTGTCAGGAACTGAATCAGAATGAGCCTAGGCTACTTTTTGGGTGAATTCAGTTTTATTTATTTCATATTCCATTCTATCTTTTCCATTGTGACCATTATTTCACAATCATCGCAGCTTTTGTTGTGTTTGTTTGGATTGCAACAAAGAGACAAACTTAGTTTTAATTGATTTTTTTAAAAGAATTTGTAAGTAGCCTATGAGACCAACATACCGTCTCCATCCTTCAGGCTATTTGGCATCAAATGTGCAAAGTGTAACATGGGCTTCTGCAGCAGCGACCTGGTGATGAGAGCTCGGGACAGTGTTTATCACATGGAGTGTTTTCGGTGCTCGGTTTGCAGTCGACACCTCCTGCCGGGGGACGAGTTCTCCCTGCACGACGACGAGCTGCTGTGTCGAGCGGATCACGGCTTGTTGGAGCGGGCCTCTGCAGGGAGCCCGCTGAGCCCCGGGAGCATCCACAGCAGACCGCTGCACATCTCTGGTAGGCTGAAAATGCCTCTATTAGCATATCAAATGTTTAAAAACGTCAACCTAAAATAGTGCATATTCGTATTATCATTTCTTCTTCTTAATATTTAATTAGAGCTCATTATCATTATTGAAAGACCTTTTTTTTTTTTTTTTTGCAATGTTTTTGTTTCAGGCAAAAAATAAATAAACAGAAAAAGTCAGCTGAGTAATAGGCCTTGATATTTTTCTGCTTAGGTCTACCCTAAAATTGATTTCCGTTAATAAAATTGGAGTCTCATGTTTTTTAATTTACTGTTTTATTGTATAACAGGCCAACATGCAAATTTTGTCTTGAAGGTTTTAAACTAAATCTGTTTCTGTGACAAGAGATCAAGTCTAATCATGAAGTCTATAGTATTCTTAGTAGCCTATTTTCCCTTTCTGCCAATTCTGATAGATGTAGACCCATTGGCAACATGCTGCTTTAATAGGCACAGACTATCTATGAATCTATTTAGGAATAATGTTGTGTGTCATTGAATACATTTCCTTCTCCTCAGAGCCGGTTTCGGTCCGACACCCTCCTCATCACAGGAACCATGTGCACAAGCAGTCTGAGAAGACGACCCGGATCCGGACAGTGCTGAACGAGAAGCAGCTCCACACGCTGCGGACATGTTACAACGCCAACCCCCGGCCTGACGCTCTCATGAAGGAGCAGCTTGTGGAGATGACCGGCCTGAGCCCCCGGGTGATCCGCGTCTGGTTCCAGAACAAGCGCTGCAAAGACAAGAAGAGGTCCATTCTGATGAAGCAGCTGCAGCAGCAGCAGCAACACAGCGACAAGACTGTGAGTGACCTGCTGTGTTTGGATACTTTCACAACAGAACTGAGAGAAGAATGTTTGATCATAATCGATCTCATTTCACACGTGCATGTTTCCTTAGAACATCTATAAGTAGGTTTATGTCATGGCTTTTAGACCTCTTTATTTTTGAAGGGCAAAACTTGAAATTAATTTAAATGTAATTTAGTTGGTTAAACTTTGTTAGACAGAGAACCAATTATTCTAATGCTCACGTAAAATGCTACCACAGAGGTGTTTAAATTAATTAAGAAAGTAAGAATTGAATCAGTAATTCTGTTTACGTGAGAGAGAGAAAAATAAAATAGCCTAAGGGAACGCATTAATACACGATTCTTTTTCAAATATTTGAAATAGGAAAAAAATAAGACAGATAGGCTAAATAAAAATAAAAAAAAGAAATTGTTTTTTTAACAACTTTTTATTGAAACTTTTATCATCTTTAGCTTTCAAACAACTAATTTTATTTTAATTTTCTATTAGCCTTATTGTTCTTCTTGCTTATTTATCAAAACGTTATTGTAAATTGATAGGCCATCTTGATTTTTATTTGTCGAATGAGAAAATAATTGCTCGACTGGCAGAAAAGCAATTCATCCACGATTTGGGCTTTTTTTTTTTTTTTTTTTTTTTACAGGAAATGACTGGATTTCTATGGATTACTGATTTTCCCATTTGATGACCTTTCATACAAGCTTGCAGTGTTATCTAATGTTCAACAATGTTTGGTTTTTATTCACCCACTCACCTTAGGCTAAATGGGTCAAAACTTCAGGTTATCTTTTTGGTCATTCCAATTAAATTAAATTCAATTTATTTGTAAAGCACATTTCATACAAACGTAAACTCAATGTGCTATCCAGAAGTGACTTAGCTCTGATCAGACTGCATCATGGTTATTAGGCCTATACCTGCATGAACTGAGCGTTTTTCTCTCCTCCTGCAGAATTTCCAGGGCCTGACGGGCACAGCTCTGGTGGCAGGAAGTCCCATCCGCCACGACAACACAGTGCAGGGGAATCCTGTGGAGGTGCAGACCTACGAGCCCCCGTGGAAAAGTCTCAGCGACTTCGCCCTGCAGAGTGACCTGGACCAGCCCGCCTTCCAGCAGCTGGTAGAACTAAATGATATTCTAAATATATCATAGGCAATAAAAAGGGAATACATGGCTCACATTTAGGCTATACACTGTAACAGAAAGGAAAAGTGAAGAAGGAGGCGTAGGCTATTTGAAATGAGACATTTCAGATGGAAACAGATGGCTTGTTGTCTAATCAAGATTAGGTTATTTAGAAAAAAAAGACTTGGAAACAATATTTTCTCCTGTAGCCTAAAAAGAAAAATATTAAAATCTGATTCCTACAATAGTGCCTCCTCCATGGCTTTGTCAGTTCAAGTCGAACGAGCTTGTGTCTTCTGCCAAACTGTTTCTCAACCTTGTGCAAGCCCCATAATCATTGGAAGTGAGCCTATTGTTGTGTTTTAATAGAAGTCCACGCTTCTTTGAAAATCCAAAACAAAAACAAATTAAAAGGCTTTATGTCATGCATTCATTTTGAGCTTCAATGCTCTTGGAAATCAAAGCGTGGCATAAACACATTCAAATGTTAACTTGTCATTAACTGGGGTTTCCTATGACGTTTAGCACCAGCAAAGACAGCAAAGCTTAAAAAAAAAACCCACAGTAGACTAAATCACGGATTTAGAATTATGTTTTGTTAACCGAGCCCTCTGTGTGTTTTTTTTTTTTCCCGACAGGTGTCTTTCTCTGAATCGGGCTCTTTGGGTAACTCTTCAGGCAGTGACGTGACCTCTCTGTCGTCACAGTTACCGGACACACCGAACAGTATGGTCCCGAGTCCCGTGGACACGTGAGGAGAGGTCACAGGGTCAAACGGACCTCCACTGGATGAAGACGTGCGATCAAGAAAAGAAAGAAAAAAAAGGAGCAGCATGGAGTCTGCTTGTGGATACATTCAGGTCCCGATTGGGAAATTGGAAATCTGACTATTGCCTTAACATCCAGGCTTTTTTTTTTTTTTAGCTCATTGACTTGCTCAAGGACACAGCCGCTGATGGCCACAGGACTGTGGGCTACATATCACACTACTAATGCCTGAACTGGACCTAACCGGGTGAATACGGGATATAAACACGCGGGCCTGTTTTGGACGTTTAACCTCTTGTATATTTGATCAAACAGGCCTATACAAACTGTGTACACGTGCATGATTTGTAAGTTTCAGTATTGACTGTTGTAAATGAATGAAAGAGATAAGACGAGCTTCGTTCGCGTTTACCCTAGAAAATAAGTTATTAATATTTATTATGAGGACAGACATATCCGATCTTATCAATAAAAAAAAAAAAAAACATTTCGAAATGATTGTTGCATGCAAAATCCATTTGTTACACAACCCTTACAGGTGACTTTTACAGCCTAGACGGTAAAATAAATACATTTAAATCCAGAGACGCACTTACAATTGTTTAAATCTATGAGCTAAATCAGTAAAAAAAACAAAAAAAAAAAAAATAGGCTACATGATATTGATTACAATATTTTGGTTTTTAATGTTCTGTCGCCCAAATTTTCACTTGCCCCTCTCCTGAAGAGAGCTGAAAGATGAGTTGCACAAAAGCCCGAGGTAGTAACCAAACTCTGTATATTTAGATCTGCTCAGTTTCTCAGCCATGAGGATCAGTGACTGATGGCTCACGAGATATTATTGATCATTCGGCACATATGTCATAGGTCAGTGAATGGGACACAATAGGCTGAAGCCTGTTTAATTCACCTCTGTTTGATTTCTCTCTCTCTATATATATTGTGTTAGGTTAAATGTATGTTGTTGCCTCCATAAAGGCAGATTTCCCATCAATAGCAAAATTTAGCACTTTTTCCGCCACAGATGTCAAATAGGTCTTATTTAACCCAGAGTCACATCTCCATAGCAACCCGAGGCCTATGCTCACAAGTCTAGACAGAGGATAGGCAGCGGCGGCTTCTTATCTGCATCTGGCATCACCTGCAAAGGATACACTGAATGGACCCAAAACAAACCGATCAGCACACAGGGGACTCCCAGCCCGCGGACTCATCCTGTCGTGTCTTCAGTTTATTTTCATTCCAGTTGGATTCCTGATCGACAAATAGCCGCGGGACAAGAGAGCACGCAGGTCAAGTCGGGAGTGACACACTACACCTCAACAATTTGTTAGGGAGGATCGCCACTATCAGTGAAGGAAACGCAGGCTCAATGGAAGTCCAAAATCCTGTTAAGTCCTAAAGACATGATGATACAGGCAACTGATGCTGTTAACCATTTGCTATAGGAGAGAGCTGGAGGAACATATTTTAGTAGATATTGTCGATTAGAAAATTAAAAAAAAAAACCTAAACAGACAAGCAGTGATTTGAGTCTTGAACAGACGAGTTCTTTAACATTAAGTTAAACTGAGCAAGGTGGATGTGTTTAAAAAGCATTTGGAGCAATTAAAAAGGGAGCTTTGGTTGATTTGAGATTTTTTTTCCCCACAAGAAACGTCTTTAGGTCTCCAACTGCTTTCTATACATGCATGTTAATAATCATATGTGCAGACTTATAGAAAATCATTCATATATTGTGGACTTATTTCTAAATCAAGTACATTTATTCATTGTAGTTGGACCATTGACCAACTTCTAATTATCAGTTCAGGGCAGGCGTGTATAGGTGGCTACCGTAACGCTTATAGATGCACACTTGTTTTGTCCAAATATAAATATATACAAAGATTAAAAGGCTAAGTTTGTCAGTTTGAGATGGATTCAGTATGCATTGTGCATTTATATTTATTCTTATATTTCTTAAAGATTCAACAATGACTCAAGTTTTTCTTTCGTACATCAAAATGTAGACCGACATTTTCTTAGTATCTAATATGGTCTTATTATTTAACTTAATTTTTCAAGTTTGCAAGGATGTAATTTACAGAAACACCAGGATGACTAAACAGCCAAAGATTAGAAGAGTGGGGTTTGTTTGTGATATTTAACTTTTACTCAGAATAAAACTTTCCAATAACACGTTAACATAGGTATTTTATTTCACAACAAAAGGTAAATAAGTCAATAAATTATATTAATTTGTAAATACCTTCTAACAGAGGAAAAAATACAAAGGAGTGAACTTGAAAAAAAAAACAACTGTTAACTTGTCGTTGCATCAAGGCAGGTCATGAAACTTAAAACTGGCTCTTTACTAAACTAGTGACAACGTTCTAGTTTCATATTCAAAAGAAAGAAATGCAATAAATTAATATAAACAGTATTTATGAAATGCTTGGCAACGTATAAATAACAGTATAAGTAAATGTTACAGGTTTAGAACATCACTGTTTTAAATCAGGATCAGTTTTTAACTACAACAGGAATAAGAAAAGAAACAAATGGCTTGTTTAGACATTAAATGGAATCGTTGTGCGTCTTCTAACTGTAACGTAAAAACAAGACATTTTGTGCAAATTTCTCGAAAAACAACATTCGGATTTCCATGAAATCAAAACAAACATAGGATAAGGCTTCACCATCTTAACAGTTGATATCATTTGAAGATTGATTTATAGTGTGCTGACTTACAGTAAGGAACAAAATACAAATACCCCCAAAAACTCCTCAACTCAGTCTCTTGTAGTGTTTGTTTTGTCCTCGTGAAGTTTTCAGGACAGTGTGCAACTTCATCACTCCTCTTGTTTCTTTAGAAAAAACTGCAGCGCTGAGTCCCACTGGTCTCTTGGAAAGCGGTTAGACAACTCGCAGAAATCCAGCGGCTGGGAAACTTTGCGCAGAAAGAAACAACATTACAATGAGTTAATCAGGGCACATCTTCAAAACCTTTTTAAAAATGCATTTTAAATATCAGTAGGAGGGTCGAAAAACAAAAAGGGAGCATTCTTCAAACCGTTAAAACACATTTTGGAATTAAAACTGTACAATTACTCCAATATGGTGTCAAGCTTTTAAATATTTAATCGCTTACCTGTTTGCTTTATTTTGTTGTCTTTCTCATTTGCCGCACAGTCCTGAAGAATGAATACAGGGCATTAGTGTCTGCTATAACAGAATGCTGCAGATACTTGTAGTTCTTTGTGGGAACATAATCTATTGAATTAATTATTAATTAACTTTTAAACTTCCAGAAAAACAAGCAAACAACATTTTAAGGCAATCTAAAGCTGCTTCTACATCTAATTGTGTTTCACTACTCAAACTGATTGTTGCAGCGTAACGAGCGATAGGTAAACATCCTGAATTAAATAGTGTCAACCTGAGGAATGTTCATGAGGTTAATTCAACAATGCAGGTGGCGGAGGAGGACACCATGCATTATTGCTTTGTTTGAAAGAAATGACAATGGCTTGTCTTCCTCTGAATGGAAGTTAATCTGTGTCTAAACAGTGGTGGCTGCAGAGCGGCGAGGGGCGGCTTGTCAGAGGAAGACGAAGGAGACGAGTTGTTTACCGGGAGTTGAACCAGTGGCAGGTAAATCCACTGTGAAGGAAGCCATTTGTCTTTGTAAAAGCCTGCCTGTTACAGATTCACCGAGGGGCCGAGTGAAGCAACTATTAATCAGCAGCTGCAAACACTTCCCCCCTCAGATGTGAAAGACTTTTATTGAGTTTGGATGTGTCATTCAGAGGCATGAAACTGTTGAAGCCAAATTCAGATCATTTTCATTTTATGAAAAATTTGTTTTACTTGGAAAGAGTTTTTTAATCCCCTGATTTGTTTATTTCAAATATGAATCTCTTTTTTTTATGTTTGAATATTGTATTCAATCATAATGATCTTTATAAGTTCATAAATATACTGAATTTCACAATCCCGTATTTACCTGTATGAATGTAGCCAGCAGCACACAGCTCATCTCCTGCTGCAGGATGACTTTGTTTTGGGAGTTGTTGTAGCACGCCGAGATGAGGGAGGGGAAGAGCACTCTGATGAGGCGCGGGTGGCTGAAGTACTGGAAGGGCAGCTGACAGAGTTTCTGCAGCACGCTCGGCTGGCGGCCAGACTGCACTATCACCTGGAACACACAGGGAGCACACAGTCAGTCAGTCAGTCAGTCAGTCAGTCACTGAGCCAGTCAGGCGGCCAGTCGGTGGCAATGCTGGCTGTAAATCACCGCCCTGTGCCCCACCCACATGTAAATCTGCCACTAAAACAACACACAAACAGCCATTAGGAGGAGACCTGCGGGGCACAGCCTCCCACCATGCAATTATGGGCTATAAAACACAATGATGGGATGTTTTGTTCCTCCTTTGTACCAACGGCTAAAGCAGAGCTGCTGTAACATAAGAGCAGAAGGACACTTGATGTCATCATTATCATGGTTAAAAAAAAAAAAAACTTCACTTTTCAAGTTTTCTGTTAAGCCTATTATTAAGCAACAGTGAGGCAGTGCTAAAGTTTATTGACACCCTGAGTGAACCTCAGGTTGAGAGGGTATTTAAAGTGCAACAGGGGGACGTAGGGGTGTAGGGGTGGGGGAAAAGCAGAGTGAGTAAACCTTCCCTAACAGTGTGGCCAACCCCACTTTAAGAAATGAGCAATAACATTAATGGTGTTTTCACCCTGTCGACATCCTGCTCTCCATCACAGCCCGTCAATCACACACTATTACATCCGGGCCACCGGTATTACAACCAAATCACTCTCAGCCTCATTTGATTAGAAAAAGGGGTTTGGGGCAAAGGAAGGGGTCCCAGCCTAATGCCCTGGTCATCTCCCCTGAGCCTCAGAAGACCATCAGCTCCAGTCTGAAAGCCGGCAGGTCACCATGAGCATGCTAAATCCTGGTGGAGGAAAAAAAAAAGGAAACTGCTTCCCTGCTTTACAGGAACAAACTACAGGACTGATGGCGCTAGGCCAATAGAAACCAGAAGGGCAGAGGGAGGTCTCCGAGTCACAATGACATAAATTAAGAAGATTTACAAGATTTTAAAAATACAGTCTCTAATAGTCTTCCATGTGCTTTTCCTTTGATAATGCACTCCAAGTTTGAGCTGCAGGATAAACAAAGTGATAATTCATCGCTTTTATCAGTTCAAGGTGAAGCTCCTCAGAGCTGCCCTCTACAGCGGCGTTCAAAGGGACACAAAACAGTGCCACTTCCTATCGTGACTTGTTTAAAGTAACCATATGGACGGGTCAAACTATATGAACTTCAATGCATTACAAATACTTAAACATGTGAAGAGCACTGAGTTTATCACGCTCAAAATGTAAAGTGTTAATTTTTGGAAGATAAAAGGGCACTTTGTTTCTACTCCGCTCAGCCTTACCGAGTCTTGAATTCAAGAAGACACTTGAAAGCGTTACAAAGATGAAGACCAAGCTGTGAATATGTGTGCCTAAAAGTCAAAGAACAAAATTCCCCTAGTTTTAGACTCGATGTTATATAGATATATTTTTTTTAAACACAGGAATGTTGGACCCGGACAAATCCTTCCCCTGGAGAAAAGGAAAAAGGGCAAGTTCTGGTTGTTTTCAAAAGTAGGGCTGCTTACTTTCAGTGCTTCTAGTTTTAGCCTTTGCATGCTACTTTCCACTAAATCCTACATCATTACATTTATCTTGTCTGTTGCAACACAACCCAAAGAAACTAGCAATCGGGAGGGGGTTGGGTATAGATTTATGCTTCTGAATTAGAACGCCAAAAACATGACTCAACAAAAGCTAAAATATTTATTCATTCTGGAGTTTTAATTGAAAATATGTAAGGTTATAAGGTATCATAATTTAAAGCCGCTGCTATGTTAAATGTTTGAGCTAGGCCTCCGAGAAGATCCAACCCACAAATCACCCAGCGAGCTCATAATCCTCCATGATGCACAGTTTCATCTTTTAGCTGCCTAAACAAATTGTGCACCTCCAAGTGCCTGCTACAGAAAGACATAAAACAAAGCCTGGTGGCAGCGAGAGTCTGAAGGTAACAAAGATCTCGTGCCAACTTTCCACGCCTTCACAAAGGAAAACACAGCAGAACCCAGAACGCTTTCCAACAAGGGATTATGCTGCAGCGTTAACTTCTCCCAGCCCAGCCCAAGTATCTACAGCTCAAAGCCTGACATCATAAAACTAACAACAAGCATCTGAACCCATGCATCTGGCCCTGCGTATAATACAGACCCTGTAAAAAAAGAAAAAAGAAAAAAAAAGAAAAAGCAACCTCAAGTGTCTCGGCTTCTCTGTTCTTCCTTAAGTCCAGAGACCTTGCAGTGCCAAGTTTTATGACGCTTCCATTACATAACTTCCTCAGCGTCCCCAATGACAACAAAGAGTGTGTAAAGTTAATGTTCCGAAACGCAAACAAATTCCTGGGAAAAGCCGGCGTTGAAGCTGGAAAGCAAAGCAAAGGCAGATTTGAGAAACGGAGAGGAAAATAAAGCCGAAATCTGGGATGCTATAATTAGCCTCAATAATGCATGAGGCAACAGAAGTGCAAAGAAAGAAATGTCAATCATCTCTTTCTCTAATCTAATAAGTCATATTTGAAGTCACAATAACAAAGTGACTATTTTGCATGTGTAAAAAGAAAAAAAAAAGAAATCTCCATTCATTCATTCATAGTAGCGTCTAGACAGTCTGATCACCTTAGGGTACCAGTGTCAGGGCAGGGCCGTATATCTGACACTTGAATCCGCAATATAAACCAGATCCATCAGAGTGGAACTGTCTTACTGATAAGACCTGCAGCACAGCACAGCAGACCAAGCAAAGTTGGCCCAATAGCTGTTTAGTGCTTCTTTACAATAGCTAATTGAGACGTGCACAGGAGGCTGTGTAAATTGCCTTTGACAATCACATGCTAGCATCACAGACATTGACAAAGGCACACCAACTTGACTTTTAAGGCAGTTGTCCGCTGTTTTAAAAATCCTATAAAAACCTGCTGTGTACACAATAAAGCCTAATAACTTCTCTATTTATCTCTATGAGTTGAAGCCGTCATTCCATCCCAGATCCTGCCGCTGATAATTCTGCTGTGAAACCGACCTGACGATAGTGTTACAGACAAATGGAGACCCCTCACTGAAAGGTTTGCGGGGATAAAAATGTCCTCAGCTTCACTTAAAAGTCAGTTGGACCTGCGTTCACCCTTGAAGCGGAGTGTAAATCATCGACTGAACTAACAATACGGCCTCTGCTGCCAGTCAGAGGAAGGAGGAGGAGGAGGAGGAGAGTGTGTCTGCCTGTGTCTCTCTGCCTCTGTTTACTCGGCTGGGTGATACAGAGTATGCATTCCCCCCGTGCTGGCTCCCTGCGGTCTGCAAGAGCTGCACTTACCCTGCAGGCAGTGAGGGCCTGGTTGTCTTGGCGGTAATGGACTGCTGAGGGGAACGTTTCGACATCAGGTTAACAGGAATTACAGGCCTAAAGCTTGATGTGGGCCTGCGGGGCAGAGGAAATACCCCGGGAAGAGAATGGGAAGAAGAAGTATGACCCCCACTAGATAAGGCTGAGCTCTGGAGATGTGTGCGGGATGTTCATGCGCTCTGCAGACGCTGCATGGATCATGAGATGCTCACAGTGTATAAAGAATACAGTTTACCAAATATGAGCACAGTGGAGATGATCTCAGGATCCCTGTGCAGTTAAAGCAATCCCATTACTTCTATAAAACTTCCATACACTACCTCAAATCAGACCTGCTTCAGTGTGTACGTGTGTGTCATAGGAACTTCAGCATATGTGTGTGCAGCTCATCCCGCTCATGTGTGTGGCCTTCCTCCAGGTACTTGGTGGGGGGGGAAGCAAAGTTTTCTTGACATTTCCACACTCTTGAATTGCTAGTGTGCTTCTTTTTTTTTTTTTTTTTTTAAAGCAAGCAGGAATCAGGTGGGTTAACATGTCAACAGATTACAATTACCGTCTCATCAGCCTAAAGATTCAACAGATCATCACTGTGAATGATTCAGAAATGAATCACTGTGTTTAAAGACGGGGAGATTACCGGTGCATAACTCCTCAGGGAGAGAGGGAGAAAAGCTACATGTCAGTTACAAGCAAGGTGTCATTTGTCCTTTTTGTTGTTATCACAAAAGACTGTACGGACACAAACAATGAAACATATGGCTACATGGCTCAGCCGCCCCCCTTGAGCAGAGACGCACTTGAAAAACACACAAGCCTACATATGTCATTCTACCGATAGCTTTTTGTGTGACAAGGTGAATTATTCATGCACCCCCAGAGCAGAGGGAATACATCACTACGTATAGTACTGCTTCAAAGATCTGCTTTTTATGAGCGGCCTTATTTCTTGAGCACATATATATAAACAAAAGCTGGTGTGCAGACAGTGAATCAGCAGTCCTTCGGCGACCACATATGCCCCGGGTCGGGCCGCTTTTGTGTCCTGCCAATGCTTACATTAGCTTGAGAAAAGCTCAAGCTGCTCTAAATATTCTCCTTAACGCCATCCATCTCGGTGCAGAGCTGAATGGATGCATTCCAGGAATCAGACCACTTGCAAAAATCCACTCTGTGTCGATGTCGTGCGGGATCTTATTTCCCAATAATCTACACTTTAAAGTTCTTCAAAACTACATTTAAACTCAAAAAGCAATGCAAGAGGAATTTTTGTTGTTTTTTTTCTCAAATGTATTTAACTGGCAGTACCCAGGCTATGAAGGAATGACGGATTTTGCATCAAATTAACACAAGCATTTGTTTTTTCTCCTAGTAGAGCACGGTTGCTCTGATTATATCTTTGCCAGTATACAAAGAGGAATAATTTCTCACCCACTTAATTTAATCATCAGCTGTAATTCAACTATTCAATATAATATGCTAATTGCATCTACAATTACTAACAAATGCTAATTCTGTACATCAGAATAATTAAATTGGTTGGAGCTGAAAGCAAAGGAAACCGCTAAAGGTTTAATTAAAAGTAAAAAAAAAAAGAAAAGTAAATTAGAATCAGTTATCAGCCTATAAATCCTTCTGACTGTAACGGGGCAGGCATAAATGACCTATCACACGTTTGAGATTGAAGTTGTGGCTCCTGTCTGCGTGGGTCAGGCTTAACATAATCGAAGACCAGCCAACTGTAGCGTGGCTAATCAGGGGCCCGGTAGACGGGCCACGCATGACAGCCAATTACACAGCAGCCAGGTCTGCTCCATCACATCCTGTTCACTTTCATAGAACGCCATTAAGTATTGGTAGCAGCCGTCCGGCACGCTGCTCTGCTTTACCAGGAGGGAACAAAGAGTAGCTCAGAGGGAAACAAGACAACACACAGACTGAAAGCAGGAAGGTGCCAAGGCATGAATCTTTAAACAGGTGCTTTTTGTTACAATTACAAAACTACACCCTTTTTCTGCCTAATAATACATGAACACAACAATAGTGGTATGATGTTACCGTGCTCAGCAGACAGCTTCTCACAACTGAAGCATTTCATGTAACTTGTGCAGACACAATTAGACTAAAAGTTGATTAACGTTAAAGTTGATCCATCACAATTTATTTATTGTTTTCAAAAGATAAGTAGATACATAGCTAACAGAAATGCTTTAAATATGTATTTTAATGTCGTAGTTTGATTAATTTCCCCAATTGAAAGATCATACATGTTTTTTTTCATGAACGATGGCAAATTTGTCAGCTGTGTTCAAAACTGTCAGTCAATCATCAGCTTTAATATTTAGGAATTGAAAACAGTATCTTTCACCATTTTTAACCAAAGTCATCAGTCTTTTCATATACTTATAATTTGTTCATATCAGCTTTCTGAATATTTCTCAGATAATTTCTAATTATGTATAAACATTTACTTTAAATTAAAAAAAAGACTGAATTATTTTGATATTTGAAATATGGCAATTTAGCCTTTTTTTCCTTCTTTTTAGTAAAGAATTAAACAAATGACAAAAAAAAATACAAAAAAACTAAAAGTTTAGCTGCAGCTCTTATTATAACAACAAATACGTTTGCATATTAATATCTTCATTTTTTAGAGTAGTTATTTTTGCTAAACTGAGAACAATCAGGTGAATAGTGTGTATAGTCAGTTGAGATTCCAGCTGGTTTACCTGGTTGTCAGGGTGGTTAACAGTGAAATAGCCCACACAGATGATGACTTCGTGCAGCAGCTCATCGGAGGAATGCTGGGTACAGTACCAGAGCAGAGAGCTGACGATGTGTCGGAAAGCTAGAGACAGCCCTTCAGCTCCTAGGACACACTGGCAGGTCACAGACAAAACACACAGGCATGTTTTACAGTAAATGAAGCATAACTTGTCTTTGATTGTGATTACAAAGAGCTTAATTCAATAACACAAAAGTAATAAAAGGTTACATGTTTGGCTGGAGGGAGGATATACGGTGTAAGAGTATAAGCAACTCAAGCAGGGTCCCACAATAAAACACCCAAATCCCACTTAGACATTAGATGCTCGGAGCGGCTCGCAGACAGTGTTTGTTAAACATGTCAGTGTGACCGAGCACCAAAAGATCATCACTACTCCACGGCAAGTTTGGGTGTGTTAGCACTGAAACATGCATAGCGCAATATCTGAGAAGCATGAGGCTGTTTGCAAGACTCACTAGTTTTAAAACTCACTGATCAGTGTAAGCAGTTGTTAACAAATTAGATTATGTTTTATAGATGGATAATTGAGATTCTAAAAAAACAACTTGCTGTTTGGAAAGGCAAACAGGAAAACATATTGGAAAGAGAAAACAGCAGTCATGGATTACAAATATAAACTTGTGCACTCTTTTAACATTTCTTTCCAAGACTCACAGATTCTGGAAAGCATTTTTTTTTTTTTTTTACATGAATTTCATTGAACCCTTTGATATTCATTCTTGGGTATTGCAGCTACAGCAGAGTGAGTTAACAGCCTGAATTGTGATCATCCTGCCGCTGCAGCACATAACAGCCTGTGCTATGAGGTAATGTGAAACACAAGGTGATTACAACCCTGGAAAAAAAAAACATTATTTAAACTGTTCATAAAACCCGGGCAGTGAAACACTTTGATTTCCAGCTGTTCCGAGTTGCCTGAATGTGGCGGGTCAGTGAGAGGAAGCAGCTTCAAAGTAATTACCCAAAGACATTAAAATAATTAACGGCTCGCTGCCTCTCGTGCCTTTCAGTCTATGTGGTGACTTTGCTCAGTTAAGCTGTTGCCCCCTCTTCTTAATGTACAGCGCCGCACATAGTGCTAATGACACGCGCTCCATCCTAACTGCTGACCCATCGGGCTCTTGTCAACCCCAACAACTGCCCTAGGGTCAAAGGGCACCCGTGCTCATGTCCAAAGGTCAGCTTTGTCCTGAGGAGAGTTACTCATCTTCTAATGGCTCTAAACAAAGGAATCCACATCAGTCTGATCATCAATACAGGTTTAATAAATCCAGTTAGGATCATTAAGACGTATTTATGTTAGCCTGATGTTTGTTTTTACAGGACAAGTCATTCATATTTTTAACTCAGATGTTTATTAAAATATCGTTAAGAAGTTGCTGTGTAGTAAAAATAACTTCAACAAATACATGTTTTTAAGTCTAATACAGACAACTGGTTCAAAAACTTAGATAAAGTCAAGAGATCTAAGATCTTTTTTAATAAGTGGAGAATGAAAAACAGAATATATTTTCGATTTTATATAAATACCTGGAAGGCGGAGAGGTCAAGGAGAGCAAAATTGTTGAGGAAGCGGATGCCTTGCAAAGCCACCTGGATGACCCCGGGGCCGTAGGGCTCCTGACTCTGGGAAGAAGACTCTGGTGCAAAACTGTGCAGCAGGATGCAATACAGGGTGTGCACAACTCCCACCAGGTCTGTGGACTGCAGCAGGGCCGTCAGTCCAGACGGGTCCTGGCGTTTATTGTCAAATATACTGGGAGCACTGGAGAGGAGGAAAGGGAGAACATGTGGTAAATGAAACCAAAGAGAAGGTGTGCGAGCGGTCTTTAACAAACAAACAAGATATGATACAAAGGGACACTACATATATCTGGGGTATTTCCTTTCTGCCTTGTGCTGCTGTATATGAGAAGGATGCTTTTTTAATGCAGATTTGGAGAAAAAACATTTTAAGTTTCTGATACAGGGATGATTGTGAATATCCCATAGACTAGATACAGGTTATACTGTTATACTCAGTCTATGGAATATCCTCATAAGTGACTTGAAAAAGCTGTGATGCTTGCTGAAAGAGTTACATATTGATTGATTGATTGATTGATTGATTTATACATTTTATAAATGTATTTTTTTATGTAAAAAAAAGAAGTCTCAGAGACGCAATATAATAATTTTTCCCTTAAAAAGATGGATGGTAAAAAAAATAGTTCATGGCACTTATTGAACTTAATAATTCAATAAGTGCCATGTTTAGATGATTATCTGCATGTTAAGGAGAAATGTTCTAGACACACACACTCACACAAATGTCTACACACACACACACGAAAATTGACATGCTGATCTGATCTGCTCTTCCCAGGGTTAATAATCATTAATGGAACATACCAACATCATTTTGGCAAGCATTAACTTCCCTTTGTTTGACTTTTTGACTGAACATGTACAACTCAATGCGGCCAGTTTGGTTGCAAAACCTCCAAGATCTAGGATCTGTTCCTCCTTAACATAGTAATGCCAGGACTTGAAGCTAAAGCAGCGACCTCAAGCTGGCAGGTTTTACTGAACCACTTGACAAGGTGTTGACTGTTCTGGCACATTTAATAAAGGTTTGCATGAGAGGATTCAAATGCATATGTTTGTGAGGCTCCAACAAAATGCCACCCTGTTGGTGCCTTCACGTTCCAAAAATAATTATCCCTGGCTTTGCAGTTGGATGTGATGTTCAGTGAAAGGATGATTATACAAATGTCTTTACCTAAGACTATTTGAATGGTAAAAAGGTCTTGTTTTGCTTTGGTGCAGGAGCTTTATGTAAAGCTACTACATCATTAGTATTATGTGATCTTTATTATGTGATCACAGGCAGGGTTAATTGGAACAAATACTTAACATTACTGCATTATTTAACAACAACACCTTGTTGTGCTAGGAAAGTAATGAACACAACAAGCTTACCAATTCTTTTCAGATGCACTGCAGAAGGCTCGCTCGAAAACCTTTGGCTAGTGTAGACAGATAATTTAAGACTGCAGCAGCAGCAGCAGCAGCCATGATTTGCAGCAATGTAGAATGGAGGGTGTGTGACCTCTGGATAGATCTTACAGTGCATGCTGATACTTGATGTTAGCCAACAGGCTCTGTGTGAAATATGCTGCTAGGCAAGAACATAGCTTCTAATGCCACTCTAATCCCCTGACACAGCAACTGGCATGGCCAAAATTTTCTACAAGCCCACAGAGCATTCATTTAGAAATGACACACAGAGAATATTAGTAAAAAAAAAAAAAAAAAAAAAGCTTGCACGTCTCATGTATCCTGCAAAGTGTGGTGCTTTTATCCAGTGACAAACACGGACCTTCTGAAGCTGCTGCTACTGTTTCATTTTGACACAGATGGTCATTGTTACTGCACCTTGCAGCTGACTGGGTACAGTAGCACGCTTGGCAACAAGAATAATGCAATTGCAAGATTTTGTAGTACCGGTAATATACTGCCAGGTGGTGGGATTTTTTCCAGAAGAAAAGTTAATTGGCACGATGGATACCTGGATCAAGCGGTTCAAAGGCACAACATCAAAGCATTTCTGGCCCTAAAGCCATGGTCAGCATTTCTTTTCCTCTTAAGTGAGGAATTGTGTCCCTCGGTGTGACTGTGTGCTTAGCCTCTGTCAGCGGCGTCACTGAACCTCTCTGTGTGGAGGTCACTGTAGCACACGTGGGTGGGCTCCCCTGCGCTGCAGGCTAAGGTTTATGGTGAGTGACAGAGCGCTGGGTCAAGTAGATGCCTATCTCTATCTGCAGTAAGGACAGCTTAGCCTGCTGGCTGGCTGGAGGAAACTACCTGCTGGCTGATTGGAGAGGGAACATAGTCTTTCGTTTGAGAAACCATGAACGTTTGTTTTTTTTATGGATCCTTGTGACGGTCAGTCTTTGTTATTAAATGCACAGAGAAAGGTTTGTGTGTGTGTGTGTGTGTGTCTGTGTGTGCGTGTCTGTGTCAGAAAAGGATCAAGAGATCACAGACAAGTTTTTACTGCAACATAGTAAAAGAAAACATGCTCACCGTCCGGTTACCACAAAACACAGCTTGCACATGCTGTGCAGCAGAGTGGAGGCTTGATGGAGGAACGCAGACATCTTCGGATGCTCGTCTACGGGGCCCTGGACCGACAAGAAGCAGCCGTACAGCTTGTGGATCAAACCCATGTTTACTACGTAGCTGGAGGAAACACACAAAGAGAGAAAAGACATGATGTGGTTAATAGCCATTTTTCCTAAAATATACTTGCTTAAAAAAAAACTAAAAAAACTTGTCTCACACAGGCAGACAAAGACCTTTACTGTGCAAACTTCCACAGCTGAAAGCAGACACCTCACCTAAGCCTTCCACCCCCTGCTATTACTGTGATATCTCCAATTTGTCTTTGCCAATGACAGGTCTCATGATCATGTTCCCTGTACTCTTTCAGCCACAAATCACTGCTAATAGTGTCATTAGAGGGCTGCTGTGGTCCCTCTGCCAGCCCGGCTCTGGGCCCTTTGACAGTCCCCTGACCTGAGGCTATGTTCCAAAAAACCCCTGCTATGCCTGGACCCTCAAGCTCAGCTCAGGCACCGACAGCTTACGAAAATCTATAGAGCACTATAGCTGCCAATCAAGGCTTTGGAGTAGCTGATGTGGTCACTCTGAGGCAGTGGGTCCCTCCTCTTATCACTTCAACGGCTCTTTGCATCTTTCACATACCTTATATTGTTGGAACTGTCACTCACTGGGGTGAGCAGGTGATTATGACCGTTCTCAGCCTCCACTGCAGGTCATCTGACACTTGAACCAAATCTCATTGTTTTGACTTGATCCTCTTCCCCAGCTTTACTTTGGATGAAAGGATCTTTCCTCACATTGCCTGCTCTGTTCAATGCCTGCTCTCAGTTTGACAACCTGCTTGGTGGTCGTACTTGCCACTTGATGTGTCTCATCAAATGAGCATGAACTGAAAACATGTATGACAGTGATAGGGGTCTAAAAGCGCTGAAAACTAAACGGAGAAACCGGTAATGAGTATATTGTGATCTCCTTTCCTTATAGAATATTGGTTTGCATTGTGGAAAAGTGAAACTAAATGTAAAACGGTTTTGATCTTTTGTCCTTCCTCACTAGCATATATATTATATAAGGCAGCTGAGGTAAATCTTGTGCTGGTACTTGGGATTACGGGTCTGGACGACACCATTTTTCTCAGGCCCTCCCCTGTCTCCTGGGTTACGACTAGGTCAGTAGATGAGAGTGGTAGGCCTGTGTAGCTGCTCCGTCCAGATGAATCATTGCTTGTAGGAAAGGCTCCACTCTTCCACAAAGCTTCATCAGGGCGGGCCTGCCTTTCCTCATGGTCAACATTTCTCCAACACAGCCCTGACTCCTTCTGCCCAGACCAACATGGCTGGCTAAAACGCCCAGGTTCAAAAAAGACCTTTCAAAGCTTTGGAAGGATTTCTTTGTTTATGCTGCTTTTAATTTTTTCACTTGAAATATATTGCTGAACGTGTGGAAAAAAAAAAAATCAAGCTGGAAAGACGCCAGAATACAAGCTCATTCTCACACTACCTCTGCTCTAACTTAACACCAGTTGGATCATTTCCAAGAAATCTGACAAGTTGTCAGCCTGGTCTTTACATAAAGCACGCTGTTGAGGAAATCAGGGGTTGACCAACTCTCAACCCAGTCAAGAGGAGTGAAGGTGGGGGATGTACTAAAGAAGGTAAAAAGGTCAGGAGATGAGGAAAAGAGGTGCTGTGTAGGGGGAGAAGGAGCAGTGTGAGAGTAGTGCAGAGCATTAAAAAAAAGAAAATACCTGATGAGGTCTTGTGTGCGAGTGTTGAAGGACTCAGTGGCAGAGCTCTTGACCTTGGCATCTGGGGAGGAAATCCACTTTTCGTTTTGTCCAGACTCTGGGATATGTGGCCACAGAGATCCCAGGACGGTAGCAATGGTCTGCAGCAGACCGGTGGTTAGACCCTCAAAGACTTGTTTGTTCAAACTACGGCCACAAATGGATTTATCCTCTTCTGGAACATATAGCTGCAAGAATGTAAGAACATAATGATTATTTTATAGGATTCATCCTACCAACATATAGAGCAATAAATAAACCCCTTTTTATATAAAGCCCAATGCTAACCGGCTGCTTTAGAAAGGGAGCATCCAAAAACCATTAGACACAATATCTATAAAAAGAAACAGATGATGAGTCATGCACGTCTATAGCTTTAAATTAACACAGATGCTAACATTTTATGTCGTGTTTTTGTTTAGCACAGGGCTTTTCGTTGCATTATTGGTAAATTACACAGTTTCATCAGTTTAAACTCTCCAGCTTTAGGCCACAAATAAGTGTACTACATCGCTGTGAGTTGTTCATCTACAACAAAAAGTGGATTTCCTCAGGCAAAGAAATGACCAGAAAGCAAACTTAAACCAGTAGGGATTTACTAAAGAGATAGCGGCTAACAATAAGGAAGCCCAATTAAAAAGGCTGTAAAAAAGAAATAATAAATTGTAGTCCTATGAGTTTTTCTTTTTGTTTATATTTTCAGACAAACTAACACACATACAAACAGAGGTCCAGGCTAATAGTGTAGTGCTACTGTGTAAAGTGGGGAACCTTGCACAGACAAAACCTTCTCATTTGGTCTAATGGTTTGGGTGGTTGCTGACAGCAAAGGTAAATCCGCCGACATTCTCCACAAATCTAATTAAAAGGGTACATGCTCATATGGCAGTGCAACCCCCACCACTTTCCTCTGTCGCTCACACATACCAGAAACACTGGCTGATGAAAAAGACAACAATTTAAAAAAAAAAAAAACAACGGAAAAATTGTAAACATAGAATTAGTCGTAATAAAATCATTTGAGCAGGGTGTATATAGGCGCCTTTGTATGTTGTGTGACTAATTTCTTGATCTGCGTTGAACAAAAGGAGAACGGTTAGTTTGTCTCCTGCAGTGCCGCTGGATATGTCAGTCAGCAGAGCAGCTGCTGGGATATGTTTTATATAAACTGAAGCATACTCGCTAGCCTCTCACTGCGTGCCCTCAGGAAATATGACTGCTCTGGATTGGAACTCGGCACAGGAGAAGGAAGCCCCAGTAGAGTTCATGCATGCACCACAGCCCTGTGCCTGTGACTTGTCCTGTCTGTGTTGCCTGGGAGTGTAGGCGGCCCCAAGCGCACCGCCACCGTTAGATGTTCTGAGTGGGCTGATGTTTACAGTCCTTCTTACAGAGTGCTGAAGGATATGGGCTGACATGTCACCGCAATACAGCCTGCCTGACTACGCTCTCACATTCCCCTAGTCTGGAGGCATCCATAGAGAGGTTTGGGCAAGGGTTTGTTTCTCATTGGCTTGTGTCTTTGTCTGTCTTTCATTAACATTGTGGCAAGAACTGACACCTGCAAACAGGCACAGTTTTCACAGTGGTCAAAGCAAAGTATACCAACAACTTATTGTTAAGAAAACAGGGAGCGTCCAATTAAATAGTGGGTTAGAAATGGTTTTATCACGCTTTGAATAGCTTTACATTTCTCTTTATTGTTTCTTAAAGGAACTGAAAGAAAGCTTTTACCACAAGAATTTAACCTAATGCATCAAGCGTTTTGTTTGTTGTGTCAAAGCATGCCTTGGCCGTGAATCATTACTACTTTTTATTAACATACTTACTGTTAGCTGATGCAGCAGCAGGTCCATGAGGAGTGCTATCTTGTTGCTAAACAGCACATAGGAGCAGTTGAGGGGGCAGCAGGAACACGCCAGGAAGTAGATATTTACAGCAGCACACAGGGATCTAACACAGGAAGATGATAAAAAATAATAATTTACAATGAATTAAAACACCACAAGTCAGACCCTCCCTTTCCCCCGAATCAGTTAAGAAATGATTCCACTGGGTTTTGAATGTCTAGCCCTGGGCATTTACAAGACTATCTGCAGCCATCAGGAAACCAAACACACTCTTCTGTATTTGTAGTTCTTTAAGGATGTAGTTTGTCTTCACGTGTCAAAAGCATATCGCACTGACAGTGTGAGTAAGGAAGCAGATTTGAGGAATAAAAACACTCATATCAGCTACTTATGCAGATACTCCCTTCAGAGCCACCTTCAGAGGAGCTGAGCGCAATCTCTGTCCCATCTTGGCTTGAGATGGTGCAGCATTTCCAATGGAGAGATAAAACTTTTCCTCTCAGCAGCTCCTCACAGCAGCCAGAGCTGAGCCAGTAAGCATGCCTCTGTATTATGTCTGCTCCTAAAACAAGCCCCAGAGAAGATTAATGCTGCAGATAACTGACCAATCGTTCTGCTGTGACTGCTACTCCCCCTCAGCCTCGTTTCATCAGTTAATATTTTCTGACAACTGTATATTTTAGCCATTGGCGGAATGGCGTGTCCTATCTGCTCGCTGCAAGAAAGGAATCTGCCTCTCCAGCACCTAAAGTAGGCCATGTTTATTTCAAGTGGTAAACATTTTGATATCTACCAAAACCTTCACATCTGCTGTACGTTTTCGGTCAGACCACGCTGGCAAAGGGAAGGAAAATAGATTAGGTTGAGGCAAGCCCAAGTCTGTCAATAACTTCCTCTATTCTCTGCTCTGCACTGGCTCAAACAGTCATCTCGCTGCATCATTATTGACATTGCAGAGTTCAGCTGTCAGACATGGAATGTGGTGTTAATGTGAGAAGCACTTTATTTTGAGTGATCAGATAGTGTCCAAATCTAACATCAAAGCCCACTTCCGTCCACCTAAAAACAATAACAGAGCAAAGCTTTTTTTTTTTTTTTTTACAGTTAATGTCCTATATGGCAGCTCTATGGACAGTAATTTTATTAAAGCATAGCGACTGCATAAAAAGTTAAGTGCACTGATATAGCAGTCTGTGTGGAGTAAGAGGTTAGGTAACATGAGATCCCATCCAAACTGTGCTGTGTGTAGCCTTGTCTTGATTCTTTACTGAACACGGGACAAAACCAGCTTCGAAGTAAATACCAAAATGACAACTCAACTACTTTTTTCCTCAACACTGGTGAATAACTTCATGCTTCACACAGCTAACGAAATTTAAGCTGTGGTAGCCGCCTCGTACATTCCTCCGATCTGAAAGAGTTATTTCAGATGCCTTGAGTCACTTTCCTGGTATTTTCGATCACAAAGTGCAGGAGGGAAATCATATGACCTATCAGAGATAAACGACTAAGAAGGACTGACTTGATTACTGTCAGAGAGCGGTTTCACAACAGCCGGATACAGTTCATCTTGGTTAATGGTAATGTTCAGGTTACAACTACGACAACTTAGATTTGGTGCTCTTCTCCCGCCCAATGTTTGTTATGGAAATGTGTAGAAAGTACACCTGAGAAGATTGCCACTGGTTCTTTTATAATGGCTTCAATCCTGGCTGGAATGCTGGCATGCAAGTCCTAAACCGTGTACAACAGAATATTTGATATTTCATTCAAGAGGGATCTCTGATTTGGAAAAGATTGAGGAAAGTTTTAGATCAGTGGACTTCAGAGAAAATGCATGATTTGGAATCTAACCTGGTGCTTTTGAAAGTTGTAGAAAAACCCTTTTTCAATATTTCAAACGATGCTTGTTTGATATATGGTGATGATTTTTAAGATTATTTTTGGGCTTTTTTTGTTACTTTAATTAAGAGATAGGACAGTGAATAGAGTTGAAAATCAGGGAGAGAGAGTAGGGGAATGACATGCGGCAAAGAAGCCACAGGTGGAATTCGAACCCAGGCCGCCCGCTCGGAGGACTGCAGCCTCCATACGCGCGCACTAACCACTGCGCCACCAGAACCCCAAATGCATATATATTTGAGAGATAATGCTCGTGTTGTTTTTGTTTCACGATTATTTACAGGCTGCCTTAAATGAAGCTTTTTAAATCAAGAAAAAAGGTGAGACTGTTTTCCTAACATGACAAATAATTTAACAAAGGTATTACAAACAAGTTATGGCTTGGTCTTTAAACATTAAATTCAAGGCGTGACATTACCTGACAAGCATATTATTCTAATTAAATCACATCACTTCTGAAAAGACAGATCCGCCCCTCTGGCGTCACAATTGACTCACTCAACTGCTCATGTAATGAGCATGGGATTGCTTTGTAACGCAGCTAATCAGGCTTGTCTTTGGTCATCTCTGAACAAATGAGGAGGCTGTCACAGACATGTTTGAGTTATGCCCTTACACCAGCCGGTACAATGAACCATCACAGTGATCTGTCTTTGGTTTCCTCCCACCTAATTGAGCTTGATGAGTACGACACCTGATATTCCGCCCTCGCTGGGAATCTCACTATCTCAATACCCCTCAATGACAGCTCCAGTGAAAGATTTGAAGGAACAGTTTGGTGAAGTGCAACGCCAACCGGTCTCATGTTACACAAAAACTTACTGCGGACTGATATGTGCCAGAGATCTAAGCAGGCAAAATTCCTCCACCTACGACCTTATTATGGGTTGTTTTTACATTGTGCTTTAAGCATTCCCAAAATAACCACAGCCTCCATCTCCCATCACTAATCCACTGCATGATCCACGCTAACCCAAACCTGCTTTGAAAATAGAAACACTAAACTATCAGTATAAAGTTGAAATTATAGACTGATTATTTTGATCCAACACTGATAAAAAGCACAGATTAAAAAGGAAAGTGAAATGCATGAGCGATGGAATCTACACAGCTACACCGGCAGCGTTAATTTGGCTGTAAAAAGATTTAGATCAAGAGAGAAATGAGGCCAAGAGGTAGAGGGACGGAGAACACCTGATCCTGTATTGCTCCCCTGCATCCCTCTGGGGCTCTGCCTGGGTGGCCATCAGGTTTGTGCACAATGATGGGAGCTTAATAGGTATATATATAATCAAATGTAACTGCATTGTAAGAGAAGATTTAGATAAACAACCACAAATAGCTCTTTTTTGTTGCTTGTTTTTTCAAAGCACGTTTCAAAGTATTTCATGAGCCTTTCTCCCGCTCCTCTCTTCAGTGACCTCTATTGGAAGACAGGAGAAAAAGATAAACAACCACAAATAGAAAGTATTCCTACTATGATTGAAATCATCCGACTTTATTGCCTCTCCAGGTTGAATCAGACCTGACACCCATTAACAAGTTTCCTAAGCAGAGTCTTTTCACCATGTGCATTTATTGAGATGAATAGCCAACTCTCAATTCAGTTGACAACAGGACAACAGGCCAGTAAAAAGCTCTTTCTGCTTTTTGTCACTGCCTCGAGTTATCAACCCTGAGATCTGTGCTCCTCAACCTGAGGCTCACATTTCTCGCCCTCTCACTGTGTTTCCTATGCGTCCAGTCAAGCCTGACTGGAGCAACGCTGCAGAAATTCGACCAACTTCCAGATCAGGTTGAGTCCGTGCCTCTTAAACAGGGTAAATTTGTGTTCAGGGGGAGAAAAAGAATCCTAAGCCAAAATAAAAGGTGAGGAGCAAATCCGTTTCCTTGTGCTGTCAAACAATCCCTTCATTCACTGCTATCTAAATGACATTTAATTTGATTCTGCTGTTGATCTCTCCGATACCCTGAGTGCTTCCAGGACATCTACTCTGGCTGTCGTGCCACACTGGCCAGGTATGAAGGGGAAAGAAATCTGATGAGCCGTCACACACCATCACGCACAGGAGCATGAATGCATGCACGCACACACAAACACAAATGGTGGAAAACATCCTGAAATAAAACCACAGGTAGCAGGTCTGATTTCACAGGATACACCAGGTCATGTGAGACAGAGGTAGAAATACAAATTGGGTTATCACTCAATGTCCAACGGCTTCTTCATGCTTCTCTGTGGATCAACTGCTGGACTTTCATGACTACTACTGCGTCCGTTTTTAAATCAATGAAAAATTGTCAAAATTGACAATGATGAAAAAATTAGAATAAAAACTTCTGAATCAGACTCTCACAACCCAAACGATCAGAGATGAGCACTTCTGCTCTTTTTTGTTGCTTTTTTTTTTTTTCAAAGCACAAATTGTGAGCCCATTCACAAGTATTTCATGAGCCTTTCTCTCGCTCCTCTCTTCAGTGACCTCTATTGGAAGACAGGAGAAAAAGAATACTATTCATCTTTGTAGCTGGCTTTTGGTGTTACTGATAATACGCTGTAATATTTATAGGTGGCAACGAAGATTCTTTCATTCACACTTGTTACTGAAACACATCCAAGAACTGGTCTTTATATTTATTTGGACTTAATGGTTAAACTTTTTTTTTTAAAGAAAAGAGCTTCAGATATGTGATTATGTATTCATCTGGTATCTATACTAGAAAATATGACGGGTATGAAGGGCACTTTCCCAATTAAAAAAAAAAATCTGTGGTCACAATTTTAGATTAATTTTGCATCAGAAATAGAGCTTTAACAATCAGCCAATTAATTGATTGGTCTACAAACTTAATATAGAAAAAATAAGGGATGAATTCGTCATTTTCAAAATAATATTTTCTGTAAAAAATGACAATATTTAAATGGGTTATTGTCACAAATGGGCACAACAATGGAAGCAGTTTGAAAATCCGATTTGCTTTATTCTCCTATTGAGATATATAAAAATGTTGTTTGAAAGTATCTGAGAAAAATCATAAACTCCTGCCCAACACAGTAAAGAAATGAATTTTGTTCACAAAAAACCCTACATCCTAACATCTGAGATTCTTTTGGCCCTCTGTAATGTGATATGCTCTCTGCAGTGAAGTTAATGACAGTGGCTGCATAAACCCTGATCTGGAAGTTCTAGTGACCACAGGGTTACACCAGGACATTAGCGGAGCCTCGCAAAAGAATTAGCTCATTAATGTAATGGTAACAATATGGAATCAGCCTCCCCGGGGAGAGATACGGCAAGAGCATCTCCGCAGCTGCATTTTTTTTGTAAATCACTCAGCTTATCTGGTGGGAGGAGGTGATCAATACGGCAGCATCACTGTAAACAGATAATGTAGCGCACTCGGGGGCTAGTGTCTGCGTATCGGCCCATTAGGCCACACAGCGATCCAGATGACGGATAGTGATAAGTAGACAGCCGGGCTGCGTCCTTGTGTTGCATCTCGTCACCACTGACCTGTCTGAGCTGCATTACAAGGTTAAAATGTGTGACCTCTCCTGACTGCGTTGTTGTTTACAAAATTTAACTAAAAAAGGAAGTGCTATATATTTGAGCAAAGTTGTGTCTATTCAACTCACCGCTGCACCGGGATTCACTTTTATGTACTGTACTTTGATGAAAACAGAGCTTCATTTATCTTTAATGGTCCATTTTAAAAACATTTCTATCTATACTATACGAGCTCTTGTATACAATATATACCAGATTTAAAGTCTCCATAGAGGTGGACTGATGTGCTAGTAATGGGCTTATGTTTGGTGAAGCCAGGCAATTAAATAACTTTTATTCAATGGACAAACTGTGACTGGTGTTAATCGAGTGTTATTCTCTCTGCAGGGAATGACATTTCACCATGTGTTAGAGGTTTAGATTTAAAAGAAAGCCATGTCGTCCCATTCTTTTACAATTACTCAGAATTCACCACAGCGTTTAAATGGCCCGGTATGCATAAGATACAAAATTAGGGCTCATCTTTATTTCCCTTCCTCCGACACAGCATGTCAGATGTTTCATAACGCATGCAGGTATCATTTGAACTAATATGCATGTCCTGTAGGAATGAGCAAAACAAACACCGAGTACAAAGAAGTCCCCACGTAAGATAATAACTTTTCTTCCAATTCAGAAGTCTGCCTGAAAAAATTCCACCAGATTACAATGATTGAGGAACCGAGAGAGTAAAACAAAAATCAATATACATGTGATGCCCTTTAAAAGCCTTATAAATATAAGAAGCATTCGTCCATTAGCAGAGATTCAGAGACCAGTAAATGCTAATGAATGGGAGAGCAAGGCCATTCGAGTCCATTACAGAGTCCCACTAGTGAGTACAGCGGCCTCTCTGAGGTTATCTACTGGCAGGGCATGCAAACGCCAGACCCACAACTCAAAAATACTCCGCACTCTAAATGATAGATGAGACACATGTGCTTTTTGTGTTTCCAGAGAAAGGAACGGACACAAATTGATCACGGAAAATGGAAATGTTTCCCCTTTCTAAACGAGGCGGCGCTGTTATTCAAAAGTACATTTTAAGAATATTTATGAAGATGGAGTAAATATAAACAGTGATGGAGGAGGTTAGTCGAGATTAGCTCATTCACTTTACGATATTGCAAAAAAACAATCACAGAGAAGAAATAAAGAAGTGTGTGTGTGTCGTGGGTTCAGAGAAAGGATAGAGTCAAAGTGAAGTCGTTGGAAGAAAGAACTGGAACAGCTGTTTAAGGGTTTGTGAATTTAAAGGAGAGAAGACAGACATCTAAAAGAAAAGGAGAGCCAAGGAATGGTCTTAAAAATAAATCAGTTAATTCTTACGCAGCTTGGCAAACATTTCTCAAACATAAAAACGCCTCAACTGCATAAATGTTTACATGTTTGTCAGTGATTTATGTGTACTTCCAGTCTTATTTTATAGAATGGACAGGCTTTATTGTTGCAATACAATGTACAAGGAAATTAAGAAATGCTACTCCTTCTCATAACAACAACATTCATTCTAGTAAAAAAAAAATGTTTGTGTATATTGCACAATGATTAATATAGTGGATGGAAAATGGTGTATTTTGCATATTGAAAAAGTAACTTGCACTAGAAAAATATATTGCACTGTGTATTTGTGTGGCTTGGTGGGGAGAGGGGTCAGAGTGTACTGAAGTTCAGTGCGGCTCCACGAGGAAGAAACTGTCTGTTACTATGTCGCGTTTGAGTACAGCTTTGATTGATGGTTTTGATGTTTTTATCCTTATTAGAGATTGAGTAAGGAATATTAGATTCAACACTATGGATGGAAATGTATTAAAAGAGATGACGTAAAGCAACATTATCCCATCTAATGGAAAGTTATTAAAACAGAAAGTGTATTTTTTAATGAGCTCAGCATGCGGGTCCTGTTTATTATTAAACATTAATAAAGGCTCGCTCACAGCAATAACTGTAAGTGCAGGAAAAATCATTCAACAAACACCTGTTACAATCCCAACATTAAACCCTACATTTAGAGCAACACCATGTAGATCCATCTCACTCCATTGAGCTCCAAAACAACAACAACTGCTCCTCCATTCAGAAATCAAACTGTTGTGCTCATAATCTAAATAGACAGCTCACCCTTCTGGCTTAAACCAGAAAGTTCATTAAATGATTTTAAAAAGAAATGGAGGACAAACCACTAGTCCACTTTTGTTTTGAATTGTCTGTTAAATAACATTAAAGATACCCTAATTTTTTTATATATTAAGAAATATCATGATGTGAAAGAAAATGTAACTATTTAATTTTTGTGACAGTACTCACTTGTGAGGGATACGAGGAACTGAAGTGGGCGTGGAGGCAGCAGTGATGACCTGCAGAATTTGTTCCAGCGCAGACAGGCCGCCGCCCACTTGGAAGGCCACTTGGTCTGCATTGTTCTGACGACAGAGAGAGAGAGAGAGAGAAGAGAGAGAGAGAGAAAGAGGCGGTGAAACAGAGGTACAGTCAGGGGAACAACAGGCAACAGGGCTGTACAGGGGATTACATGGCTCTCACACAGAGAGGGAACCTCTCTTTTCTCCTTCAGGAGCGAGGGATTGAAATTTGACACAAAGTGATCCCAGAAGTATTCCTGTTTAATCTCAAAAGTGCACAACCCGACTCCGCCCCACAACAGTTGGGTTTCAGTGGAAGGCAAATGCTCTGCAGGCTCAAGTTAGCACCAGGGTGGTCTCACCTGATGACCACAGTGGACTGCAACTGAGGGAAACACAGCTAAGACAAACTAAGAGAGAGGCACTAAAAGAACCGTAGAATTAGGATAATTATTCTAAAATGCAAGTTTACAGAAAAACCTTTTTATTATCAGTCCTTCATCAAAATGTTTTTCAACCTTCAAACTCAATGCATCCTTGGATATTTGCACTTATTTACAACCTGATTTCAAATTCCCCGTTCCTCCTTTTTTTATATAACTTCAAAGAATGACCTCAGTGAACACAGCACAGTGGGCTGCTCTTTCTGGTTGTAGTGAACACGTTATTTTTTGCTAATTTAAGGTAGAGGCCTCTCAAACCAAGAATTCTGAAACACATTTAAAAAAGGTCATATATCCTACTCCTGCTGTAGTTTAATAAATATAGATGACGATCATTCGTATAGTAAATACAGTTCTACCTGTTGTTAGAGGTTAACTTTAAAACAAATGCTGGTATATTCTAAAAGTTAAAAAAAAACTGTGATTGAGGTTAGTTGCATGATTTCAAACAATCAGTTTTGTAATATTAAAGAAAAGAACCCCTTTCTGTGAACAATGCACTAACATGTAAAAAGGACTTAATAAGTAACCAAAGGATTGGAGACCGCTTAAGGCCCGTACTTGTATTTTTTTTTTCCAGTTGAGCTAATTAGTTTCTATCTTTTCTTAAGTTTTTGTTTTCCTCACTTCATGTACATTACAGTTGACAGGATTTATGAACACATGCAAATACTTAGTTCCTGCCCTCCGGTGATGATGGAGTAATTGGCAGTGGGTCAGATGCTGTTGCTACAGTGTCTTATAAATCAACAAGTACAAAGCCAGGAGCGAGCGCTGACTATCAGGCATGTTTGTGCCTGGGTTGGCGGGGAGCTGGAGGGGAGCTGCTGATGGACGGCCTTCCTCACACAACTGCAGAGGGCCGTGTTACACTGCAGGTCACTCCTCCACCTAATGAGGTTACAGGCTCCTCCAGTGCTGTGACAGCACACAAATCCAGCCACTTCACCATGCTTTTGTTCAGAAGATGGGAAGTTGCCAACAAGTCTGAACACACTGAGAGAGAAGCGCTTTACCAAATTACAGATAAGCTCTTCATCTGTCATTCATGCCTGCCGCTGAAGAGGTAACAGCTCGGTGATTCCGGTGTTAAGACAAGACAGAAGAAGCACCGAACAATCGTAAAGGGTTTGGAACAAAAAAAACATTTACAAACATCACCAAAGACCCCTTACCTACGACAGAATGAGAATATGATCGCAGGCGGTCTCAAGAGGCAAAACAGTGTTTTGGAAAATGACTTCCTTTCTGTGTATTGCTCCCTGTTTCTATGCCTTATCAATTGGTTCTCAGTCACTGATCTCAGCTTAACCCCTTTCTTAACCCTCCTATCAACACACCTACCTAAAAGCTTCTAGGCTAAATGAGAAAAGGCATCTCTTTCATAGCAGCTTATCAAATGGTATTAAAGGAGGTAACTGGGACCTGCCCAGTCCTGGCTGTCTCCTGTGAAAACCACACAAGAGTTTCTTGTCCAGTCAGTGCCTTCTCTGCCCCGCTGACAGATTTATCTGTTGTGATGATGGAACAAAACGAGTGAGGAGGATTAACTTTAAACTACATGACATGCTATCTTCAGGTGGTGTCTACATGCAATGGTCCACAGAAAACAAGGAAGACACCAGACTCTTACTGTGAAGACAAACACTTAATGACGTAATGTTTAGGTTGGTTTTGCATGATAAAAGCTCGGAGGTCTGGGAATGTTGATCTTTGTGCAAACTAAGCTGTTGACTTTCAGAGCAACTGCATCCAATGAGGATGTTTCCTTTTATAAACGGAACCACGCAGGGCAACAGAAATCAAATTACAGTGACAGTGGATCGAGCTGAATTTGAATACAAACTGAACAGGATATAAAACTATGTTTTCGGTCAGTATTATTAAAGGGTTATTCAGGAAATATCAAAACAACGATTGAATGGGCTGCCAGTAAAATCTGTGCAGATATTTCTGATCCTCAAATCACATTGGCAGTTTTCTGACTTTCCCTGATTTTCTCACTCTGAGGTGAGACTGGAGGTGAGTAAAACATCTCAATAATTATATATTTGACTTTAAATTTGGACTTTCATGTCCATATTAAGGATTTACGTGAAATTTAAACATCCATTTCCTTTCATTGTGCCAAAGTAACAAAAAAAATATTTTTTGATGAAACATCATGATTGTAGTTGTTCAGAGATCTCCTGCACTATAAATCTTGTTCTCAAACGGTACAGAAACATGGTGGTGCCCAAGTAAAAAATAAAAAATGTGATGAAAAATAATCATTCCAGCTCATTATTACTCAAATAACTGTTGCTATGTGATTTTTTTTTATGGATATCATGAAGATCTATTTAATCTAGTCCAGCTAAATCAGTTCAAAACAATATATGTCTAATTAATTGGTCTATGATTAAATACCACAACTAATGACACTCCAATCAGGTCTCAGCTGCACAGTGTCTGTAGCACTGAGATTGATAGAATGCTAACACTAGCCTAAGTTTGATTTAAAGCATATATAAGCATGCCAGCATTAAAGTACATGTACAGGTTTCAATGAATACCACAGAGCCTTTAAAACAATGTCCAGGAGTCATTGTTTTTCAAAAAATATTCCACAAATCTAGAAGTACAACTGAAAAGGCCACTGTGTCAGAAGCTGCAAAAAACCCCCACAGTAATAGGATGAGCAGCTAATTACCATCAACATGAAAAAACGACAAAAGAGTCATCATTGTGGACGGCGCATTAAGACACAAGTGAGAAGGATGGCTCCTGCATTATACAGCAGGGGGAATCTTATCGAATTATCGTCCAGGGTGACCATTGTTACCCCAGCTGATTGGAAGCTGAAGCAGCTGGCAATTCCTGGGACAGTGTCCGCAGACCAGCCGAGCAGCCAGATTGCACTTTATAGTCTCCTCCCATCAGACTCTTTCATTAAAACTGAGAGGAGGGAACAGCCTCGGTCATCCTGCCCCCAAAACAGATGGACAACAACTGGCAGAGTTCATCCAGGACAGCCTTAAAGTTTGATCTTCAACTTCAATTCACGGGTTCACTCCTTAACAACTAAAAACCAGCAATGACAGCGAAGAGTAAGACGGATCACCCTCCCCACATTACATTCGTCATTATGCAGCCCGACAGAGAAGCTGGAGGTTGGTAAACAAAGCTCTGTGGGCTGAGTCGACTGGAAACCGCCACAAAGCTGCTGGAGTAAACATTTAAAGGTTGAGTGTAAACTTGGGTGTTTATAAGACATAATAACATGAGTTAGAAGACAATGTGGCAAATAAGGAAACAGATTATTCCCGTGTAACTTTATGGAATAAACAAAGGTCAGTGTGGCACAAAATCAAACCAGCCATGGAAACCGCAGAAGGCGTCTAGTTGTAAAAAAAATACAGAAGAATAAGCTCAGAACAATTTCACTCTCTGTTTGTGGTGAGGAAACACGAATGTGACTGGGGGAACAAATAACAGCCTAGGAAAAAAACAAACAACAACAAAAAAATACCTTAAATCTGAATCTTTACAGCTTCCTTCATTTCCCATTAATGTACCAAGACAAGAATTACGAAGTCCATGTTGCAACATCTAAAAGGAAATGTCTGTAATTAAGACAGAAACTGACACTTGCCTTCTTTATGAAAGATTCTATTGGGTTTATAATCTTATTTTACCATGTTCAAAATAATGACAAAAGCCAATACTAGGAGTGGAAATCACCAGAGGCCCCGCGATACGGTATTATTGCGATTTTAAACATTTTGTCTTTTTATTTCTACACAAGGGGAGTCAAGTCCACACACTGACCAGCACTGAGATACAACTAAAACCCTGTAAAAGGCTGCATTAACTTCACAATCTGAACTGTTGGTATTTCAGTCTAATCCAACTTGAACATGATTCAAACACTGTCTATTAAACACTAATTACTTACACACACACACACACACACACACACACAGGCCACACACACACACACAACACATGAATATAGCCCTTTTCTGGCCTGTGCTCACTGTAATTGTCTGTTGTGTTGTATTGCAGGTGTATCGTCTCTTGTCTTGCAAAAAAAAAAATATTATAATAATAATAAGAAAATATCGATACTTGCCGTCCATGAATTGATATAATATCGCCACAAACTATCTCGATACTATGCTGTATGGCTTTTCTCCCCCCACCTCTAGTCAATAAAAAGAGGCAAAATATTATCTTTGTACTGTTTACTCAGTAAAAGCATTTATTTAGTTTAAATACATTAAGATAAGAAAACAAGTAAATAACAGTGTTAGGTAGTTTTGCAAGAAGGAGGACATTGAGTGTTACATTTTATTACAAGGTCTAACTAATAAACCGTGAGCATTTGTTATTGTCGTCTCGACAAACAACAAAAACAAGAAGTATGGCCTCATAATAAATATGCAGCCATTTTTTGTAACCTTTAACTGTAGACAGCTTCCTTAAAAGAGCTCTAATATGCAGCACAGTAAACCGTTCAATTCAAGCTTCACGGAGTAATGTTCAGCTCATAAAGTTTGATAGCATGCTGCTTGCTTTAGCTGTCCCGAGTTCCCCTGTTCTGACAGGAAGTCTTCTGGAAGCAAAAGCAAGAAACTCCATTATCCTCCACCCGGGTACAACTCCACCAGTCCCTCACAGCTCCCTACCTGTTTCACCTGACCATTTCTAAATAGGTTTTAAACTGAAAGCAGTTTTATACACAGTATTTTTTTCCCAATATTTAAACACCACTGCTTAATTCAACAAGAAGTGTGCAGCAATAAGTAAAGAACGACACATTTGAAATATGTGATTCAAAATTGCCAGCGGTAAAACTCAAATAAAAGCAGGTTTGACTCAAAATAAACCATTACAGGCCACAGAGGGAGACACAGGCTGGAGTCTGAGACTAGACGTAGCCTAGAAAGCATGAAGGGGTGGGCGGGGGGGGGGGGGGGGGAGGGAAGTGTGGTAGGACGCAAACAGCAATACTGCGGGAGGGGGAGTGTCGGGTGTTGTCTGAGGAATTAGTAGAGAAAGTGGAGACTGAATCAGATATGGCGGAGAAAAACAAATCTCTAGGTGAGTCAATGACACGAGAGATGCTTGTTAGGTCAAATAATCTAAACGGCCCTGACTTGATGTGACTCAGGGGCCAGACAGCCATGCTGACTGAGACTCTATTTATTTGACTTTGTCCAGGGATTAGAGAGGGAAGTGCTCCCCAGGCTGCCTCATTGGCCGATCACTTTGTCCCACTCAGCCCTGGCTGGATGTTTCTGTAAGAAGCTGGCGAGGCAGGACTTGACAAAACAGTTCAAAAATGTGCTTTTTTTAAACTGAAGGGAAGGACAAAGAAAAAGCTGCCAGGCAGCGCCTCCTCGCCAGCGACACCACTCTCAAATAAAGAACATCTCCTGTGGCCCACTGACCTCTGACCTCCCCTCTGGGAGTATGTTAAGCAGAGGGGAGGAGCCCTCATGTAGTGACAGCTTGTGAGCTACTCACATCACACTGGTCTCCTCCTCTCTCCTTACAGTGCCACCCACCTCAGCCACCTCTTTCTTTGCCTCTCTGGGGAAATCCGGTAATAGCCTCTCCGGCCGTCCCCCTCATCACTGATGGGACACTATAATCTCTCTATCCTCACGCCCAGAGGCAGGCACAGTGAGATGTTATGATGGCTCCAACCACAACTTGGCAGGAAATTTATGCCTCATTACAGGAAGTGGGCTGTATATTTTCCTCATCATAAATGCGGTGGCAGGTGTTTTAATTCCTTCTCTCAGCCTCAAATTGATGCGAGTTTTACTGTAAAAAAAATACTTCATGCAACAAACCCAATGAGACAGATGTTTCAAATCAAGTACAGTTATAAATGTCTGCCATTATATCTGACAATTATGTGTATTTATACAGCGGTAATGAAGTCAGAAAAGGCAATTCCCTGAAAAAATGTCAAATGTGCTTGTCTGTTAAATAAAGTCTTGTTCACCAATGGCATTTCATCTGGAAATCCAATTAACCATTGTCTAAACCAGTGACATCTGAGTCGTGTAAGCCACAAGGACAAAAGACAATGCCAGCTCTCGTGCTGGGAAGCCCCCTCTATTGGTACCATGTGCACAATGAAAACACAGTTAATCTGGTCTTCATTAGCCAATAACCAAAGGCAAGTAGGTTTGGAGTAAGTGATACTCTATATTGGGAGGGTGAGACACGGGGAGACTCAGCCAAAAACAACTCATCACTGAAGAGACATGCCAAAGGGCTGGCATGACCCCTGCACTGCCGCCAAGCAACGAGAAACTGTCTGCAGTGTAGCACGTAATGCAGCAAGGAAAGAGGGGTAGCAATAGGCAAACATTATAATAAACATCTGCACTAGAAAGTAGGGGGGGGGGGTTAGGTGCATAAAAATACACAGCCAATCAGTTCAAATTATAACCCTTAAACCAAAAAAGTCATGTTCATACATTTTCTATGATATTAATATGATCCTTTTTTTTGTTGCTCTACCTGTTTCTCTAAGATGCGTGAGATCTCGCCCAGAGTTCTGTCCAGACCAGACACCTTGTTGTTTGCCCACTGGCCACTGTCCTGGCCTTGGAGCTGCTTCAACAGGTCCTTCACCAGGCGCTGCAACCTGAAAACCAGTCAATGGTTTTTAATCAATCTGTTTGTTAATACAGGTTATGATCCGTCATGTGTAGTATTAACAGTCAAAGAATCGACTTTGTATAAGAGATTCAATGACCAGGCAGTTGAGTAAACCTTTTTTTCACACCAAAAGATAACATTCTGTTGAAATAATTCATTCTCAGTCATTGTTCAGGAAAATAAAAACAATGAAAGACTGGTTTGAACTTTTAAAAATGGGACAGTTTGCTGGAATTATTTTTTTCTAATGACTGTAGATGTAATATTTTTAGGTTTTAACAGTCTAACAGGACATTGACCAGGGCTAAAAAATATAAAACAGGGCAGCTTATTAAAATGAAATACTAAAAAAAACATCATTCTCCTGAGGTGCCTTTAGAAAAAGTGGTAACAGAAAACAACGTTTTCAACTTTTTTTTTGTTTTAAATTCTTGGCCTTTTCTCTATAACTGACTTAATAACTGAAATATTGCTGACAAAGGTCCTACAACTCAGCCTGATTTTATTAGGGAAATAAATTGAAAAACTAAAAAAGAACTGATGAAACTTCAAATTCAGAAAAAAAGGAAAAGACTCACTTGGCTTTGTATGGCGATTCAGGGACCTGTGTCTTAGCCTCCATTGATGTCTCATATTCCTTTGCCCTGCAGACGGAAAAGAAGGAAAAAGTCTTTGAATCCCAGGAAAAAAGTCTTTGGTCTGTCAGTAAAGAACACATCGGATGAAAGCGTGAAGAGAGAGAGAAAGTTCAAACTGAGTTTGTTTATTTGGCCTGTCAGCCATTCACCAAGTAACTCCGCTTTAAATAATCAGACACCGGCTCTGTAGGGACGGTGGTTTGCTGCCATAGACTCATGTTATGAAATGTTTTTTCTACCTTTAAATCCACCTTCCTTTGAGTCATTTTCAGAAGGGAGGCTCGAGTTCTTCACTTCTCTCATTGTCAAATAAACAGTTAATCGGGGTTACAAGCAACGCAACCAGTGTTTTTAATGTGTGACCCCCCTCTTAAAAAGGGCACAGCCATTAGGGGACTGGCTTTTTTTTTTCTTTTCTGTGGCATTACTCCAGCAGCCGGACTCTTAATTCTGAGAATCACAAACTATGTGCTTGTGTGTCTGTGTGTGTGTGTGTGTCTGTGTGGAGGCGGGTGGGGAATTGTATCTGCCAATCAGGCATTCCCAGACATGATAAGAAACTATTGATCTGAGTAAGATAGAGCGCCTTCCAGTTACCCATCTCTTCCCTCCACTCTGATAGGATCAAATGCTTCCAGGAAGACAACAGGTGAGTTTGTCCAGGCATTCGTCAGACATGGAGTGACCTTAGTCTCATCTCATCCTTTTTTTTTTATTCATTTGACTACATTTTCAAAAGCACACTCCAAATGCATTTAGAAAACAATATGTATATACACAAGCTGTCAGTGAGGTTTACATACAAAAAAAAAAAGGTGAGCAATATTTCATTTTTCATTCTGGATATTGTCATCAGTTTGTTTGTCCTGCTGTGTTTTTAAGATAATGTGACGCAGAGACTTGCTTTCAAAATGGCCTAGACTGTGTCTGCACTGTGTGTCATTAAATAACAATATCAACCTACGACAGCTTAACCGTACCTGGTTAAACAGAGATCAACCACTGAGCTTTAAATAGTTTAAGACTGTAGATCTGTTCATTACACAACACATCCCCATTCATTTGACCGCTTCTTCTTTCACAGAGACTCCCATCCAAAACATAACTAATAAAAACAACACAGGCCTACAAAAGAAGCCATCAGGTTAGTGTCAATAAAGGGGAGTACCGTAGATCCCACAAAAACCTAAAAAAGTGTACAAACATTTTGATTACTCAATGTACCAGTGCTTAGAACCTACACAGCCTTTATAATGTAAGTTAGTCCACCAGGTGAACTGAGTCAATACCATGCTTGCCCCCTTCATACTGTAGTCCGTACTCCATACAGGAGTGACTTTGTAACATACCGCCATCTGGGGTCAACACACACACAGAACAACACACTGGCCACTCTGTTCACTCGTCTGTTGCTCAAACCAGAGCATGGGAGGGGAGTGGGGGGGAGAGACTGAGACTCAAAATTCTACCTGACACTGGTTACTTTTATGAAATTTTAACGGTAAATTTTCCCTCCGAAAGCACTTATTAAAGAAGGTGAGCCATGCAGAAAAAATAAACTAAATCAAAAACCACACACAAAAGAGACCATGTGTGTTTAGAAGTGTGTACACTGGTTTATGACAGAGCTGCATGATGTTGGCCTGGTGAAAAGTCTGGCGAGAACCACTCACGTTTTACGGACACCGCAGTGTTCCAATAAAACGGCTCATTTCCACCCAGCGGTGAAGCGGCTCACCTTTATGTTTACTGGAGCTCTGTGTTATTTATGACCCCTGGAAGCCTGCTGCCTTTGAGTGCTGGTCTCAGCAGGGCTGGTGCAGGAGTGATAGTGAACAGAGACGGACCGTGTTGTCACTTTCTAAGGATGGTTGAGCCCGAAGCCAAAACCAGCAGCACTGAGCATACAGCACTGTAGCCGCCTCTAAACCCTCCTTTTAAATACTTAAAGGTGTTTTATAAAAGGTTGTATTAACAGGGATGGTTTCTCACTGTTTTGTGCAACAGCTAACACAAAACAATCGGTTAACAGACTAAATGATTGTAGGTGAACAGAAATGGGTTTGTTGGAAATTTAACTGAATTTAACAGATTTAGAAGAGTGTATGGGTCTTGTCCACAAAAAGTCAAATCTTTTAAATCTATATTGTGATCATGATTAAAAAAAACAGACTTTTATCATTAAATCCTTCTTAAACATTACAGTCATCCTTTTTTTGTGATCAAATGTAAATTGAAATTAATTACAGTCATCCTTGAAGAAGAATTGGTCTGATAATATCTTACAGTAAGTACTTTCAACAGTGTGTCTCTTTCCCCTCCCCCCTCTCTCTTTGTTGTGACAGCCTGTTAAATTGATTGAACTCAGGTCCAGGTTCTGACACACAGTAGCTCTACCTCCTATTTGTTGATTACTATTGATTTTCTTTGATACTTCATTTAAAAATCAATAGCTCAGAAGACGAAAAAGTAGGCATAGCTCATTCATACTTTAACATACATCCTGCTCACTAAAGGAGGCTTCAGATTTGGCAGAAACTACGGATCGATTTGCAGTTTCGCTGCCCAATCATAGAAAGTGGTCCTAAATTAAGCTCATCAGTGTTACCTTGTGGACAGCCGGGATGCACATAACATCTTCTTCACTTCTCTTGTCTCTCGTAAAAAAAAGCAAGAAAAAAAAAAAAAAGCCCTGGCACAGTTTTGTCCGCTGTGCATCTCAGGGGACGGAGAGGAAGAAATAGAGACAGAGGGAGAGAGAGATAGAGAGAGAGAGAGAGAGAGAAACTGGACTTGTTACCTGGAGTTCATCCTGGCACGGAGCTTCTTTGCCTTCTTCCTCGCCTTCTGCCTCTCCTCTCCATCCTTCATGCTCTCAGAAGACACAGAGCTGTCCGTCACTATATCCACTATGTATTTCTTTAAGGAAAGATGCTCCTAGAAAACACATACAAATGATACATGAAACATACATCGTGAGGAAAATAAAAGACAGAGAAAATATATAATGTGCTGTTTTTTTTTGCCGAAACATGCCAACAAATGAGTGGTGGAGATTTGCAGTCCATTTTACTGGAGATTATACATTTGCTGTATATATTTTTTAACTTCTACATTGATCCACTTTATTAGAATGAAGATGAGATATTATAGATCAGACTTACAAAATATGTATTTAACTCAAAGTATTGAAGTGTGACATTGTTAAGGCTGCAGATGAAACTTAGATACAAGGAAAATGCAACATGTCATGATCTTTCAAGAGTTGTACGTTGAGTACATTTTTATCAGCACTATTAAAGCAGCTAAAAGTGATGTTTTAGATTTTTTTTGCATCAGTGTTGTTGAGTTTTCTGTACTTTTACTGAAGTAAAGGATCACAGTACTATGGCCACTAACGATAAAATGAATAATACTGCTATAGATAATATATAGTGTGACATGTATATCTACACCTCTATACAACACCAGTGTGCCTGGCCTCTACACACAAAAGCTCCAATCTTTTGAAGTCACATCCCCAACAGGCATGCTAAAAGGCTGGAGGTGTTGCTTCCTGTCTCTCTCTTTCAGATGATTCTGATATTTCCACCCAGCGACGGGAGAATGTAACCCAATTTGGACAACATGATGCATGTGCAAGAAACCAATTACCCAATTATGCTGTCATCCAGCACCCCAGAGGATAGGACGGTCTCAGAGATACAGGGTTTCCATTCAGCAGTCTCGCTAACCTGAGTGTGGGACGCTGTAGCCTTTGGTCACAAGTGTTGTCAGTGCACCTGCTATCTGAATAGAGGTTTTCACTTTAGGTAAAAAAAAAAAAAAAAACAGGTGTTCTTAGATGGGCTGCAAAGAATGGGAGTGAAAAGGAGCCTCGCTATGATCTAAATCTAAGTGTTTTCAATAATCTTACTTTATTAATGAGCCTCACTGCAAAAGTAATTTAGCTCCTTTGAAGAGCTTTTGATTTGTGGCGATTCTGGAGCTCTTACGGACTAAGTGGTCTTTGCTGAACTTGTGCAAGTAGTGTTTTTTATTTTATGAAATCTCATCCTGCTTTCTTTTACCGGGCAGATGTATCACTCGCTGTGATAACTATAAATACAGACTGTTTCAGCAGTGAGTTTTCAATGTATTCGTCTGACACCTTCCTGGCAGCAGCAGGTACAGACATCAATATAGAAATGATCAACCTTGATGGTGGTCTTGCTTGCTTTTGCAGGAACAAAACAACCCAATTGTTTAAAACATTTTTACACCTTTTTTGTTGGTGGAAGTGGACAGGATTCTGCTGCAAAAAGGAAACGTCATATACTTCTATGTATCTATCAATGCTGATTTAAATATTTCTAAATCCTGAGATAGTTGTGGGATGTTTTGCTCATGAAGCCAGAACTGTCAAACAAATCTGACACTGCCAATCCAAACAAGTTAGCTGAGGATATGAGGAATTTAGTAGGTAAACAATGTTCTTATATTTGAAAATAGTTTGGATTTTCAGGAGCTTTAGTGCAGATGAAGTGGTTAGCTTGCAAAAAATTGGCACCATCTGAATGTTTTTTTTTTTTGTTGTGCGGAAAGTAAAAATAGTAAAGAAGGGGATGTAGATAACTGTGAATATGAAAACGGAACAGGGACTGCGAGTCCTATATTTTCTTAAGAAAGAGGTGCTGTTGTAAATGTATGCGCTCACACCTGTGCCCTCTACTCCTCAATACCATGGGTCAATCATGACTCATGCTGTAGCTGTCCCTCACTTTGGGATGCAGCTGTTCAGTAATCTCTCTGAGAGACTATGCAGTGCATGGCCCACTCACTTAATGGAAGCGTTTCAGTAACACATCCTAACATTTTAACAAAATTACTCTGGTCACATAAAAGGTTATCCAATATGTTAGGCTGTCACGCCAACTATGATCCTTAAGGAAATAAAAATTATAATTGTAACTTCAAATTTCCTGTTGTAGGGAGACAGCTTTGAGATTTTGAGACAATCAGACTTGACAACACACAGGTGTCCACCACTAAACCATTGTTATAAGGCAGCAAAGACGTTGGCCTTAGGATATTGCTACACCACAATACCACACATTGCCTCTGGTTGGAGTAATGTGACACCAATCTAAACATCTCCCCCCTTCCTCTGTAACTCGTCTGAAGGGAGCCAACACAAATACAGAGTCTATAGGATATGTTCTTTCACTGCGTCTTTTGTTAAAAACAAAGGCTATTTCACACCCCTGACTCTGAATATAATTTCAAACAATACAGGGACTAATACGTGACATTTTTTAATTGAACTGAGTCCTGTTGGAGCAATTCGGAAGATTTAAACTACTTCATTAGATCCCTCAACAGCAGCCGCGCTGCAGTAACAAGACACATGTCAGATCTGAAAACAGTGTGGAGAGATTGAGGCTCACTTCAGCTGGCAGTCTGGATATTTCATCAAGCTTCTCAATTTGTGGCTATCAGTGCAGCATTAACTACACGACTATTCAAGGCCTTTGGGAGGTCAGCTCTTATACCCTCTGCAGCCGAGTGAACCTTTTTCTTTGGCAAGCTCTTCAGACAAGCAGAACATAGAAGCTCAAATATTTAATAAATAAATAGTCAAGAACTCAGAAGTCAAGGGTATATGACTGGTGTGATATAACCTGCTTCATACTAAACCAGGACTCGTGGTGAGTTCAGTTTGAACTGCAATCTCAAGCTCTGTCCTTATACATTGATCCTTAACAGTTGACAATCATTGTGTTTTTAATTTAATTTGCAAGTCTTTCACAATGAGACTAAATGAACGTATACAGAGGTGTAGGACATTTCTCCACACGCTGCACCTGAAGCGACCTCTTCACAGGTGCATCAATCGTCTTCATTTTAATTAAAAATCTTTCAATGCAGGTAGAGTAATGGAGGTGCGGCCTGGAAAATAGTTGGCAGAATTATGAATGAAGAACAAGACACCAAATTTAGCTTTGATATAATTAACAAGGGGCCACAGAAGTCTATCCAAACACTGCCTCCACAGTGAGATTTATTGGAAGCTTGATAATGTCAAGACATATTAAATTATGATCTTGTGCGACTTCTACATTTCCCACTTCAATAACAAACACGCATTTAAAACTTTAAAGGGAAACAAAATCTAAATCATTAAGATTGACTTCAGCAGGGGCTGACTTGTCTTGATAAAACAACAATGTGAAAGTTGAGAAAATAGTCTCAACATTATTGATAAAGCTATATGATGAGGGGGCGAATTATAAATGAAAAGGAACTTTTGATATTGGTGAAGTGTCTGTGTATCATATTGTCAAACCAGAGAAAAATGACCTAATTTGGACAGGAAATGATTTAGAGGAAAGAAAGGAAGGGGTATCAATTATTCTACACTGAAAAATGCTTTGAATGAAGGAGCTGCCGGGGCTAAAGGTGCTGCGTATAGCACCAACAGTTGTCAGCCTCACAATGAGCACGGCTGAAAAGCCAATCTCATATTGCAGCCTGAGAGGTTACCTTGCATTAATGAGCTGCCTTCTCATGGAAAAGAACTCCGTGACAAAAAACAGCCTGGAGACAAGGGGGTGATGTCACCCCTCCACTGAAGCACTGAACCCTAACTGTGTACATTTCAAGGCCCATTTGTAATCTCACAAAGCCAACAGAAGAGACGTGACGGTATAAAAGGGGATGCATAAACAATAATAATGACCTTGTCATAAAAGCATTCAGCCGTGCCTTTGTCTTTTTTACATGACACAAGCAGCAGCAGAGCAGTATTCTTTGACAGGATGAGTGGATGTTTGTTCCTGGCAGGTTGTGTGTGATACGCACCACTTCCTCATCAGAGAGCTCCCGTCCTTGGATGCTACTACTGTCTCGCACGGCCTGTTGGTGCCTCTTGCCCTTGGTGTGGCTGAACAGGTGCACCTCCGTAGTGATCTACAAACACAAACACAGTGGTCAGAGGTCACTGCAGCGGACACAAAGGAGACAGAGGCAGGAAAGGGTCAACAGAGCCCCATGGGACGCTGGTGAAACGATATACCACATCAGCTTTCAATAGGACATGACCTGGCTCTCCTGATCCTCAGCATGAAGCAAAAACTAAGAAAGGCAGTGCAATTTGTAAAACACATCACATTTGATCTGACTTTACAGTTGTATTTTACTGTTTAGCTTGCAGCAACCGAGTGGAAAAATTAACAAACATCATAGACCTCTTCCAAGGATGTTAATACTCTAATATAACACAACGGGTTTTAAAAATGTCCAAACATGCCTTCCCCTAAAGTATTGCAATCAAGAAGTCAAGTATTTGGGAGATGCAAGAGGACTACACAACACCACAGACTCCAAATAAATGTAGTAGATATGTAAATAATGATCACAACAATGGGCAGGTGTAAAGGCAAGTAATGTTCTCGTCCCATCTCTGGAAAGAGGCCCATTTTGAATGGTTTGTGTTTAATGTCATTAAATTAAGTGCATGCAGCTGACCAATCCATGATCTCTGGTGTCAGATGCTGGCCAAGGTTATCTATCATTTAACAAGATTACCTCTTTCACTCCAGACTCCAGACCCCCCCCCCCCTTGTTTGAGGACACAAGGTGAGGTAGCAGGTCTGTCAGAGATAAATGTGTCAGGTTGTAAATTTGTTGCCTGACACTTGAAAAAGCATAACCATGCCCAGTAATACATCTTAGTTTAAGAGCCCATGTTTAATCGATGCATTTAAATCCTATTTAAATGTGACCTCTTCTAAACTCCTCTGAATCACCTTCCTATTAGCTCTTTTATGAATAAACAGATTGCCCCAAAAAAAAAAAAGATGTGAGCTGTTCAGCGGCAGTGTCTCAATCTTTCCCTCCTACATGTGTACCAGAGAAAGTATTTTTGAACAACGTTATAAAAATGAAAGAACAATCAAAGCCTGTTTGGATGTAGATGACCTTCCTGAATTCCATCTGTATGATAACAGCTGCTTTTTGAAGTTGTTCTGTGAGATTGAACATACCACGACACAGCACAGGGAGCACTGTTTCTTGCGCTCATAAGGTGTCAGTTTTGGGGCGTAGTCCGTGTTAGCATGTCGGCCACTGCTGAGTTCAGCAGCCTTCTCCTTCCTCTGCTCAATTTGCTCCATATGCCTTCGGCTGCTCTCGTCATGCTGTGGAAGAAACCAGAAACCTCGGGTCATATGGGAAACGGGGATTTTTTTGAAGTTGTGTTTGCTGTAGATGCACGTTGTACACGTACCTTCATCTGGATTTTCTTCTGCAGCTCCTCCATAGCCTCCTGTTGAGCAGCACTAAGAGCAGCCAGACGTTCTTCCCGATCTCTTTAAGTAGAAGGACAGAGAGAAGCAGGGTTTGTATGCACAGATACACGGCTCTTACTCGTCAAAAATGACTTCAAATGAGGACTCTTGCAGCCTGTGCATAAGAATAAATAGATTTGAGAGCACATACCTGGCTCTCTCCCGTGCTGCATCTTCTCTAGCTTTCTCTTTTTCTTGTCTCTGCTGTTCAATACGAGCCTCCTGCTCTTTCCTCCGCACCAGCAGCTCCTCCAACCGTGCCTGCCGCTCAGCTTCCAGCACCCGTTTACGCTCCTATAGCGGGAGTGCAAAAAGTTTTTAGATGCATCTAAATCTGACAGTTACATTTGGAAAAAAAGTGGATGGATCACTGTTGTCGTTTTATTTTGAAGCACCTGCACAGCCTCATCTCTGGCCTGCTTCTCCTCCTGCCTCCTCTGCCTGTCTTCCTGTAGCTCGTTCAGGCGCTGCTCGTACTCATTCAGCTTCGCCAGGGCATCGTGCCTCTTGTTCTGGGCTTCCAAAGTGTTGATGAATGCAATTTCATTTACCTGTAGAAGACACACTCACATATTATATTTAATAAATTAAACACACAGGGTAAATACACTATGATAAACTAGGACATCTGTGAATAAATAAATAAAAAGCACAGGTCAGGGGTTATGCACGTATCTGAAGATTTAAAGTGTTATTTTTTTTTTTAAAGTTTAATGTGTGTACATAAATGTAGTAGAACACTTCAAGTGTTAAGGCATGAGTGCAAATGACCCATTTCTCGGCTGCCACACGTAGGTATGGTCTCCTCTACCTTTGCCTCTTCTTCTTGGGCCTTCTTCACAATCGCCTGCAGCTGCAGCTCTCGCTTAAACTCCGCATGTAACAGCTTTTCCTCCATCATCTTACGACGCTGCTCCAACAGCTCCTCCTTCCATTTCCTCACCTCCTTCTCCTGCACAGAGCGAAGAGTGACAAACAGGAGCATGTGACTAATCGCAAAAACAAAAAAACAATTGACGTACTCTGGTGTGACGCAGACAATGGATTCTAAACTTATTAGTTTCTACCATCTCCAGTAAGACCACAGTGGGTTTGACGCCAATACACACCACTTCATGTATTTATGTGGTTAATCCTGATTTATTCTAGGACTCCCTCATCTTTCCATGGCCTGGGGAACAAAAACAAACTTCATGAAAGGCTGTTGATTTTGGCCAGGGGTCTCTCTCACGACTGTCTGCGGCCAGCTGGCCTGGGTGCTATTTGAGGGGGTTGTAATATATTGTGATTCTATCAGGCAGTGTGCTGACAAAACCTCTCGTTATGAGCCAGACTGTGCCAAGCATGCATGGAGATTTTTTTTATTTTTTCATTTATTTTTTTTTAAAGGGTGCTTTCCGTCAACTTGGCACTTCTTACTCACTCTCTCCAAGAGCTTCTGCAGTTTGAGCGTCTTTTCCTCGCGGAGTTTGTCCCTCAGCTGCTGCGCCTTCAGCTGTTTCTCCTCATGTTTCTTCTTTGACTCGGCAATGGTTCTGTCAAATAATGGGAACAAATCATTTATCACCTGCTTTTCTCCCCTTATCAACAATGCACATGGCAGGCATATACTCTGATTGGCACTAGGCCTGTTTAGATGTTCTGGGTGGTAATCTTAAAGGAGGAAGCAGTTGAGTGGGTCTGTTACTCTCATGATGCTGGCTCAAATCATTGGAAGGAAAACAACAACAGCTAGAGCAATCACTGCACCTTTTGCGTGATGGTGAGGACAGTTTCTCGTGCATGTGTATCCCATGACCCGGAGGCCTAGCAGGTTCTTCTTCTACTATGTCGCCCCACGACGTGCTCTGACGCCATGGCTCGCGGGCTACAGGAAAGTCAAGAAAGGAAAAATAAATAGACTCCAGTTTAAAGTTTGTTATTACAATAAAATGAGAGTTCAGTTTTCATTTAGATGTTTAACTCCATACCATCATAGTCTGCCAGCACGTCTGTCCAATCAATGTTCGCTCCACAACCTCCGTTGCCAATGCTAGCCTGTGGTAAAGATTTGTGTTTTGACATACATCGCCATACATTTCAAATCTTAATTCCAGCTCAAACATGTAAAACGTCAAACAAAAAGCGCCCTACATTTACTATACAAATGAGTGTGATGAATCTTACAGAGAAGTCGCTCTCGTTGTCAGTGTCCAGGTCGTTGTTCTCAGCCTGGATCTCTCTGGTCAGCTGCTCCTCCTCAGCAATGGCACTGGCAATGGCTTCCTCGTTGGCCTTCTCCAGTCGGTCGGCGAGCTCCTCTTTCTTGGCCAGGACTTCTGCCATGGACTGGGGCTGAGCACATGGCATAGGAAGCACTTCACACACGCAGCAATTCACACTTCGCAAATGTTGAGTTCAAACATTTAAACAATTTGATTGTTTGAAATCAGAAAAACAGATATGAGTTATCATGCTATAAAAAGGCCTTTTTTTCCCCAGGAAGTCATCAATGTAGAAATGAAACAAGTATAGAGAGTGAGAAGTTCAATTTGGTTGCATTAGATTCCGGGATTGCTATTGTTCCTGACTGTTAACTGATAGTCAACTGTCGTGGCTTACCAGGACAGGACAACATCATGTGACACAGGTTTTCCTGAAGTCTTTGCTGCTTCCTTTCTGGAAAATGTTATGTTGACATAATATTCTTAACACCTTTTTTAAATTAAATAGATTGAACATATGATAAGAAGAAAACAGCATTTTCTCTAAGTTTAAGTAATAAAATATTTCATAAATCTTTGTAATTTAACAAAAGGCATTGCACCTATTGTAATTTATTTCATCGTGCAGTTGTCTTTTGATTTGAACTTGTGTGCATGATCTAAAGCCTAAAAGGGAACACCATGTTACACCCAATAACAGATTATACCACACAACCACCACAAGAATTCACGAGTGAGGAAGCATTCCAGAGTCATGCAGGGCACAATAACTGTGAGGATGATGAGATGGTGGAAGGAGGCAACTGATGGTTTACTCTGGGAAACTGTTGATCTACAACTGTATCAAGGGGATTTGTGTATTTTCATTGCGTGGCAATTTAAACAGAATGACTCACAGTTTCTTCAGAGAATATGTCTTGAAGTATGCGTGGGAAGTTTAAACATTCTTTGGGCCTTAATCTCCTGACACATGGGTATAGCCTCTGCAAGGTCAATGATTACATGATTTAAAAATCTTCTCTGAAGGCTATTTGGCCTCGAATTTAACAGCAAAGTATTCCACATTTTCATTCCCTACCTGTCAAAATCTGATATTTACACTTAAAAAGTGTAGTCATCCTTGACTAAGTGTATGTAGCTTTGTGTTTTTACACTCCATGATGCATTCAAATAGTCTATACACCTAATGTGGACAGACAGCAATTGCTTAAGATTTGACAAAGTTGGATTCAAACTAGATACAGAGTCCTGGATCTGGAGCGCTTTTTTTTGCATAGAATTTCTAAAAGTGGCCAAAATAACTAAAACAAGTTGTGGGATCAGTTTTGGGGAACACCCTGGGAGCACTTGCTCAAGTATAAAAGTCATCTACTCACAGCTTTTCTTCACAGTGAACTGTGCTATAACAACACTACACAGAGCTATGCAGAGTCCTGCCTGCACTTTGGTCTGGAAGTTTCTAAAGATTGACTTTGTTTAGGCGGTGAGGGACCCTTAGGGACCCCTGCTCGCCCCCCTCCCTCCCCTCCCTCTGCTCCTCCATCTCTCAGCACTCACAGTAGAAAGCTCTGTGGGGTCCAGCACACTCTCCAGTTTCATCGCTGCCATGGGAGTCTCAGCCTGTCCTGGAGCAGATGTGGCCATGCCCTGCGACGCGCCCCCCTCAGCCCCACTGTCCCCCAAGGCCAACAGTGCACTGAGCCCCTCCGTCTGGGGAAGGTCTGGGGATGGGGAGAGGGACAGAGCAGGGACCGGGACTGATAAGGTAATGTCTGTTGGTGGGTCTGAGGCGGAGGACGGGGTCAGCTCTGGGGCTTGGGAAGGGGATAGAGCCGGTATTGGGGGAGGCGCGTCTTCGCAGGGTGCGTTGACACACTGCCCCGAGTCTTGTACACTCTCTGCTGGGGGCTGCACCAACAGTCACACACAAACACACGCACATTCAATTAACACATGCATATTACAAGCAATTTACAAGAGCAATGAAAACAAAAAAAAACAACCAGTCAATACTCAACACAATTCAAGGCTAAAAACACAAATCATGCAGGAAAGCTGATACTGACATGCCCTAAACATCCAATTACGATCTAAATAAGCTGAATAACTGGAAGCACTGATCGGGATTTGAAAATCAACCAATTGAAATGACCCACATTCACAGAGTGTGTCTGAAGGCATTGACAGAGTATCTATTTCTTGAGAGTCAAAATGGGTTTTCTACCTCTGAATCAATCAATTGCCCTAAAGTTGATATGCCTGTCTGGATGGTATGTCTATGAATACCAAGGAGACCAAAACAAAAACAAATGTGGCTAATATAACAGTCTAGTGTTACTCTACCTCTCGTTAATTATTGATATCTAGGGTCGGCTCTGCGAGAAAGCCCTTGCACAGTACTGGACTTCAGTACCTCAATTATGTGTTGGTTCTCTGGACTCTCAACCTTCTCTGGTGGGTCAGGCTCCACAGGGGCTTGCTGCTGAGTGTTCATTTGGGTTGTGTCCTTTTCCGACTGACACTCAGGACGGATTTGTTGCTCCTTCTGTGGGGGAAGGTGTGGCTGGTTACACTTCGCACTGTCCTGTTTTGGGATTACATGAGCCAAGACAGGACTGACTTTGGCAACCATGGCAGAGCGAGGTTTGGCAGTTCTTCCTCGCTGGACCGTCTCCCAGCCTTCTGCATCTTTTTTACCTGGACAATAGATGAGATGCAGTGTCAATCAAAGGGAGAAGATTAGTTTCCTGGGCTCTCTGACAATATGGTCGACGCAGGCAGCGATTTCTTACCCAGTTTTTCTACAGGGGAGCTGGTCGATTGGGTGGAGCTCATGGCCGACTGAGTGCACTTGACTCTGTCTGCCCAGCTGGGGCCTGAGTGGGAGAGCCTGGCTGCAGCAAGTGTAGGTGGGGGGCCGCTGAACAAGACACACACACACATCATGCACGAGAACAAAGAAATATGCACCTGTACAGCTACTGTCAGCAGGTATTTTTTGTAAGTTCTGTCACTTTATGGTGTCTCTGTGTAGGATACTTCAGCAGCCTGAACACAGAACCTATCTAACACCCCGGCACTCTGCTTTGAGATAGCGTTAAACTTTACTGGACAACAAGCCTCCGTCGTGATCGATATCCATTTCCTGCAGCATCCGATTACAGAGCCGTGCACGTATTGAACCGATGTTTCAGCAGTCTTTAACTGACACTTTCATCTACACCTTCCACCCATTCTGTGGCCAATGAGTGGGAAACTCAACAAATTGCATTATACAAATGCTTCGCCATCAGTAATCAATGGCTGAATTGCACGATAACACAGTCTGCATTTGCTCGCCATTCAAAAACAGGCAGAGTGCGTCATTTAAAATATTGATTGGTTTATAACAGAAAGTCTTATGATACAATTTTAATCAAATTACATGTTGTGTTGGTATTAAAAAACAAAAACAAATGCCTTAAAGTGATGTGGAAAATGGGCACAGCAACCAAGGTCTCAGAGGAGAACTAGAGATATCTGACAGAGCTTACCCAAAGGTGAGGGTGCGGCGGGCGCCTGGAGAAGGAACCATGCGGTCGGCTGATGGCTTGGAATCACATGACGTCCTGGAGACATCTTACGTACCTCCCAGGCTAAAGATGTGGGCCTGTAAAAAAAGTGAGAGTGGAAAACGTGACATAAACAACGTTAAGTTACAATACCTAGTTTCAAAATACATAGAATTGGCTAACACTTTGCCTAATCAGTTAAATGGCTGATTCACTGAAAGCTACTTATACAATAAATGGAACAAGTGAAATTTTCAGGTTGTCTTATTGATTAACAGTGTGTGGTAATTGAACAAATTTGGACGCTGCACTGGGAATTTCATTTCTTAATCAATTTACGGTTGCAGTGGTCGCCGTGTTAAAGAGGAGCCAATAAACTCATGGATCCCTTTACATTTCATCCACGGCTATTGATCCATTCTGTGCGTGACTCAAAGCCAGAGAATAGATATCACCACTTCTAGTTTCACTCCTGGGATTAAATGGGGAGTGAGTGAGAGCGAGATTTAAAGAAAGAGAAGGAGCGAGAGATATCGAACATCACCTGTTCTGGGCGTCCGTTTTCTCCAACTTCTCCTGAAGCTGGATCCAGTCTATGAGAGCTTTGAAATCCCGGACATAGTTGTCCAACATCATCAACACCTCCTAGAACCAACAGAAAGAAAGTGAAAACTGGTGCATGGGATTCATTTAAGAATATTTGTTGCACCATAAATTTTTTTTAAAAAAAACAATCTCATTACATTTCATTATCCTATTAAATACTACCATTAAGGGTTTCTAAAATAACTGCTGTAAATCATCAAATACTTGAACCCTAGCACAAACCCTGGCTTTATATTTTGTAGATGTTGTATTGACATTTTCATATTGTAGTGTAAACTGAAATGCTGCACTGCACTGTGCTTTAAGTATTCTAAATCTTAGGCGTGTGATATTCACTTTCTGATTGAAGTGGTCAAATAGTTCAAGAGTATTGGCAGGCAGGAGGTGGCCCACAAACACGCAAAAACAAACTCTTGATTGAGAAGTTAGAGGTCGAGCGGCGAAGGCAAACTTCTAGTGGCAGATGCATTTTATCTGCACTTGGACTGACTGACAGTTTTTGTTATCCAGAGGTGGAGGGCCATGTGGAGCTTTTTCCCAGAGCTCTAATGAAACCAACACAACTGATTGATGGGGAAAGTGAAGGGAGTGGTAATTGAGAGTAAAGCTTCACAGTGCTTTTAGTTAATAGACAAGTCAGGGCGGTGAAAGATGTGTCCGGCAGCAGGCCCCCTGATTACAGCTGGTTAACAGGCAAAGACCACCGCTACGGCCTTGTGTTCATTTGGTAATGAAGGCCAGGATGAAAAGGTTTGCTCCTCCTCTGACGGATAAACCGACAGTGACTGAAGGCACCATGAAGAGGCCCTCAACATATTACAGGCATACTTACCTAAATAAAACCCTCACATAACATTTCATGAGGAATGACAAAATGTTTAACCTTTCAGAGGCATTGTCATTAAGCAGGGTGGGCAGTAAAAGGCTGTGGCCAAAACAAGAACAAACAAGTACAACATAAATCTGTTTGGTGACCTCATGTTAATGATTCACAGCTTTGACCGTTTTGATTCTAAATGTTTGGCTTAGGAAATACAGTTTTGTGTCACTTTTTATAAAAAGTACGTAACACTTGCAAAGTTTACTTTTACATGTCCTCTGAAGGAAAATTGTTAGCTTGTAATTGTACAAGCACATGGTGCAGTATGCCCACAGCTACACTAGGGGTTTGTGGCTGGGGGATATCATAGCACTCTGCTTCCCCTCTAGATGACTCCATCATCTATCAGTGTCCATTAAAGCCAAGCTGGGTGGGACAGGGGATTATGTACAGCGCCCAGCTCCATGGCTATTAGATAGTAATAGGATGTAGAGAGATAGAGTGGCATGAAGGGAAAAAAAAATACTGGCCAGATGTCTTTCTGGCCAACAACATGCTGATCACACCACAGGGAACAGTGCTGTAGCACTGACAACCTGCCAACCACACCATGGGGAGCTGGGCAGGGGTACTGACCGCAGAACCTCACCAGAACCATGCTCAGCATAATCCAGCATGGCAGAAAAATCAATAAAACACAACAACAACCAGATCACACCACGTCGATCTGGAGAAATGTCACAGTGCCATACCAAGGCTGCACTGAAACAAAATACAATGCCTCACTAAATAGTAGCAGCAAAGTCAAAAAAGCTCTTAATTTTTAAGAGCCTAAAGAGGATCAAATAAAGGCCAGAATGGCTACGTCTTATTTTAGCAATAGCTCAATGACAAACAAAATGCTGCTTTTGTTCCATCATCATTATTTAGTCATGTCAGCCAGCCAAGGAGAGAGTCCTGTGATAATTCTGTCATCAGCGAGCCTTCAGGGAACACCTCTGACAAAAAGCAGAAATCAAGAGGAATGTGAACTGGGATGGAGAAGCTTTGTTATGATCTAAATGTTGCCCTCTAGTGTTCATTCCGACACCCTTCAGTCTCCCCATGAAAGGCATTTCTGATCAACAGTTCAGATCATGAACTAGTGACTCTGTACTTGGGTATTACCACCCGGGTACGTGTGTGCAGACTGACCCTGCATTCTACGACGCTCTGATCAGATTCACAGGTAACGTAAATCTCGTCCACAGCTCGGCGCAGGTTGTCAAAGAGGAAAGCCCAGTAGCGTGCACGCAGGTCTACTTTGCGGGGCTGCCTGGTTTTGGTGGGGCTTTTTTCCGGCCCCTTGTCCAGTAAGGCACCAGCTGTGCTTTTAATTTCCAGACCAGCATTCTGTAGAGACAAAGCATGGACCAAACATTATGGTAACAACAACACACTCAACAGAGTGCCATGCAAATATCTAGTCAGTTTATATATAGCTACCGTAGCATTTTACTTTCTGTTTGCTGTGGCAGAAGTTCAAGCTATAGCTACTGTATGCCTTATATTACCAATAATGAGTATATAGATAATACTATAAAGACAAAATGGGGCGAGTGAGATGGGAACCTGTTGTGGCTACACTGACTCTGCACATTACCCCAGTTGTTACAGGAAGTATTAAACATTAAAACACTATGTTCCAATAAACAGTGAGACATTCAGGAAAATACTCAATTAGGTTATACAGCTTTTTACAAGCCCAGCCAATGAGAGGCCGCTGCTGTTGAACCATTACATAATTTCATGTCCCATCACATACTCATAGCCTGTTGTAAATTACTTTTGATAAATTTAATATCTTTTCTCAAGTTGATCTAACCGACATAAGGCTTAAGATCTAATATGAAAGGGAAAGGATGACTAAAACAATGCCAAAAAGACAGTTTCATGACCATCACAGAAACGCACAAAAGAAAGAAAGACTTCTCTTGGTGACTGGTGCCCTCTAGTGGAAGAAGATGATACTGACCTGTTTTTTATTCCTTTGTTGACCAGAATTTATCCTCTGAGCTCTTGAACCGCCACCAGAGTTGCTTTTGGACTTTGCTATGAAGAGAGGACAAAACAAAGCTCATGTGTGGTAACTAAAGTAAACAATTAGTAATGATCCTGATGCAGGTAACAGTCAACATGCATCTATTATGAGGGTGAAGAAGTTTTGATTGATTGTTGAGGAATTGGAAAATCCCCAAAGTTAAACAACAACAAAGGGGACAAACAGTGAACCCAACTGAGTGTCAAATGGTAATGACTTGTTTCAGAAGCTGCACTTTCACAGACAACTCATATGACACCTGAACTCTAAACAAGGCTTTCAGAAGATTTCTTGCATTCATAGCACAAACTCAAGAGCAGCAAAATAAGCGTTGAATAAAATAACTGCACTGACCCACAAAGAAGAGGGAGAGTGAGTGTGAGAAAATGTGAGAGGCTTTGGAGGGGGTGTCTGAGTAGGCTGCTTTAAAAAGGAGCTTTATTTGGTACAAAGCTTAAATAATGTAATGGAGCCCTGCCATGACAAAAAGAAAGCCGTTTTATTGGACAAATGAGTTCAAAGTTAGCCACTTAACATGGTTGTTTTTCTGTCAACATTTCAAACAATTACATTATCAAAGAACATAATATTCCAGTGATCAAACACAGGATACGAGTGAGTCCACCTGTGCCATCAAACAACAGAAGACAGAAGCACATGCCAGGCAGGTGAAGGGTTTAACAGCAAAAAGAGATTCTCAGAATGTTCTCATCATTTATCAGTCTAGCCAACAGATGTGATCATTGTGCCTCAGCTGATATCACAAAAACAGTTTTTTTTTTTTTTTTTTAAATGATCAAACACTTGAAGTAATTGCTGTGGTCACTATAATGCTCAAAACGACTCAACATCTTGTATAGATCCAAAGATATGTCAGATAAACAGAAAGTAAACATCAGCACCAACATCTACAACTTCATAATGAAATGATAAACAAAATTATGTTATTCCGTGTTTACGTGTGTGCTCTTTAGAATGACAATAATACAACAACAAAAAGCATATTAGCATGCAGCTAGCGACCAACCTTCCTCCTCCTTGTTCTCTAGAGGTACACTCCAGGCAATGAGGTTTCGAGCAGCACGGCCCTCTTCAGCAACTATCTTGCGCACTTTGTCCAGGCTGTTGGAGCGCTGGAAAGATGCCTGCAAGAGGAAAAAGATTCAAAACATCAAAATGTTATCCTGGAGCCAAGGAGAGAAGGTGCAGAGCTGAATGGCACATGTGGGATTATTTAAGTGACAATCAACATGATATCACAATGTGCTGCCCACGATAAGGCTAGGATCATATTAGGTTAGCGTGAAAAACATTATTGTTTACAAAAAAAAAAACACAATTTGTCCTGAAAATCTTTATTCATGGAAAATAAAAAAACATCTTGTATAACCTCAGAGTTCAACTTAAACAACTGCTTGAAGTGAGCTTCAAAGGAAAAGGTCTGATTACTGTCGACACTTTATACAACAAAAAACACTTTTTGCTTTGTGGCTTAAGTCTTATATATTGTAACTTCTTCCTCAGTCATCACTCTCTTCTCATCAAAAACAGTAAACAGTGTTGTTTGTGTTTGAAGTATTCCCACTCTGTTTGCTGTAAATATCCACTAATACAATAAACCCATAGTTGAAGATAGTCACTAAAAGATGAACTATAGTTAGAGTAAGGGTTCTCAACCTTTTTGAGGCATGACCCCCTCTCAGAGTCTAAATAATGCATGTCCCCCACACCAGACATATTGTCTATCAATAACATCATTGATTATGTTAGTTGATGTTTAAATATTTATCAGATTCATGCAACTTGGGGTCTGCTCTCCTGCAGGGATGAGTCGACAAAAACAAAAAAGAATATGCCTTAAACCAAAATAGTTTTACTGAGCTTACTGGTAACACAGTCTTAGACCCGTTGCTATGGTTACCTCCATTTTATATAAGTTGCACACGATTTTGCAGAGTGGAAATAGTATTGTGGTCAGCAGTATAGTGCATGATTATAGCCTTTACAATAGCCAAACATGTTAGACAAGTTAGTTTAGAGGGAAATCTTCAACTTTGGAGGATCGCTCAGTCGAAGCCAACAACAATCAAACAGCGTGGGAAAGAAAGTGTTTAGTCTATCTGACATGTGTTCTAAACACACATGCATAAGTCATGCAAAAATATTTAAATCATTATAAGGAAAGGACACATATCCCTTGTTTGCCTCATAAGAAATATGTTCAAAACAAGTAAATATGAAAATTCAGTTTGAATAAAAAAGAAAACAAGTGCATTAAATTCTGAATACTTCAATGCAAAGAAAACTACTCATTAAGCATCCTTTCTAATATCTGTCCTGTCCCTGTTTTGTGGTTGAAGCCACAGTACTGCTTGCACTATGTCTATGGAAGAGAACAACTGGCACAAACTGTGACAAGAAACAGCTAGAGGCAGAAGCTCTGCACCCGCATTGTGCCCAGCACGCATCATGGCTGACCTACACATTGAATATGCATCAGTGAACTTGACTGTAATCTGGGGTGAAGCAAAGACACTGGGAACCAAAGTAAATATTGTGAGGTTTTTTTTTTTTTTGTTGTTAATCACATCCTTTACCTATGGGACAATAAGATGACCTGTGATGAAACATGGTATTAGCATGTGCTTGTATCCCCATCTCACTGACAAACATTCTGGCATATAACAGTTCTGCAAATAAGCCAAGCATAAATGCATGCTAGGGTGTATTTGATAACAATCAAAAAAAACATTTTGTACCCAATTGTTAACTTAATATTACTTATCGTTGTTTGCTTTTCTCGCTTCTGGAAATCTAGATACAAAACAACACAGAAGCGAATACCTAGAGGCGCATCACTCTGGATGTTCAGCTCACTGTGTTCCCTCTCTTTCTGTACCATTCATAAATCATTTAAATCAAATGTTGAGTACAGCACACTGGGCTTTTTTTGGTCAACTATCAGATACGCTTTTAAACTTGAAATAAATTATTACCACAACAAAAAACAAAAAAAATCGAGAGCCAATTCTCCTCTTCATCGAAAATGAGTCATGGAACAAACTGTTCTTTTTTTTTTTTACTGGCTGTCCCTCACTACTGCCAACAATTTGACCAAAAAAAAAAAAGCTAGAGCAAATTATTCATGTAGCCTACTACACTTGATTGCAATTGCTAATAACAGGGATACAGGTTGTGTGTGATCCAGGGTATTGCAATAAAATGTGATATGTGGGCCTAGCTTTATGTAGAGACAATATGCAACACTCCTTTCAGACTATCCTTTGAGACTACTTGAATTATAAACATGATGAACATTGCTCATTAGGCGTTACACATTTGTGTATTGGTCTGATACTATTTCATAACCCTAAGGGAGATACCCAGCTGACCTACTTTTGTGAGCGAATTTTTTTTACATGTTGAGTGGCCTGTGCTTTGTATGGCCGTGTAGAGAGGAACTAGGAAGAGACAAATACAACATCAAACAACACACACAGACCTCGCTAATATAAACTGGTGAGTCGGGTCAGCATCCCCGCACCAGGTTCTTGTAAAAAAAAAAAAAAAAAACTGTGAAAATGTACTCAGTTTTTCATTAGGCACGGCAGGCAACCCACTAGATGATGGATTAATATCGTGAGATTATTTTACCTACTCACAACTACTGTGTACAGCAGCAGCTTGAAGCAACAACAAACAAAAAAAAAGGCTTACAACAACATTCTCTTTATCCACTTAATCAGCTACAAACAAGCTGTCTGGGGGTCTGCACTGTAGAATAACAAAGCACAACGTGGAGCAAAACACTTAGCCCAGCAAGCCTTTCCAATATGCCATTTGAGCGTGCATACTTTTTAGACTGTGCTGAGCAAGGAGCAGGTGTAAGGTTTCCCTTTTGGCAATGTCTACAAACAGATGCAAGCAAGGCACTGCATGCAGTCCTGTGTGATCTAGCTTGTTAGTACAGACACAAAGAAAATTAGAGGATTATAGGATACATACACAATAGAAGTACAGTCTGTAAGCAGGTTCTTCATCCTTATCCACCCCTGACATACTTTTCGAGCCCACTCTAGGCAACCTGTTCCCCCTCACCAGCACTGCCACTTGTGCAAGGTGACATCGTCATCTGACGGCAGGACCAAAAATAGACTCCTACTGTGTAGTCCACGCTGTCAAAGCAACTTGCCCAGCTGTGTCAACTCTTCTCCGGGGGGGTGGTTGAGAGAGACAAGTGCTCAGTAGCCTGCCAGTCACGCCTTTCACTTTCGACTATTCTGTCCGTAACAGTCTAATCCAGCCTGAGTCCTCGGAGCTCTGCTGAGTTAGCAGCCGCTTCTGAGGCCTGACTCTCTGCCTGCTGCTGTCTATCTGTTTGCTGCTCCTCAGTAGCCTTCTGTATTTGCAGTCTGCTTTCCTTGCTCTAAATCAGAGCCCCCTCTCTCTCTCGATCTCTGTCTCTCTCTGCGTTTCTCATCTCTCTCACTCTCCTCCTGCTGCCCCGGCGTTGCGCAGTCATGTGCATGCAGCAGGCCTGCCTCTCTGCCCACCCATCCTGTGTTGCCAGTGATGAGCGTAGCTGCAAGGGCTCAAGAGGCTGCGTGCATTAACCGCACCGGGTGATGCTCTGGATCTGATTGGACTCGTCATTTGAGGATTCATTAAGCTGCTGGGCAGGGGGGAAAACGACAAAACACACAAAAGTCCACATGGTTTGGCTGTCTACAAACCATGTGGACGTACAACGAGTTAAGAGAAGAGTTTGAGACACATGTGGGGGAGCTACTTCGATTTGGAATTGCTCAAAGCTCCCATCAACATCCTTGGAGATCATTACACCTGTGACCTGAACATCCTGCTGGGAGATTGAGGTTACTAAACATCTGTACTGTTTGTCTCTTAAACTCACTCACTACCCTCTTCAATCACTCGCTCGTTCTCTTACTGCATGAACCTCAAGGACACAGAGGAGATAAAGAAACTTGAAGAAGAGCTTGAGACATACAGGGAGAGCAGGATGCTTTCCAACCATCATGTGTACCCCACATTCTTGCAGACACATTTTTGCTTTGATGGGGGGGAAGGGGGAGGATTGACAATACAAGAACACATGTGCACAAGAACAAGGTCTCAAATCTCACAATTTATTACACCTAGGGAACAAATATACTTTAGTTTGGTAGAGGAGGATGCAGCTGGATTGAGAAACATTTAATGAGAGGTGAACAGAGCTCACAACATCACACCTAAAGCTTTCCAAGTAAACACCATGCTCTGTCATCCAGTCCACCTAGCTCACGCTTACCTAGCACTGTGTGGGAATGTCGATTTCTACATCTCCAGCTCTTTAAGAAAGAAAGGAAATAACAGATATTAAGTCTTCACGTACCTTCAAAGCGGATATGGTTGCATTCTTGCTTTTGCCCCCTCCATGCGAGGAGCCAGAACTGTTGCTACCAGACCTCTCCCTCCCGTCCCCACCTTGACTAACTCTCGGGCCGAGGCGGTGCTGTCCGGCTCCGCGCCGCCGTCCATCGTGGCGGTTGTCTTTGGACATCGACCCGCCGTCTTATTTTTCCAACGCTCAGTCGGTGGGAATTAAAATATACGGTGTCAGTGTTGATGGAAAAACATGTCAGATAAATACACGGCAGGGAGGGACAACCTAACACACACACACATACACACACGCTAAAAAAAAAAAAAAAAAAAAGCAGGAAGTCCGTTTTAGTTTTTTTTTTTTTTGACAAGCAGTAGGATTTATCCAATCAGTACACCGCACTGTGGAAACGGACATACGCGCCAGCCAATCATGTGCGTGATAGTTTAGCTCAAAAAAGGCGGGGTGTATAATCCTTGCGGGGGGGGCGGGGGCTTCACGCTGCCTACCATGGCAACCAGGAAGATCGGGCGGGACGTTTGGTTGAGTTCTCAGTAATTGTAAAGTCGTCGTAAACCGAAAAGTGAGGAACCCAGAAAACAAGTAAGTCTGCTTTCAGTATTAGAGCGTTTAGTAGCTCCCCCCCCCGCCCCCTGGAAAACTACAACAACAAAATGTAGCGTGAAAATACTGCAATTAAATAAAAAGAGAAGACAACGAACACTAGCTCGGAATCTGAAATATCAATTAATGTCTTGGAAATTAAGGGCTCCCTACTACTAAACTATATCCCTTTAAATCAAAAATGTTGTTTGCAATTAATTTCTTATGCATGCCACCCTGACCGGGTTGAAAGGAATTACTTAAAACTGTAAATTCCCAAAAACCTTAAACATCATCAGGCTCTTATTTTGAAGTATGCGACCGGAAGTACATCGATCTTGCAGCTCTCTTGTGTTTGTGTCTGCAGGTCTGTGTGCACAGTTTGAGGGATACTCTCGTACGGAAACTCACGGTAATAACAGTCACTGTTGACAGTGTATTTAATCTTTAAAGAACTTAAATGTTGTATTGTTTTAGTTTAACGTTTTTTATAGTGACTTTAACGCTGTCGATATCTACCTTTCTCATTCATATTCCCCTCCCAAACACAAGTTAAACATGGAAATAAACTGGAATTTAATCAACTCGAATTGTACATTTTACCAGACTTTTGGTTCCACTCTCTATTCACGTCGTCGTTTCTTGTAATAATTGCAGGAATCATCATTTTGCATGTCCAGGCTGAAATACAAAGTTCAGTTTGTTTGAACCTCAACCAGCTGACCCCAAGGTTACCCCTGTCACAGTTTTGTACCTCTGTTTTGCTCTGATGAATCTCATTGGAAGTTATTTAGTTGCACAAAATCCTGTTTTTTAAATTCGATATGTTGCACATTCCTGTTCTTGTCAACAGATGGCATCCTCTGCATTGTTGCTGCTGCTGCTGCTACTTCGATTTGGAATTGCTCAAAGCTCCCATCAACATCCTGGAGATCATTACACCGGCGAGCAGCACAACCCTGAACATGACCTGAACATCCTGCTGGGAGATGAGGTTACTAAATATCTGTACTGTTTGTCTCTTAAACTCACTCGCTACCCTCTTTAATCACTCGCTCGTTCTCTTATTGCATGAACCTCAAGGACACAGAGGAGATAAAGCAACTTAGCCCGGCAGAACAGAGGAAAAAGATGATGGAGATTGTGAAGAGGATTGACACAAATGCTGACAGCCTGCTAAGTGAAGGTGAATATATGTCTCAACATTTTAAAAGACAGAAGAAGAAAAACAACAACTAATAAAATGGTACTCGCCCTGTAATGCCTTTTATGTACAGAGGAGATCACTCTTTGGATTCAGCACGTTTACAGAACATACGCTCTGGATGATGCAAAGGAGCGGTTCCCTGAGTTTGACACCAACAAAGATGGTGTTGTAACGTGGGAGGAATACAACACTGTCGCACATAACCAGCTCATTAGTTTTGATGATGACGCAGTCCTGGAGGATCCAGAGCAGGAGTCTCTTCGACATGTAGGTATAATAGTTTTGTCCTGTGTTAACAGTCACCTTTTATAACGCAGTCTCATTTATCCATGACCAATAAACACAGGATAATGTCCCCCATTAGCTCCATCTGAAGGAGAGGAGGCGATTTGACTTCGCTGATGCAGACAATACAGCAGGGCTTAATGTGACAGAGTTTCTTGCCTTCACCCACCCATCTGAAGTGGATCACATGGCTGTAAGACAAACTCCTTCCCCCGCAAAACCGTATAATATTTGATTATCCACTCATTGTAGAGTTCTCTTTGTCTTTCATGTTAGAACTGATTGATTTGCCCTCTTTTTTGATAGGATTTTGCCATTGAAGATGTGTTGGGTGAATATGACTCAGATAAAGATGGATTCATCAGTCTCAGTGAATTTATCGGAGATGTTCGTGGTGATGGTGGTGAGGCCACAGAGGTTACCTTCAAGCACAGAATGATCTGTTTGTTCTTTATTTTCTCTTTGTTGTACAGCCATCATGCAGTTGTAACACTTTCTGTTTGTTATCAGAGGATTCCCCTTCACAGTGGGAGATTGAAGAAAGAGTGCGGTTTAAAGACCTCTATGATCAGGATAAGGACGGCAAGTTGAATCGAGAGGAGCAGCTTCGCTGGGTTGCGCCTAACAGCTATGGTTCAGCAAGAGAAGAGGTGAGATGCAGCTGTTCCAACATTTGCCTAGAATTTGTTGGCATTATACGTAATATCGATATAAAACTTTTGTTTGATTGCATGTAAAAGTAGTGCATCTGCATGCTGCTTAAGCCTTAGCCTAGTCGGTTTACAGAAACCTATATTCAATAACGTTTGGACATTTGGTAATAAGTGTAAATAAAAACAGCATGATGATAAGAAAAATATTGAAACCACAAATTTGATTGAGAATAGCACAAAGACAATATATCAAAACACACACACACACTTGCTTTAATGCCACAAAGTGTGTGGCATGATGCTCCAAACATTTTCAATGGGTGACAGGTCAGGACTGCAGGCAGGCCACTTTATCACCTGGACACCTTTACAACAGAGCCATGCTCTTGTAATATGTCTACAATGTGGTTTGGCATTGTCTTTATTAAATTAACAAGACCTTCCTTTAAAAAGAAGTTGTCTATTGGGCAGCATTTATTTTTTTTGCTTTTTATTTGTAAAGGGAACATGTACGATATTAAACATAAATGTTGCCATTTGATGCATTGTACCAGAGTTAGCTTAGAGCTAGTTTACATCTGCAGTCCCTCGCCAGGTCACAATTAAAACATCACATAGCAACACAAACATAATGCATTAATTGATTAAGATCAGCGGTTACAGAATTGAGCATATTTCAGCAGATTTTTCAGTTTGTTTTTTAAGGTGCCGATAGCATTACAGTTCTTCATCTCGTCTGGCAGAGCGTTCCATTGAGTTGTTGCTTTCACACAGAAAGCTGACTGCTCCAACAACCTGCATATAAAGGTGCTTTCACAAATGTGCAGGTTACCCATGCCAAGTGCACTAATGCACCCCCATACAATCACAGATACTGGCTTCTGAACTGAACACTGATCTGGAACTGAACAAGCTGGATGATCCCTCTCGTCTTAAGCCCAGTGGACGGGGCATCCAGGTTTTCTAAACCGAAAGTCACATTTTGACTCGTCAGACCTCAGGACAATTTTCCACTTTGGCTCAGTCTATTTTAAATGCATTAGAGCGTTTCAGTTAGCATTTGTGAACGCAGTGATAAACTATGTTCACAGACAATAGCTTCTAAAAGTGTAACTGAGGCCATCTAGTGATGTCCACTACAGCATTGTGTCGGGTTTTTAATTCTACTTTACACATTAACAAATATGTGGGTCAAACTAACAAGTACAACTAATCACTGAATCTTCAAACAAGAAAAACATGTAGGAATCTTCCAACAAGTTGTACCAGTAACAAGTTAGAGAGGTTATTTTTCACTCTGCAAAGACCAAGGTCCAAGCAAACTACACAAACAAACTGACACAACTCTAATTAGACTTGTAGTGCCAAGTACCAAGGATTGAGCCTAATCCATTTTCTGAAGCAGGACAAGCTCCAATTTAGTCTCAACTGAGGCTCAGTGAGCTGGACTAAGAGGGAGACCCAATAGCTCTGAAGATATTTAAACAATAATATATTGAAAACTGGGGCAAAACACCCAAATAAGAGACTGTGCTATCTGTAAATCAACTATTTGTGCATGCAATTAAACAAAAAGAAAAAGTTTTGACTTTATGTACAATGCCAACTACATGTACTCACTCATCGTTGTTTTGTTCTCGTGTCATCAACAGGCTTTTCACCTCCTCAAGGAAATGGACCAGGATGGTGACGGCAAGATCTCAGAAGCCGAAGTTTTGAAAAATCAAGAGACATTCTTGCACAGTGAAGTGACAGACTATGGCAGACAGCTGCATGTATCCCATGATGAATTGTAACCACAGTGTTATTGCCATGACGGTGTGATTTGACGTTAGCCTTCCCATTTATGTTCTTATTCATCCAGGATGAAGTTGCAATAGTAAATGAAATAGCAGAGAAGCACATATTGCAACACATATTGCAAGAATAACACATCACCAGAAGTGTCAAAAGTATTCACATTCATTACTCGGGGATGGATACTAGGGTTTAAAAAAACTTCTGTAGAAGTTGAAGTATCAACTCAAGCTTTTTACTCAAGTAAAAGTGTAAAAGTATTGGTTTCAAAACTACTTAAAGTATAAAAGTAAAAGTAATGTAAGGGGGGAAAAAATGCCATTAAGGCCATTCGGCTGCACCACAGGGGCCTATAGTGCACTACCCCACCTCCCCAAAAAAAACATTTTTCTAAAGGCCATAATGACTACAATGTTATATTAAAATGTTAATGTTGAAAAATTTGGGATGCACCTGTTTCAGTCGCATTTATGCCCATTGAAAATTAACTGATTTTAGTACAATGCAAATACATTAAAGAACCATATAAGTGTACCACTGAGCATTAACATGTGTGTCATGGAGCGGAAGATATGATGACGAGTTGTCTATAAGTATTGTAATGGTGCAAAAAGTCAAACTTCAGAGGCATGTTATCAACAGCCTTTATTGGAATGTAAATGTACATCCAAGCTTAGCTGCAGGAATCTGTGAGGGCAACGGATGTAAGATAACAAAACTGGACAAGAAAATTGGTGTACCCAGGGTATTATTATTGTTATTATTATTCTACTTCCGTACGTTTTTTTCAACTATCATACTATTCGGCTTCTTCGGGACACGTTTGCTATGACTTTTTACTTTTCAACTACTTTTACTTTTTAAGTTATTTGACTTTTTCCACAAAATTTTTCCCTATTCAAATTCAAATTCAACCCTCAAAATGTAGGAAAACTTGTCCTCTCTCACACATTGAGTTTTTGGGACAAACGGAGCAAAGGTTTTGACACTGTGAGCTTCAAAGCTGCAGGTGGTCCAGATAACTCTCCATCTGGGGTAATGGTAAACTTCCCACTAACTTCCCTGACCAAACCTCTTGGGACTAACTTTCTACATCGCTGTGGTTTCCACATTTCTTGGATCCCAGACATGAAAATCATATCAACGCGTTCGGCCATTTGTCCTCTTGCTCACAAAATCATCATTTAGCCACCAACTCTTAATTTAAGCTCTTGAAATGAGCACTCAATAGGGAGATGTTTCCCCCTTTTTCTCATTATCTGACTGCATTTAAGCAGTATCTTCCACTTGTTCTACCACTTCTACTTCTGTTTCTTCATCTTCTACTAATACTTCTACTACTCGTTTTACCTCTTTTACTTCTTGTTCTTCTGCTTTTACTGCTTTTTCTTCTACTTCTTGTTCTTCTGCTTTTACTACTTTTACTTCTACCCTTATTCTTCTACTACTGATCTTCTACATCTTCTACTTTTTCTTCATCTTCTACTATTCCTTCAGCTGTTTCGACTGATTCTTCTTCATTCAGCAGTGTTTTGCAAAACATTTCAGCGTCAGCATTCCCACGCATTTTCCGCAGGTAAATGCAGATTGTCTAGTTTTGTCTACTCTTTATACGCATTAACTCCTAAAGAGCAGGACAGTTCAACTTGGAATATCATTTTGACAGTCTTGTAGAAATTGGATCATGCTTTGAAGACAAAAGGACCTCCAAAACGTTTGTTGAATTGTGGCTGTACATCGTCACTGGTCATTCTTTCCTGTACCAAACACGTTCTGAAATGACTCATTTTGTGGTAGCTGCTGACATGCTGCAGCTCTTCCTTATTTTAATCAAATGAGTGACAGAGAGAGAGAGAGAGAGAGTGTTCCTGTGTGAAAACTTGTTTCCTGAATGTGTTGCGATCTGTTTCATTTGCATCAAGCAACTGCCTATTACACTTGCTTGCTGTTCTAGAGTGATTTTTTACTGAGTGGTTTATCGCAACAAGGGCTTTTGTTTAACCTCTGCCGAGATGAAATTAGACTTTAAGGATGCCTTTTGGGTGAGTTTAAGTTATGATGCTAACCTTTTTTTCAATGTTTTTGTTCAGAGCTGATGCTAAAAATAGCTCACTTCATTTTTGCGGCTTTAATCTTCTGTTTACCTCTCTAACTTCTCCTTTATGCTTTCATTTGTCAGTGACTACTGTACCATATCTTTGAGTTAATAATCTGTAGGCCATCTTTGACTGCAGTTAGTTCAAAATGTCCTGTCTTTACAAGTGAACCTTCTTTCATGATCTCCCTTTGAAACTAATTGAATGGCTGTAGACTAAATGCTATGATTAAAACATGATTTTTTTTAAAATCCTTTTATCGACCAGTCTTGAGAATCCCATCGTTTTCATATGTGGGCTCCAATTGTGACCTAAAACCAGGAATGTCACATAAACCATTTTTAAAACTAGAGCATGAAGGACAAAATATCTGATAATATATCAGAAACATCAACAGGAAAAATCTGACATTATATCAGACCCTGTCTTTACATTACTGCTGAGAGTAACGGTTAAAATGCATGCAGCTTATGCAGCTTGTGCAGCAACGCAACAGAGCAGAGTTAAAAATGTTTATGTAAGCGTTAACCACAACTACTATAACTGGCTTATCAGAAACACTAGTTGAACTGTAGCTTCAGTTTACAATGTCAATGTGAAGATCTGTGCTTCCCCTTCCCTCTTCAATGTCATCCTACTGTCAGTACACAAACTGAAGACAGAACTGAAATTATAAAATTAATGGTGCACCATAGACACTACATCAGTACGGTTCCTCTCGGGTTTGTCCTATTTCAGTGGAGTGAGAAGACTTTTACACGAGAAAGGACTTTTGTAATGTTTCTCACCTGGATGTTTTTCCATTTAGACCCCGGCAGACAGCATGCAACAATTTCCATTCAAGATTAGATTCCACAACAATACCTCTACGTGGAAGGAAAGCAGTCATCAGTCAGTAGTCATCAAAGTCAGACTTGCTTATCAGCATTATCATCTTCAATGCTTTTTTTTTTATCGTTTAAAAAAGTTTGTGACACAAAATATACAGAATACACAAAGTTTACGCTCAATGGACAATACAAAACTAATGAAAAGGAGAAAAAAGACCCACCTAGCCTCTGATCTGAAAGGCCAGTTAGATCAAATGTAAAACAAATTATTGGGACAGAACATGCCTCTACTCAAGCGCACACATGGAAAATGGACTTGAGCTAACAGCACTTTTCTAGTCTTCTGACTACTCAAAGTGCTTTTACACCAGCAGTCACACGTACACATTCACACACTGCTATGTAGTGAGACCATCAGAAGTAACTAATCCCATTAATACACATTCATACGCCGTCGACGAAGCAGCGGGAGCAACTTGGGGTTAAATGACTTGCCCGAGGACACATCAGACATATTCCTGCAGGAGCTGGGTATTGAACTCTCGACCTTCTGGTTGAGAGACAACTCTACCATTGAGCCACAGCATACATATATATATCCTGTCCGGTAGTACCCAAATTGCTCTTTAAGATGTTACACCTCTTATAATAATGATAAAAATAATACCTTATTTGTAGAGCACTTTTCAAGACGGGTGCACAAAGTGCTTTACAGAAGCAATTTAATAAAGACGATCACAATTACAGATGCATAAACAGCAAACATTCAGTCATACTGTTAAAACATTAAAACAGGAGAGTAACAATCTGCAAGCGGAAGCGCTGATGAAATTATCTGTCAGCTAAAAATGCCAGTCTGTAAAAATGAGTTTTTAAGGCTGGCATTAAAAGCAGAAACAGGGTCAGCTGAATAGATGGAAAGTGGAAGACTATTTCCAGAGCTGAGGTGCCATAACTGGAAAAGCCTGATCACCCTGACCTCGAGCTTGACTCAGGTATGGTGAGCAGGCCTAAAGGCAGCCGATCTCAGAGGTCTGCTTGGGCAGTAAGGAGTTAAAAGCTAATTTAAATATTCAGGTACATGGCGATATAAACGTCATAAAGATGTTATGTATTTTGCTAGTTGAGTTTTGGATCTTACAGTATTCAATCTGGTATCATGGTTTCTGAGACATCAGTCTCAGCGCCTGTAAAAGCCACTCTCTAACTCTGGCCTATAAAGGCGCTTCAAGATGCATAGACCAAGCCTAGTTGCTACGATACAATCTGTTATTATTAGTCCAGACTCTGCTCTGCATGTTTTTTTCCCACCATGGTATGTTTAATCCAGTTTTAGACTCTTCCACACCGACCCATAGAGCATTGAGAATGTACCCTCTACTTTATTACATTCCCAACATTTATTTTCTTTGGGTATGTCTGTTTCAAACTGTTTCAGAGGTTTAAAATTATATTAATAGACATATAGGATGAACGTACTTCTCATGCAGCTTGCGGCCCAACAAATATTTGAGGTCACTGCTTGACACAAATCTTCTCTAATCTAACAAGATTTTTTTCTGACAGATTATTCTCAAGCCGTTTAACACTCGTTTTATAATTTCCTTCTAAGTGGACAAACGATATTTGAAATGTCATTTCTTCAGACTTTTAGTTAATGTATCTTATTCCATACCCTCATCTGATTATGGACAGTTTGAGTATTTGAAGCGGTATTTTTGGTTCCAGGGGTCAGACTTCATCAGTAACCTGGGATACGAGACCATCAGCCAGAGACTTAGTGATGGGCGACGGACATGCAAAGACATGGAGGAGCTCTTGAAAATGAGGTGGGCTCACATACAGTATATGTCTTTACTGCAGCATATGCATGAATAAAGTGATCTCATTACGACGTGCAGCTGTACTGTGATTTGTGTAGGGCATCAGCTGAGGAGAAATATGGAAAGGATTTGGTAGCAATTGCTCGCAAGGCCGGGGGTTTGTATGAGATCTGGTAAGTGTTTAATTCAAGCACTAATAAGCTTATCAGAGTCTAAAGAATGTGTAGCTCCTCTGCAGCATCTGACCCACGGGACACATTTTGATGCATTAACACTGGAGTATCTGTAAAGAGTAACCTCTGTTCTTCTGGATTTCACAGCACTTTAAGAACATCTTTTGACATAATGAAAGAACGTAAGCAACTCAGGATATGATTTGGCAAAATGATCTCTCTTATCAACTCATACATGGCTTGTGTCAGTTCTGAGAATTTAGTTGCATTCTTTTTTTGGTGTTTCCCAGAGATTGAAAACGTAGGAAACTTGCACATTCAGCTATCTGGACTGCTCAAAGACGAGGTGAAGAGAATGGAACAGTTCAGAGAGCGGCAGAAAGAGCAGAGAAAAAAGGTAACCATGGAACGCTATTTTGTTCCTCATTTGCAAATCTAAGAGTCACCCTTCTCTGTGATAATGATGACCTGTTACACTCACATTTTCTTGTATTTCACTTCTTAGTTTGAGTCCGTCATGGATAAGGTCCAGAAGGCTAAAGTTTCTCTCTACAAGAAAACAATCGAAGTAAGGTGGATTTCACATCTTTATTAGGATGATCTGTATGGTTTTGACCTGGTGGTGGTGAGGGCCCTTTGCTTAAAGTTATAAAGCCACAGTCATATCCGTTTCTCAGGGTGTATTAATATCCCTCTTCATATGATAGTAATGCACAAATAATCTCTGGGCCAGTTTCAGTGCAGCTATATCCTGCTTGTATACGCAAGAAAATCAGCTCAAGTGCAGCTAAGCCCCATCTAAAAATAATTTGGCAAAGTAGCATCAAAATCAAAATACTGGTTTCAAGAATACATTAAGGAGTCCATATTTCTCTCTGCTAAGGAGAAGGAAGTGAGGTCTTGCTTGAGTTTTTCATGCAAACACATGTCTTCCTTTCCTCCCTAACCCCCACCCTTTCCTGTCAAGGGGTGCATACTGCAGTGTGGTGATGAACGAAGCATGAGGGTAATAGTTTCATGTTCTGTTTCTGTTCTGTTTCCTCCCCAGTCAAAAAAATCCTACGAGCAGCGCTGTAAAGAGGCCGACGAGACAGAGCAAAACGCAGAGAAACTGGGTAGCGCGCCAACAGCCACTCCTAAACAGATCGAGAAGGTACATCTGCAAAGGCCTGTCCCCTCGTTTAATCATGAAGTGTTTTTGGACCAAACAGTTCTGGGGACTTTTTGAAGCGGAACTATAGACTAAGGAGTATAGCCTGAGAACTACACACCGTGATGACTTTTTTCTGTCTGCATTCACGCCATCATGGTTTCTACTCTGAAGCAGGAGCTAATAGGGTTCCTCTAAAAAAGGGTTATAGGAACTAAAATAATTCATAGTTAATGTAGTGCGCAATCAATTAAAAAGTGGGAGGGATGAAACAGTTCCTACGGTCCCAAAACTGTTTGATTCCATTGCATTTTTTTTTTTTTATGTTCAAGGCAAGATAATACAAACATAAAGAAGTTATACAATAGATAACTTACAAGAGTCTGTTTGCTTCAGATCTGTTACTTGTCCCGGCATTTAGAAAGTCTATCTGTACTCTCTTATAAACAATGCAAGCTATTTAAAAATGCCAACATGACATGAAGGTGTATTAAACCTTAAACACAAATGAAAATGTATTATGTTGCAATTTAAGGCAACCAGAAGAATTTTTAAACACTTACAGAGATCAATTTTATTCAGTCACGTATTGCTTCTGATCAGATTTAAAATGTTATTCACAAAGATCATGTCAAAACCTTTGACAATATATTTCTTTGTATTGGTAGAACGATGGGTGTACAGAAAAATAAAAGTAGTGTCATTTTCTTTTACAGATGAACAACAAATCTAAACAGTGCAGAGAGGCTGCCGAAGAGGCTGGTAAGGACAAATAACAAGCCCTTTTTTTTAAGGAACCACTTTGGTTTAGCAGACGGTAATTGTGGTCACATTGACTTTCCTTTTGTTGTGGATCCTGGAAATAGATGCATATACATGTATTTCTTTATGTTAGGATATGAAACATGTCCGTTTTCATCTGTGTTATAGAATCTTGATGAATGTGATTTTTTTTTTGTTCTACCTTACAATGACTTCTGTCTCTTGTTTTATAGAGAAGCAGTACATGTCAAACACTGAACAGCTTGACAAGACTCGCCTAGAATGGGAATCAACACATATCATCACATGTGAGGTAAAGCAATGCGACTGTTTTTGACGCTTTACACACTGTTAGGCTGATGCATTTTAAAATGCACAGACTTAGACCAAGAGTGGCAATACCCATGGGCTGTTCTGTCAATGAGGATGTGCAATACTTCCTAGTAGCAGACTATAAAGTGACTCACTCATTGCTTCCGTGCAACAAACTGTTCCTCCATGTGATGACATCAACAAAGCAACAAGCTCAATAGTGTGCAGTGTTCACATTTTGCTTTGTTAATTTGTTTGTTAATGAACTGTACGTTTCACAGATGTTCCAGCAACAAGAGGAAGACCGCCTGAGTGTGCTAAGGAATGCTTTATGGGTGCACAGTAACCATTTATCTATGCAGTGTGTAAAAGATGACGAGGTGTGTGCGGCCGTTCTTACAAAGAAACCTTCAACCATCCTGTGCTGTATATTTAAAAAATATATTCTGAAAAATAAAAATTGCTCTTTCAGTGTTACGAGGAAGTGAGGATGACACTGGAAAAGTGTGACGTCATTGAGGTCAACAACAGCTTTGTGGAGATGAAAACGACTGGTTCAAACCCTCCAGGTAGCGATCCACTCACTGCGCGGTCTTCCTGATCTTTATTTGAATACGTTCCAAGTTGGATATTTTAATATTATCTCCAAATGCCACCTTTTGTGAACGACTGAAGCATATGATTTCTTATTTCCTGAATTTCACTGGCCTCTCCACAGCTCCAATTGAATACCAAAGTTACTACGAGGGGAACAATGCCGCTGACAGAAATGGATGCACTGGGTTTGTAGGTGGAGTCATGAAAAGGTAAGTATTTCCCAATGGAGAGCACCATTACCAAATAATCAGTGAGCTTTTACTTTATGTTTTTGCTCCTTGAATAACAATATCTGTGTAATTACTGGGTCCTTCTTTTTTTTTTTTTTAATTTGTAGGTTTTCAAATCTTCTGCAGGGAAACATTTCCTCTGGCTCCAGAATGAGCCTCAATGAACCGGTTGCACAGTCGAATGGTATGGCACTAAAGTAATTTCAAGAAGTTCAAGAAGCTCTGCTATTTCCTAAATGATGATTTCGGTTTTTTTTGGGAAACCCCTGATCATTGCAGCATAACCTGTGAATTAATTCTTAAGTAACTATATTTACACCAGTGGCTTCCGAACATTGTGGAGTTGCTCAACAAATAACAACATCAAAAAAACACACACACATATATCTACATGTTAGTGTTGGAGAGGAACATTGAAACACAAATAGGATTAGAAATTAGTGTTTGTTATGACAACATTTCTGTAACCAAATTAGCACGAACCCCCACCTCCACATGCATGGAACTTTCCACCAAACTAAACAAGCTTCACCAACTTCACAAGAATTGAGAGTCAGTGAAAACTGCGAAAAAGACAAAGTAGACAAGACAAGAGTGCGGAGAGGCTGTAATAAATAAATGAAAAATCTGGATAAAGCATCTGCCCCCTGCAGTGGTAATGTGATAGGAATACAAACTCCCCCCGAGTATTAGACCAAGCCTGCACATAGGCTACCATAATGGCAGCAGGATCAAATATTTTGCATTAAAACTGGTCACAATATCCTTTTCCATAATGACAGTTGTTGGAACAAATCCTAAATTACTTGTTTGATCAAAATTGGAAAATTAAAAAAAGGCTTCCAACACAGCTCATTATGTCTTTTTATCTCCTCAGCAGAACCCTCGGCAGGAGTTTACGCGTCCATTCCTGAACTAAAGGGATCCAATCAGAGCAGTGAGGAGTACAAGGTGGTGTATCCGTACGAGGCACAGGTCAGATTTCTTACTTCTACACGAGACACATTCTGATATTCCTATGCTTTTTTTATGTGATGAGATATCTCCTGACTGGGTGTTTCTGTCCTTGTTTAGGGGGCAGACGAGCTCTCTGTGTCTGTTGGGGATGTTGTGATTGTCACAGATCAAGGTGAGGATGGCTGGTGGACGGTGCAAAGAAATGGTCTTTCAGGATTGGTTCCAGGTTCTTATCTCGCCAAAGAATGAATTTACCCGACAGCCATTGGTAGGAGTGCATAACTACGAAACTGCCTTACAGCTGAATGTGCTTTACATACTTTTTACTGCTCTCATCATTAAAGCCCCTGAGTAGGGTATGAAATTCCAAAACCTGGGCGCCCCCTAGTGGGGAGCTATCAGGAAACCTCATAGAAGCTGCAGGAAAGATCTGCTTTCTTTCAAAAAGTTTTCAAATTTGTCTCAGCCTCTCTATCTGGACAGCAACTTATTTGCAATACAATATTTCAAGAAAAAGATTAGCAACACATTTATAAAAAAATCTTCGGAAATGTAAATGTATTGCTTGTACTTGTAGCACTCAAGTGAAATTTCCAAACAGACATCAAAATGTTCTTATTATTTCAACAGCCCTCGAATGCAGCATGTACAGGAGGACAGAATTGTCCAATTGTCACAACTTTTCGACTAAAACTTCTGCCATTAGATTCACTGTACTGTGTATTATCAAGCTGTCCTACAGATAGGGATGTTTACTTCGTTAAATGAGACAGTGTTGAATGGTTGAATTATTTATTGCCGTGTCATGTTTTCATCTTACTTTGCCCTTACTGCTGGTGCGTTGAGTGCTTGTCATACCGTTGACAGCTGGGAGATCTGTTGCACAAGTTAGCTGCACTAATGTATCAATGTTTTAGAAGCCTTGTAGCCCTTTATATTAGGCAGAATGTTTGATGTCTGCTGTTTGCCTATATATATATATATATATATATATGTATATATATATATATACAAATAGACAAATGTTTTTTTTCTGACATATCCGCCGCCAGCACCGAGGGGCCACGCGGCCTCGGGTGCGGGGATCTCAAACCGGTAATGAGATATATATATATATATATATATGTGTATATGTGTGTATATGTGTGGATGTGACAAAGTTTGATTCTGAATCATAAAAGTTATTTGTGATTGAGAAATGTGTATTTATTCAATATAAGGTTGCACTGTCAATGTTGTCTGTAGCGCCTGAATATTTGTTGTTGAAAACTTTAAAGCACTTTGCTCTATTTTTCTCTTATGATTGCAATCTTTAATTACAAGCAGACCAAACCAGAACAATCCCAAATTAATTGCTGAAATGCAAACCGAGTGCTGTTATGGGGACATGTAAATGACAAGTGTGTTCTATCTGGTTCAAAAGTATCTTGTTGCGTGCTAAGAGGGGTGATGCATGTCTTAGTCAGAGTTTACCATTACTTTAAATGAACATGAGGATCAACAACTGCTGCTCTGTGACCACAGGATGTTTCACATTCAGTAGCATGACAGTAATACATTTCTTCAGCTTTTATTTTGACCATGACCCTAGAGTATACAAAGAAGTGTGAAGATGAAAAGCTAAAATAATAATTGGACCAAAGCATCAAATTGAATAGTTGAACCACTTTCACCTGAATTTTGACCGCTCTTTGACGACCGAGCTCTTTGACGACCGAGCTCTTTGACGACCGAGCTCTTTAACAAGATTAGTTGTTGGGAAAAGTCAATTAATGAGAGAGTGCAGCCACATATTTTCAAACTTTTCCAGCTTTTTATTTACATTCTATCCATTGCTACATTTCAGCAAATCAAGTTCTAAAAACTACCATCAGTCGACTGTTGAGACAAAAAAAAAAAAAGAGAACAAACAACTATAGGACAAAGTAAATCTAGAGTTAAGAATGCATTTCAACTTGAAGAATTCCACAAACTAAAAGGGATTGCAAGATGTTCTCCTTAAAAGAGAGATCAGATTAGGAAAAACCAGTGGAGCTACATAGTTCACACAACTTTCTGCACAAGTGACTTTGGCTGTGGTGTTTCTTGACCAAATACTGCTGGTGAGACTTAGCTGTAACAGTAGTAGACGAAATAGTGGAAGTATAAAGTCAAATTGACAGATTAAATATAAAATAAGCAAAATCACACACAGTGCAAACTAACATATGAGGAAAAATACCCTGTCACCTTTTTCTTAAAACATGACTAACAAGGTTTGAGCTTGGTAAAAATAAAAAAAGGACATCCATTCTCAAACCTTCCTCAACGCAACAGAATGCTCCCTACATCTCATTTACATTGACCATGAGAGAATTTGGTCAACAGCTTTGTTTTTGGAGAGACAAGGTCAAATATATCACTTTAGTGGGGTTAGTGTTTTAAGCTTAATGTGTTAATAGATTATGTTCATGCTCTCACCCAGGATACGGGTAATATTCTGAAAGTTTGCCTTATGGTGAGAAATGTGTTCTTCTTTATGCAATGGTGCCCCCTGTGATCAGAAGCTCATACGCCGGATCTCTGCCACTGCGGCACAGCACGACACAGGCACATAACATCCCCAGCATCTGGAATAAAAAGACAAACACCTTATTAGTTTAAAATAACTTCTATAGATGTTATGCATAAAATGTCACGGTTTGCTGTTAATACCACTTTCATGTTTGTAAGGTATGATGCAGCTAATGCCAGGTAGGCTGTTAGCTTAGCATGAAAAATAGAGATATGTAGCCTGGCTGAGTGCGCACAGGTAATAAATCAGCCGACAAGCCTCCCTAAAGCTCACTCATTAACGTGTAACTGCACTGTTTTATTCCTATAAAAATAATTGGTAAAACATGAAATTAATGTTTTACAGGGTGTTTCATATCAGACTTTTTCTTGGCTCAGTGTGGTGACTGTTTAATTTCTTGTCATGTAATTTCCAGGTAAGCAGGGTTGATGAGTGAGCGTTAGAAGTGCTGGTTGGTCGATCGATCTTGTAATTTATGGACAAACCCCAAGAAGCTGCTTCTTCCTGTTTTCAATCTGAATGAGAGCTAAGCTAACCGGTGTCTGAGGTTTTCAAAACATTTATTAAACAGGCGACGTGTTTTTGATCACCTCAGGTTGGTAGAACAAATGAGTTGTTAATGGACTTTGGATTCACGATATAATGCAGACATTAAACCTACAACACGATTAAAGTGTGTGACTCAACATCCTTTGAAATTTGAGCAAAGATAACAAAAAATGGAACATTATCTTGTAAAAATGAAGTTCCAATATTGAGTAACAGGAAATGAGTATCTCATTTTGAGAGGGAAAAAACAAACTGAGTTTTAGGACGGAAACAAAGTTAATTCAAGAGACTTGACATTATTATTCATGCACACTATTGTTTCCTATATGTCATACTGAAAACATACTGGGGGCAAGCTGGGGAAACAGACTGACACTGACTAAGATTGCGGGGAAAAAAACAACCTTTTTTATAATTTTGAGCAATTAAAAACAAAACAAAAACAAACAAACACATGGTAATGTTCTACGTAATGAGGCGTCTTAACGAAGCTCACGTACCCTTAATGAAGATTACATACCTGGATGAGAGCAAATGTCAATGCAGTCCAGATGACATACATCATGATCTCCTTCAACTTCTTCACAACCAGAGCCTCACAACCCTACAAACACACACAGAATGTATTCACACATAACAAAGTATAGCTGATGTTTGATATAGGAACTTGTCAGAAGAGGAGCTTTTTTTTTTACTTCTTGGTAGAGATCTTCAGGACGAGTTAGGGACCCAGTGCAGCCTACGACGTTAGCTTTGCAACAGCTGATGGGTACACTGTTGTTTTTGGATTCTTCATACCAGTGTGTATTCTGCCAGTCTGAGTAAGTGTGGATCCCACAACACTGAAGCTGTGAAAATTAAGGCAGTGACCATTTAACAGAAATGTAGGTGAAAGAGAGAGAGAGAGAAAAAAACAGAAGAATATCATGACATCTTGTTTACACAGGATATTTGTCCTCACCTGTCTCTGAACGTAGTCGATGGCACGACTCTGGGCGTTGCTGTTGGTGCCATTGTACTCATCATACACTTTCCTGATTGAAGTATTGACTCATCTTCAACCTAGCAAAGATTAGAAAGGTGAAAATAAACATCAGATGACACATTCAGCTCGACTGGTAAAAATAAAAGCGATTACAAACACAAGCAGATTCGACGAGGTTATCAGTGTTGGACTGATTGCTCCTGCTCTCCTTTCATGGTGTGATCTTCTAGGTAACAGGTTAAGTCTCAAACACGGCGGTGAGAAAAACAAACATGAGCTGACTTGTTATTTGACTTTCTTACCTTTGCTCTGTAAATGTACCCGAGAACCACCACCGCTACTTCCGTCAGGAAAACCAGCAGGAGAATGACGACAAACTGTGGATTGAATTTCAGGATTAATGATGCACAGTCAACAGACACTTTGAAAAAAAAAAAAAAAAAAAAAAAAGACATGCATGCAAATGAATAGTGGATTGTCTGACACTTGGGCGTTGTTAGGAAAACATAGAACGAGTTGAATGACAGGCTCTTTGTGCAGTTTGTGATAGATGTGTAAATACAGTACGTGGAGAAAGATATTCAAATCTAAAATCTCTCCCTCATACCATTTGATTCATACATTGTAAACAGTTGTAACTGTTTTATATATATTTAGAAACGAGGAATGATAATGTCCTTTTTAAGGCAAAAATCTAAATCCTGATGAAGCAGTTATTTTAAAGGCTTTATCTGCGATTTTTCTCACTTAAATGTAGAAATCAAGTATATCCTCTGAAAATAACTCTGTGAGTCATGACTGTCTACAATGGGTGTAACACCCGAGTCCCACTGTCTGTGATGTTTTCAGAGTTTTCAGAGTCCTATCTTCAGTTTGTTTACATCGCCAGGACGGCCGGCTGACTCCTCCCCTCGTGTATAAAAGTTGTTTAATTGAGGACTAGAGAAAAGAAGAATAACATACTGTACTCACTGCTTAACTGTGTTTCTAGATCACGCTCATTTCAGGTAAATTTACATGCAGTGTGAAGATACGAGCATAAAAATCAAAATAAAAAAATCGCATGTAAAGCCTTTAATAGGACACAAGAACCTTCATCTATGGAGATACATTAGTAAACAGCTTTACTGACCGTTGTAAGTCCACAGTAGCTTTCTCTCACAGTGGCACAGCACCCAATGAGCCCTATAATGAAAAGCAGGGCTCCAGCTGCAATAATGGTGACTGCTGGGATGAGCGTGTACACGTCTTCAAAAAAGTGATCGTAGTCGTCATACGTGATGAAGACATAGGCGCCCACATAACACAGGATACCAGCAGCAGCCTGTGGGTGACAGAAACGTGCGGTGATGCTGTCAAGCCTACCCACGCAAGTAATGTGTGAGGGATCTGTTGCAACAGGATGTAAATAAGAATGGACAGTATGCTATGTATATACTATACAGCTTTTCATTTCTGAGAGTACACTTATCCACAAAGGAACAAGGTAACAACATTAATAACACTCCTCAAGTACAAGCCAGGGGTACTTGATCTTTACTTGAAAATACCCATTTTGCCCTAATCATGGAACAGGACATTTCAAATAGAAACGCTGTATTGTTACTCAATATCATTGTTTTAACAGGGGTAGTTACTTTTCAGAGCTATATTAAAGCTGCAGCAAACTAAAACATGAATCACTAAAGAAACCGAAGAACCCATTTGAATAAAATGTAAATGAATAAAAAGTCTAAATCCACAAATGTCAGCTTCTTGAATGTTTTCTGTTGTTCACTTTTTGATAATAAATTGAATCTGTGGGTGTTGGAAGGGAAGAAAAACGGTGACATTTGAGGATGTCATGTTGGGCTCTGGAAAGCATTGACGCAAGTTTTTCACAATTTAATAGACAAACAGTTTATCTTTTAATCAAATAACGAATTGCATTTTTATGCAATATGTTAGAATTAGGAACACTTCAAAATGACACTAAGGAGACTAATGAGAAGTGTTAACATATTAATACTTATAACACACATTTATACCAACATAATTGATTTGAAAGCATCACTGTGAAGCAGAAATTGAAATTAAGTATTTTATCTAAATACCACATAGGCCTAAACAACACCTGTTATGTACATTTTCAACATAAACTGAGGGTTTTTACTTAACATGATCGAAAACCTCTGCAAGAATATAAATATCTTTTGAGCTATCTAATGCAGTTGTAGTGTATTTGCCTTGGCTCAGTGGATTTGCCTGCTCTTCAAAGGAGGGGTCAAAAAAAAACAAGGGATAGTTTGACTCCAGCAAGCATCACTGCAATTCTTGCAAAAAAGCTAATGAGGGTATTTCACCCTATAACGTGATGACGTGTTCATTTTACAATGTGTTGTTTTAATCTACCACATCATGCGTGTTGAGTAATGACTCCAAACTAATCCCTCCCTGGATAAACAAAGGTCGGCTGCTGCAGCTAGCACAGCAGCTGGACACACACACACACACACACACACACACACACACACACACACACACACACACACACACACACACACACACACACACACACACACACACACACACACACACACACACACACACAGCTAGCTCTGTGACGCACGTTCTAATCGGTCCAAAACATCCAAACTCACCCAAAATATCAAGTTCAGAAAGACCAGGACCGTCTTGGACGACGTAATGCCGCAATGCCCCATCTTCAACATGGAGTTTAAATGCTGTTTGTGTTGGAAAATAACGCAGGTTGGTTTCTATTCAGACATGCCCGGCCAGCTGCACCACTTCACCCTCCATACCTCAACAACTGTGTCACTGGATCTGCCTGCAGCAGCGGCGACGCAGCGACGCAGCGCCACCAACCGAGCGCGTCCAGAACTACCAGGGGCGTCACCAGGAAGTCTGGCTCCCGTGAAAAGATATCACTGTGGGCCCCAACACCACAGTCCTAGCACTACCAACAATTACTCACTGGACCTGCATTATTCATGAGAACATTTAGAATTGAATAGATGTTTATTGCCATTTGCACAGGTACAGGACAGTTACAGGTACATTGGAATTCTTGTGCTTTTCCCCTGATTCAGCTCCTAAGAAAAAAAAGAGTTGAAATTATATATAAAATAGAATAGCATTGTAAGAAAAAAAGAGTAAAATAAACAAGTTGTAGTAACAGGTAAGTGATTTAAAATAAACTGTACAGAAGTTATACACTGTATTAAAGCAAAGATATAATACAAAAAAATAACAAGGGGGGGCGCTGGTGGTTAGTGCACGCCATGTGCGCCATGTGCGGGCGGCCCGGGTTCCCATCCCACCCGTGACTTCCTTCCCGTATGTCATTCCTCACTCTCTCTCTCCCTGATTTCTGACTCTATCCACTGTCCTATCTCTCCATTAAAGGCACAAAAAAGCCCCAAAAAAATCTAAAAAAAAAATAATAATAATAATAACAAGGGGAACACTGTACAATGAAATGAAAATATAAATAAGTTTTCTTATTGCACTTATTATCTCTTATTGCACCTGAGGTTATTGCACACATATTTTTCACATTATATAATTGCACTGTTTTTTGTTTTTAAGGTTAATATTGCACACTTGTATTGCACTGTGAGGTGGTCAACTGTCCATTTAGTCTGTGAGGTGTGGGGTGAAGTACTTCCTTCCCATCTTAATGTCCTGTGTTACAAGTCTCACGGCAGCAGGGAAAAAGCTGTTGTGGTAGGTATTTAAAGCTTTAAATAACCAAAACGTTTGTGTTACAGCCAAACTGTAGATATGAGGTTACACCCAAACATTGGGGATCAATAACTACAAGAGAGAGAGAGAGAGAGAGGGTGATATGTTTTTATGTTAACATCTGAAGTCATCTGAAATCATATTTATTTTGCATTATGCACAAAAATATATAGAGAATCACTCTATTTCAATTGAGATAAAATAAACACAATGCTTTATAATCTATGAAAAAATGTCTCATACTCCCTTACACAAGTACAATAATTACCTCGCACCACTGTGCCCACTCTTTGTGCCTATTTGTTTGGCTTTATCTGCTTTTCAGTACAATTTGGGACTTCAAAACTATGATCCACAATCCATGTGGGAGAAAGCCAGAACATTTGAGCTCCATGCAGGCTGGCACCCGATTCAAACCAGGTGTCAGCTTGCTGTGGAGCTTATACCACCACATTTACGAGCCAAGTTATTCTGTTTAAAGTTGACTAAATACCTGAAAATGTGATGAAAAATATAAGCTCTATTTCAGTTTGAATTGAAGAATAAAGCATGATTAAACTATGTAACATATACAAATACTGCAGCATTTGAACATTTATTTACCACAATTTCCCAGTTTGGGATCAATAAAGTAATTCTATTCTATTTTATATTCTATTATTTAGTAGGCCTATTTAACAGGTTTTTACAAAAGTTTTTAAATATATGTATTTTCTTAATCATTCCTCGCAAATTTGTGATTTTTTTTTTAACCCTAACACAGATTTCAAAATCATTATTTGATTTTACTTTGTTACAGTGAATGACTTTGTAGCATATTAAAATGTCACGAATTAATGAAAATGAATATCTTAGGAAGTCTGCCCCCCCCCCCCCCCCAATATTCTTACATACAAACCACACCAACATTTAGTTTACACACTGAATGTCATATGTTTACTGCTTCTGCCTATTTCTAATTATACTAATATGCAGTTTTGTTAAAAAAAAATTAAAGAGCATGATATTGAGTCTAAATAGTACTTGCAGTGCTTTGCTGACATCTGGTGTTTGAAATGTATAATTTGACACTTGCCTACTTTGGAGTATCAGCACCACTCTGTCATGATTACATCACTTCATAGTTACATAGATATACTAGTGTCACATTAAAAAACTCATATCACAATCACTTTTTAGAAATGTACACAACTGGGCTATTATTTTAACAATGACAGCCTTGCGACGAGGATCTAAAGTTGAAGTTTAATCAATTTTTTTTTTTCACACAGCAAAATTAAATAGAACCAAATAGAAACATTACACTGGCAAAGAGTGGTAAAGTTGAATAAAATATCTAACATTTACATGGCGAAGAATTTAATGAAATCCATGTCTTGATCTCAGGATTACACAGTGAAGAAACCAGAACCACTGGGAGAGAGAGACAATGAGGCATTATTTAGATTGTGCACAATGTTCATGTTTTTAATGATGATACAATCAGGTCACTAAGTAACAAGAAGCTCTTGTTTTTTAATTGATTTTGGATCTGTTTTTTTTTTTTTTTCGATTAATCAGCTGTTTGTAAAGAATAAGTTAGCCACCTCTTCAACTTTCTTCCCTTCATATTAAATATCCATATATGTAAAACAAATACACACAGACACAAGGTAATAAATGTATAGCTGCCTCTAAAGTGTTGCAGCTTTCTTCTTCACAGCAGTAGAGAAGCTGAAATCAGCATGTGTTCCAAATATTTTATCCCAGTGGCTAAAATGTGGTGCAAAATTAGTGTTGGGTTTCTGATGATGCACATCGTGTTTGCTGGGCCCTCCATAGATGCTTAAGGGTATCAGACGTGATGTGGACCAGGGGAAATCATAGCCACAGTGATCTTCGATGGAAACGTAGACGTGCACCACCATGAAGGTCCATGTGGTGAGTAGGTGGCATCTCAGGACCACAGGATTCAGAGTGGTCCAGAAGCCTACAGTGACCAGCTCCCACCCACCAAGACACTGGGTGGCTAGAGCAAAGGGTGAGGAGTAGTTATGGTGGATGGCGTGGAAAGTGACATACAGCCAGCGGATCTTGTGATGTAACAGGTGCCAGATGAAGTACTGGAAGTCAAAGAGCAGAAGGTTGCCTATCACCCCGGCAGTCAGCTCCAGCAGGGATGGAGCCTGGTCCGGCAGGTCGAGCGGAGGCCTCCATACCCACTGGGCCACTGACGCTGGCAGCACAAGAAACATATGGTTGTAGAAGGTGACACCCGCACAGTGCAGCAGTGTAGAGGCTGTGGGACCTCGACCGGGTTGGATCTTGAATTGATGCACCAATGCCCATTTTTCACCCATTATGTCACAAAAAAGGAAAGGAAGGCAGAAGACAAAGTATGAAGACACAGTCAGAACAATAGGGAAGAGTGGAAACCTCAAATAGTCTCTGTAATTGATCCGCAGGTTGTCCCACAGAGGCTGCAGCAAAGAGTCGTTGCCTAAACATCTTATCCAAAGATCTATGCCCATGTCTGCTGAATCCATCCTGAAGTCAAAATCAAAAAAGTGGATAGCCGGATTTTTATTTTATTGTAGACGTTACAGCAAGAAGCTGCAGCTGGAAAAGACTGTGCCAAATGAGTGCTTGTGCTACTTTCTCACTGTGTGGTATCAAGTGACGCCTGGGTTCAACATTTCAACAAATTATTCATACACGTTAACAAACAGGTAGCCTATATACAGAAGCTCTCAACATTTTCAATTTGGCAGTATAAAAGATTTTTTTTTTATTTCTAAATTTATTCTATTTGTTAGTGTACATCTCTGCTTAAGTTAAAAGTGTATCTGTCATTTAACATATATATGAGAACAAGTAAGAGACAAAAAGTCAGCACACAAATGTCTGGGTAAAGCAGAAACAACAACAGCAAAGTCTTGCTGCTGTCGTTCACCTTTTACTGTGTTTAACTGTCAAGAGTGGCTCCTCGTTTGAGAACAAAATAGCCTACGTTTAAATTTAGCATTGTTCCAGTTACACTAATGGACGGTAGCCTACTAAAAGGGAGAAAGGAAAAAATAAAAGATTAGAAGCACTTAAAGTAGAAACAATATAGAATAAAATAAAAGGCCTAACATAACACGAAATATAGTTAAGATAACAGAAACCATTTTGATGTAAAAAAAAAAAAAAATGTTTAAAACTTCAGCAGGTTGGTTTTCTGAGAGCTCCCATATTAAACTAAACTTTTATTAGTTTATAAAGCATTACATGGCCTTGCACCAGACTACCTATCAGATATGATAGGTAGTCTGGTGCATATGCCCCTCAGATCCCCTCAGATCCTCCAGTTCCTCTCTTTTAGTTGTTCTACAGAGCAGGACAAAAACCTTTGGAGAGGAGCCGAGAATATTGAGATTTTTGAGATTTTTGCTTTATATAAATTCAGATCTTAACATTATTCGATTGTCTTTTTTATCCTACTACAATTTTAAATATTATTCTCCTATGTATTAATTTTAATATCGTATTGCTTTTTTGTGTTGTATTTTATTTTTTCATTTTATACATATTTTTTTTAATTCTTATTGGTGTGCATTAGTCTCTCAATGATTTTTTTAAACTACTTTTTCAATAACTTTTCTGCACTCTTGTAAAGCACTTTGAACTGCAATTCAATTTGTCTGAAGGTGCTATATAAATAAAGTTTGATTGATTGATTGATTGATTGAAAAAACCAACAAAAAAACAACAATATTTTCACAAGCTTTTTTCATTAATGTTCCGGAGCTTGCAATTTTCATTATATCACGTTTTTCATTAGACTTGGTAATAAAATCAACATTTTCTTCAGAGCACCTCTTGCTCAGGCATTTAAAATTTTTGCTTGGTTTCCTAAAAAAAAATAGAAAAAGCTCCTGAATGTGTCTTTCTGTAATTGTTTTCCAAGGTAAAGAATGCAGTTTAAGTCTTTGCTATTTTGTGAAGCGGACCCTGTTGTGTTGATGTCTGATGATGTTTCATTGGATAAAAGCATATACTATATGGTCTATGGCAGGGGTGGGCAACTGGCGGCCCGGGGGCCCACATGCGGCCCCCATCAACCCTCAATTAATTGGAAACATGAAGAAAACATGACGAAAATCTGCCATGAAATCATGAAAACCAGGAATATGTCCATAATAATATCTGATCACTGGTATATGTTGAGTTAAATTTGAGACATAATTGACTGTAATCGTTTAATTTGGCCCCTCTGGCAGTGAGAATTAAATAATGTGGCCCTTGCTGTCACCAAAGTTGCCATCCCTGGTCTATGCTGTTTTCCAGTAGGAGGAACGCATGGTTATTTCACTGTTGTCCCGTGATGCCCCGCCCCTCTGTATGTGTACGAAAGAGCCTCATATTACCGCGCATGCGCAGTTGCTTCAAAAAGGGACTAGCGTTTCCCTGAAGCACTGTGCACTCACTTGACAGGTAACTAAAGCTGTTAAATCCATTTTGATACTTTTCATAAAGCGTTTAAGCTTATATTCGTATCAATAAACGGAATAATCATTTACCTGGACCCGTGTGTGTTTGAGGTAATGTGTTATTCGAGTCTTTTGATCTAAAAGAAGCGATTTAGCTAGCATTAGCAAAACAATCCCCATGACATGAGTATGAAAGTTTAGCTCTCCAGTAGACTGCTATTCTTGTATTTTGGAAACAGTAAAAAAAAAGGTGTATTTGTGTATTATCAGGGGGGAAATGTCAGTGCTGACTAATAATTGATCCCTTTGGGTAAAACGTAACCAGGCCAGTTGCTTCCATGGTTATTTCTAACCTTAAAAAAGTCACATGACTCAGTTATGATACAGGTCAAAGTTCATTTTATTGACCCTTGGATTGACAGATATTTTAAATCCATAACACTCCTTTTAGTTTATAAAAATACTCATCATATCTTAAGTTTTCCATGGCTTTGATTTGTCCAAATAAAGTAATAAAGTTCAACATGAATCATGTTGAGCCAACGTTTTGAAGAAGTGCATCATGTCTGCAAGTTTATTTGAATTATGTTTTAATTTCGTTTTAGACTACTGCAAGGAGGAAAGGGGTCTTTTGGAGAATATCAGTCATGTTCAGTCGTTTTTTTCTCACTTTAAGTCATCCTCCACTCAGCCTGTCACACAAAGTCAAAGTAATCTCATTGTTTTTGTCTTTACTTTTTTCTCCTGTAGTTTTTAAACAGCATAAAATGAGCAGATGCAGCCCTTTAATCCTTTAATTGTTTTTGTTTGATAACGATGACTTATAAGATGGTTTCTATACTGATTAGAGCTCTCAAGAACTGCCCTCAATGTTGTGCTTTGCCTCTGGTCACTTCCTGTCAGCACCTGTGTGTCCAATCAGACTCAAAGCTGATCGTTTGCTCTTACTGACATTGTTCCCTTTTTTTCTAGATCCTTGCTTGTGTTGTACTCACTCTCTGATGTACGTCGCTTTGGATAAAAGCGTCTGCTAAGTGAATTGTAGAATTGTAATCCGTGTCCCTCTAACCACTCTGTTATTGTTTATCCCGTCTGTTATTAACAGTGATGGAGACTGGTGACGGAGAGAAGACGGGGGAATCAGAGCCTGGCCTTCATACTCAGCGGCTGTGTCGCTTCTTCTCTCAGGGAAGACACTGTAATTATGGGAAAAAATGCAGATTCCTACATATAAGAGATGATGACACAGTTAATGAGAAGAGCATTGGGACACCCAGTGGGGCAGATGTCACAACTTCAAACTCAGAGGTCCCTGGAGGAGATGTTGGGAACAGGCCTCCTCCGACAATTAACAGCAGAGTCGCCCCTGCAGCTGGCCGTCGCCCGTGTCGCTTCTTTCATCTCAGGGCACTGCAGCATGGAAGACAGATGTCGTTTCTGGCATCCACCACAGTTACCCAGTGTGGACGGCGTGCATGTTGCAGACCATAACGCGAGACCTACGCAGAGGATGCCACCAGTGCCCCGCCCCAGCATCCTTCAGGAGATCAAGCTGTGTGACCTCACAGAGGAGGCCTCACAGCAGCTACGAGACACAGAGATCAAGCAGCTGAAAAAGCGTTTTCCCAAAGATCAGCTGATTGTTCAGGAACGAAGTGATGGAAAAATAACGTATTACAGGGCGGCTGTTGAGGCCACTGATCCAGACTGGGTAAACATTTTCTTCTTTCTCCTCTCGGCCCCCAAGAGGTTGGAAATCCATCCATTTAGTTCTCCTGTAATACTGTTCAGCTGAGTTTGACTCAACACATAAAAGCTGAGCTGATAGAATAGAATTACTTTATTGATCCCAAACTGGGAAATTGTGGCTTACAGCAGCAGGTTGTCCAAACACACAATATGAGCAAAAAAACACAATGTTAGCAAATCTAAACACAATATAATATTAAATACAAAGTAAATAAGTACTAAAGATATCAAAACTAAGAATGTGAATATATACAACCAGGATTTAACTTAGCATTACTAATCTTAAATAGGAAGATTAAATATGGAAGATTAAATGTAAATGTGCAAAAACAGAGTTGTAAATGGACAGTATTGACATAAGTTAAAGTGCATGAGTGTAGACATGTTATAAGCAGAAACTATACAATATAACGGCGAATAGACAGACAAATGAAGTGAACATGAGTGCAGGGATAATTTGTAAATTTAACATTAAGAGTAATAAAGTAACAGTAAGAAAGATGGCATCTTCAGACAAATACTTAATCAGTCAAATAGACAAAAAGAAGTAGACTCCTTCTACTATGTCTTAACAGCACCACAGATCATAGAACTGTTAATAACTGAAGGATAACACGTTTGTTTGTTTTTAAATGAGATTAGCTGCTTAGATTAAATTCTATGTTAACTCTAGGATATAGGGTCAAACAATAACTAAACCTGTCTGTCTTTGGAAGGGTAAAAAAAACCTGACTGAATAATCATTTGGTATTTTTACTTAAAATGATTTATGAACCAATTTGTTTTATAGTCTGCTGAAAATGACTTTTCTCATCATCTGAATAAATACTAACTTTGAGTTTGAACTTGTAGCCCTTTGACCTTAAAGAAATCGACATCATGGTGAGCTTCCCAGACAATTACCCCCAAGAGGTAAAGATACCTGCTTACAATTACAGATTGTTATTGTTACACAATTATTAAGATTTGTGTAATATCCTATACAAAAAAATGATTCTATACATGGAAAGAACATTTCCTTATCACCCTAATACATCTCTTAGGTTTTTACGTTAGATATCCCATTGGACCAGGAGCTGCCCTCAGTAATGGCAAGGTAAAAATGCATGTGCAGACTATGTGACCAGTTAATCATGAGTTTCTCTAGTTTTAAAATGTATTTTTGCTCTCTGTCTCTACATAGTTACGTACAGCAAGCGTCCATGGAGTGGCTTCAAGCCAAACATGCAACCAATCAGCTTCTGGGAAAGGTCGAGCTGCTCTTCCGGCCTTTTCTTCGCTGGCTGGATCGTAGTCTGGAGAGACTGTTCACTGAAGGAGCCCGGCAGGTGACACTTCACGCTGCATGCATGTTATCCCTTTGAACCTACTGTAATGACTTGTAATTCCTGATAACAATATTTCTCTTTTTTCTTTTATTTGTGCAGTTGAAAAAAGATATTGATTTAGAAAAATCTGGACTGCAGTTTATAACGTATCAGGAGCTACAAGCCACCGTTTGTGAAAAATCGGGGAATGATCCTTCCTCTGACACCACTGATGCGAATCCAGACAATATGAATGGTGAAGGGGAATTGGAAAATGAAGACGACAAGGGAAGAGTGGAGGGAGTGAAACAAGAGGGTACAGGCATTGGTGAGGGGCAGCAGCAGGAGGATGAAGGGGCTAGTCATCTGGTGGAGAATATTAAGATCAGCGACCCCCGCAGAGGCACAGAGATGAAGCTGCTGGGACTGAGGCTGGGAGAGAACACAGCCACTTTGGTTGCTCAACAAATCACCGTTTGCCTTCAATGTAACAGGTAAAGACAATGAGAAAAGATGTCAGATATCCATGCCCACACGTTGGTTTGTTTATTTAGAATTAAAGCTTGCGTTTGTGTGATTAGAGCTTTGCTTTTTGTGTCTGCAGGTGTAAGGTAACTGCAGACCTGACGCTGACTGGAAGGACACCTTGCGCAGCTCAGTGTGAAAAGTGCAGCGCAAGCATCAATGCTGCGTACAGGCCCTGCATGCTGCACCATTACAGCGACGTCCTGGGATACCTGGACCTCCACAATGCTACACCTGCTGACCTTGTGCTCCAGGAATGTGACTTCTCTGTGGGCTGCCTCAGCTGCTCCCAGGAGGGTCCTGTGCTGGTAATGAATGAAGTTTCACATCTGTTTTGTGTGTAATGTAAAATCCAGTAACTGAATTATGTCTCAATAACATGATCTCTGCCTTCTCTCCAAACGCTTCGTCTTTATTTTTCATCAGAGTGTTTCCTATGGCCAAACGAAGGAGTTAAATTGTGAACACTGCCACAGCAAACTCAGCATTCTTGCAGAGAGCACAAGATTTCAGTACATCCAGCCACGCACCAACAGAACAGGTCAGAACTCACCCGTCGAAGAGATCAGCAGAGGTTAAAGATCATTAACAACGAGCTGTTTGAGTTTTCTGTTCCGACCCATGTTTACTGACATTGCTACCGGTATTTACAACTTTACAAACCGCATGAAAAAAACAAGTTTCAGGTTACATAATTTACATATTAAGCAATACTACAGGTCTGTTGGGCAGTGGGCCCACCAGAGAATAAACCTTCATAGAGGCAAATAAGGTGGTGAACAAACACATATGCATTTGTACTTATTCACATGTCACATGCCTCACTCTTACCAGACCTAAACAAACCAGAAATGTACATGTCTTTTTTTTTTGTTCATTTTGCAGGTCCAAGTTCTGGTGCTGTATATTATAAGTCAATAAGAGATCCTGCTGTCCAAAAGGGGAAGCCGCTTCCAGAAAAAGGAGTATGTAAACATTACAAACAGAGCCACCGCTGGTTGAGGTATGATCATTACTATCTTTTATCAGTTGTGGAATCCTGACTTGGAGAAAGAGTATACATGAACATGTGTGTCACTGGCTGCTCTCAGGTTTCCCTGCTGTGGCCGGGCTTACCCCTGTGATGTCTGCCACGACGAGGACCAGGACCATCCCATGGAACTGGCCACCCGGATGATCTGTGGCTACTGTGCCAAAGAACAGGTGATACCATAGAGTGCACATGACATGTCACAACATAAACATTTCAAACATGGGGCTCATGACATTTATGTTCATAAGTATCATTTCACAAGTGCAGCAAAAATGTGTTAAAATGATCATTATTATCTCTGTGTGTTATGGAAATGTATCCGTGTAGTTGTTTACATGGGAGTACAGAATCAGTTCTGCATATAGAAATAAGATCAAGGCATGATCAAGTATTTTTTAGACAAGACCTCAAGACCTTTAAATGTTTTGGTGTTCACAGCTTTTCTTGATTTGTTCAGTTCATTCCTTTATTAAACGGTATAAGATGTGGTTCCAGCTTTAAGCAGGAATGGAAGAGGTGGATAATAGACTTTGAAGCGTTAATAAAATAGTTGGAAGCTGATCTCCATTGTCTCCATGTATTTTTGTATTCTTGCAGCCTTACGCCAATGGAAAGCCCTGCGTCAGCTGTGGAAGCATGATGACGAGAGGCACACGCACCAGCCACTGGGAGGGAGGACTGGGATGCAGAAGCAAAGTCAAAATGAGCAGGTACATTGAACAACATTAGTGGTAGAAATGTTTCTTCTTCCATCTTTCATGTAATGGTTCCAAAAGATAACAAGTTGTTTGTCTTTCTCTTCAGAAATGATCGACACAAATATGCAAACACCAACAAAACGATTTCAAGGAAGGCAGCCGGTGACAAGAAGTAGAAGCGAAGAGGATTTTTAAAAAAAAAGACATCATTTGATGCATGATTTCAGTGAAATTTTGAAATAAACCAACAGATCATTTTGTAATGATTAATCAGTGTGATAAGTGTTAATGTTTTCATCTGATATTTCAAGTCTTGTTGACTTTAGAGGTGGAGAAGTGGAGGACATGCGATTTAAATCGAAGAATTCGACAGGAAAGACGATAATTGGAGAAGAAGGAAGACATGCAGGTTACTGAATTAGGACAAAAAGTGTATTCAAAATAAACTGGTCAATGTAAAAAAGAAAAGCAAGACGTCCTGAGTTATCTTCTATAAAAGGAGAACAGACAGAGAGACTAAGCGATTTTCAGCAAGATGAAATAAACTGTTGCTTCTAGGTTGAATACAACTCAGATTAGAAAACAGAACTGTGTTTCATATTTCACTTTTTAAAAATGATTCCAAATAAATATATGACCTTTCACTGGTTGATGAACAGTCTACAGTGTTTTAATGTGGTATGTCTAATGCATGTTAACGAACAGTGCTAATCTTCCTCTGAGGGTCTTGTTATTGGTATTGAGCTGCTGGAAAGAAAGGAAAAAAAAAAAAGCAAGTCAGTACAGATTGAGAGAAAGGCCCCTTCTGTTTGACATGCCCTATATAAAGGCTTTACCTTGTCTTGATCTGAGACTTGCAGCCGAAAACCTTCAGAAACATGTTGAACATCAGCAGGCAGACATTTCTGCAGCAGCTGTCCTCCAGGGCCTCGGACCGTCTGCTGCAGCCGCTCTGGGATTATTTGCTTCTGCACCACCTTCCGCTCATCTCATCTCCTTTCTTTCCTGTCCTGCTCGCCTTCTCCAGCTATTTCTTCTTCAGTATGCCTTTTGCTGTGCTGGACCTATTAGGCGAAAGAGTGCATTTATTCCATCAGTACAAGATCCAACCAGACAGGCAGCCAACAGTAGGGATGATGGCTAAGGGCCTCACGACAGCGCTGTATAACCACATTTTCTTTGTTCTGCCAGCTGTAGTTATCGGACTGTTCTTCCTGCCTGCACCAACGCTGCCTCAGGTTGCTCCGACTATGTATGAGGTTTTCGTTGATGGACTGGCTGTGCTTCTCCTCTTTGACACTCAGTACTTTATTTGGCATTTCATACATCACAAGCATCCACAGCTGTACTTCTGGATCCATGCAGTCCACCATGAATACATAGCTCCCTTCTCCTGGTCCACTGAGCAGCTCAGCATCCCAGAGCTGTTGACTGTCGGATTCTGGAGCAACCTGGACACAATTCTTTTGAGGTGCCACCCGCTGACCACATGGTGCATCACAGTTTTCAGTATCTGGATGTCTGTGGAGGACCACATAGGCTATGACCTGCCATGGACACTAAACCACCTGGTGCCTTTCGGTCTGCTCGGCGGTGCACCAGCTCATGACATGCACCACCAGAAGCCCAGCAGTAACTTTGCTCCTTTTTTCAGCCACTGGGACAGAATCTTTGGCACAGCTGTTCCTCTGAAGAAAAAAAAACCCATCAGGAAATAAACAAAAGTGAATAAAAAAAATACCCTCTGTAAATACTGCACGTTGTTTTTCACTGTCACTTTCCCATCTATTATTTGTAATCATTTCATCGTTATTGCAAGTATTCAGTCTTCTTTGTGTTGCTCATGAAGTTTTTCATTTGTGAGGCTGCCAACAATAAAAGCTCTTGTAAAAAAAGAAAGTGTTTTATCAATCAATCATTTCATGCAAATCAAATGCAATTCAAAGTGCTTCACAGCGACTGGAAAAAAATAAATAAACATGAAATAGTGACGAAACATGGTACAAACAAAAATGAATTTAGAAGTAGAGAAGAAGTAGCAGTAGAGAGACTAATGCACACCAGTAGGAATAAATAATATGCAGTTAAAAAAATAGAAAAAGGTGAAGGGTTAAAACTAAGAAGGAAAAGATGAACAAAAAGTAAAGATAAAGAGTTAAAATAGTCAAATAAATAAAAACACTATTAATGTTCCAGTAAAATTACTGTCTCTTTAAGAAAAAAACATTTATATTTGCGTTAAATGAATTAAATCCATGTTAATCCTGATATATTCAACACATTATTCTCCATGTGGAACACGTGCACAATCCAAATTGTCGAGTCATTCCAGTGAAGAAACCAGCAGGAACTAGTTACAAGTACAAATTCCTACAGGCAACTTTCTCTATGCTTTTCTTACAATCTTCTTACATAATTGAAGTCTCTGTAAGAGCATTACTCAGCTATATTTCACGTACAAATATCATTAATGAGTAAGGAGCTTTTGAAGTAGAAAAGTGAGCTGGTCACTCAGAGGTCAGGTACAACACCAGTGGACTTAAAACAACCGGACTTTAAGTGCTCAGCTTTGACTGGACCAAGTGATCAAGGCTGACTTTAAGTTGGAATTATTTACAATGACAAATCAGTATGTGGAGTAAAAAGAAAAATACTTATTCTAATTGTGTTTGTAATATTTATTATATAAAACAGGCGTCTTATTTTGGTGGTCTACTACTTCACTTCCTTCATTGCTTTTTCACTCGTTAAGTGTCTAGAAATAAGTGTAAATGATATGCACTGTACTGTAGGTGTTTACTCTTCACTGTAATTTCTTCCAATTTAGTAGAAAATAAATATAAATGGCTGTAAATGACAAATTATAATCAAACTGTCAATGACACAAAAACACAACAAATACTTAAAAATAATTTATTCGTCACAGCAAATAAAAAAAAACCAATCCTGTAAAATGTCAGTGAAGACTCTTATTCAAATACTGCACAAACATGTTGGAGATTTGTCCGGTGTTCTCCGTCGGGTGCGTCTTGGCGTAGCTGATGAACTGGCGCCGTAACTTCCTCAGCTCTGCCATGTTGATGCTCCTGGTGAGCTCGATGTGGAACGGGTTAAGGTCATTCACGTAACAAGTTGTACCGCGTGCAAGGTGTTCTTTAATGCAGGAAGAAAACTTTCCCTCAAGGTTTCTCCAGTAAGGCTAAACACAGAGGAAAGTGACAACTGACAAGACCAAGTCAAATCCGGCCCGTCTCTAAAGGTTGACCAGTGTTCAAAGGAGGAAATCAAAGTGTCTGCGTCTGAGGAGCTCTGACACCGTGCAGCTGCTGATAAATATTCACTCGTCTACGTCATTTGGTTCCTCTTAACATGTTCCACTGAACATTACTACAGCCAAGACCTTTAAAAGTGAACGGTCGCTTTGCCTTTCATTTAACCTCTTTGATTGGACATGAATTCATCCACCCTTCCCTTCAAACGGGTTATTTAATACAGAGTGCATTGCCTACAGCTGGGGAGGGAAATGACAATCTTAGGAGCTGGGTAGAGCAAATCGTGTTTCATGCGGATGTGAGATTTGAAGTCACCCCCAATAAAACAGAATGTAGACATGTGTAAAAAAAAGGATATTTTTTCTGTAGCGCCGGGAACTGTGAGGAGATCTCCAGGAACGCTTGTCTTCTGTGCATTGAAAATGACCTGAAAAACAGTTGATAACCTTTATTTGATCACTACATACGTGGGTAATGTTTTCACATGTGGGAGCTGTATTCTTACAGACATGTTAATTTTGTTAATTGGTGGTTTAATAAAAAAAAAAAAAAAAAGGGATTTTATTTACTTGAAACACAATGTATTATTTACGACCACCAAGAGAGGTACTCATTAATTAAAAGAACAGAGGAGACTAATTTGCATTGGTTGAAAGCAATAAGGAGACTAAACCAATGACACGGGAGCTTAAGGGTGGGTTAATAATTACATGACAGGATACACAGCCACTGACGTCATGGGGACTGCGGGCCAAAAACTTCTTAGCAAGTGATGCATATGATGAACACTGCAACGATCAAGTGTTGCAGGTTCAGTCTTCAAAGACGTCTTCTACACTCCTCTTTTTAAGCAGTGATGAGTGCTGGCACATTCAGAGAGGTCAATATTGACATGAGACTTAATTACAGGTTTAGCCCTATTGTATATCTAGTTCTTTTAAAGTACACCTCAATTTTACCTTCCTGGTTTTCTTTATGTAAGTCCCCCACCCCACCCCACCCCCACTCCCCAGAGTGTACTCTTTCTTTGAATGAATGACGTCAACTTCAAAATTGAAGCAAGAAGCCAATTTTTGTAAACACTTTGGCTCCTTAACTGTAATTATTTGACTGATTATTGATTCTATTTAGTGTCTTTCACCCTCTGACTGCTGTCAGCCACTAAGCTGCCTTTGACTCTCCTTGAACTGCTACTCAAGAGGTGTTCACGTCAAACGGGACAAAAGGCAGACGCTGAAAGGATTCCTATTTTATGACGTGCAAGGGATGTTGGACAAGTAATTAAAAAATGATTTACTGCTCCCAGGGTTAAACTTAAGGTGGATTGAAAACATACCATCACATAACCTTAAACCACACTGTTTTGACAGGCATGACACAATCAGGTTTGATTTGTTTTCCAGCATTTCAATATAATCATAAAGTGATATAAGCCATGTTGAGCATGTTAGAGCCTTTCAAGCAAAGTGACAACTTGATTGTGGACATAAAGTCGAAACACAAGTTGTAAACTGTTAATTAGATACCTAGGATGGTTTTGATGCTGATTAGAACTCTCAAACTGTCGATGTTGTTGATGATGTTGATGATGATGTTTAAAGTGGTTAGCCTCTCTGTACTGCCTGTCAGTACCTGTGTCTGACTCAATGCTGTTCGTTAGCACTAAATGATGTTGTTTCCTCCTCTCTATATCCTTGCTTGTGTTGTGCTAACTCTCTGATGTATGCCACTTTGGACAGAAGCCTCTGCTAAATTGTAGAATTGTTCATTACGACGACTTTGTCATAACATGAATCCACCCTGCTAGAGGACTGTAAGGGCTTTACATATCTGCTTTAACTGTCTATGCAATTAGAGTGTTAACATTTTGGTGTACGGTAATATGTGTGCACTACTGAACATGTGTGAGCTTATATCATTAAAGTGATCATAGACTATGACATTACTACAAAAACAAGTTCCATTAAAAACAATATCATAGGATTAAAAAATAGAAACTGAAATTAAAATCTGAAAACAAACAAAGACAAACCATCAACACTTCTTGTGTGATCTTGTCCAACTCGTACAAAAAGTTTGTAGACGACAGTGGTTGCTGTAGAGGAGAAGAATATCACCGTTACAACCTGACAGTGAAAAGGGAACACGGCAGAGCAAAACGCTCACGTTTTTGTGAGTTTTTGGTTTGATTGTACAAAACATGTCCCTTACACTTTGTGTAGACTGGTTAGGAGGGGGCGCTTTCCTTTTGAAAAGTGCATCAGAAATGGCTTCATATGGCAGGTTGTCATCTTTCAATATGGTAAAGAGAGGACTGTCCCATCGGTTTCTGGAGTCTGGGGCTTCAAACCTCAGCACTAAAGCATCAAAGCTACAGAAAATATGACACGCGTCAGGAAAATGTCATTGACAAAACTTGACAGTGTTCTTTTGTGACAATGAGAGGCCTTAAGGTGGATTCAAAAGTTAGACAAAAGGGTAAATAAATGGAGTCGTACAATGATAAATAACAGTGAACATGCCCTTTTAGTGTGTATGTGTGTGTGTGTGTGTGTGTGTGTGTGTAGAGGCTCCTCACTTACATGTCCTGGGTGTACTGCTCAGAGGAATCTCTTTCAGTATTCCACAATGTGCTCACATCATCCGACGTCAAACAGTACACCTGTATGAAAAAAACAGATCAAGTTATTTTGGACTGGATTCATTCATTCATGTTGTAGATATTCTAAAACAGCATTTCTCTATTAAACTTACCAGGCAGTGTGGTGTCTGTGCGTGTTTGATGAGGCAGAACAGTTCATACGGTAACCTTGAAAAGCACATCAGCCTGAATTTAAAAGCTTAAACGACTTTTTAATGTCAGCACAGCACACTATAGTTAGCAAGACTTACCTTTAATGTAATTCAAAGAATCCAAAATGACAATGTCATCCTTGTTGACTTTCCTAAACAAAAAGATACGTAACGGTTTGAAGGGTTGTAACAGAATAATGTCAAGAATTAATGTTATTAAAAAAAAAACAGACTGGGAAAACACACCTCTCCACTTCAGCTTTCAGAGCTGCTCGGACGTTCTTCTCTTGTTGGGAATCTGCAACACATCCAACGAGGTGATATTGAAAAATAGTCTGAAGACACTTTCAAGGAATCTAGTTTGCTTGTAGACCAAAATGTAGATGTTAAATAAAAACTGGAGATCTGCAGCACGTATAGAACAAATATTCCCTCTCACAATTTATTTCCGTGATTACAATTCAGCGATTCTAAATCACAAAATATAGACACCTGTTCGTCTAACTCAGTGGTGAGCCACCAAGAGGAGGGTAGGCAGCGTTTTAGAAATGTAAGTGTGCACATGAACGCAACAATGTAGGTGTCTGCTGCTCTAACACCAAAAGATGAACACCATTATGTGGCTACTTAATAAGTGATTAGTTTTGCATGTCCCCTCAAATTACTTGAATTCTGTTTCCAGTTTCTTTGTTAGTGTGAAACAGTTTTTAGGCTGCTGTATTCTTTTGTGTTGTTCTTTTGTATTACTAGTGTTTTGATACGATTATTAGTGCATGCATGTGGGCTGTGCATACCCTAACCACCTGCAGGAACTTTGGGGGGGTCCCAAGTCTCTGGCACCCTTAACTTTGGGGGGGGGGTCATGAGCTGCAAGTTTGTGAACCCCTGATCCTAACTAATGCCATATGATATTTTTTAAAGACATTTTTTTTGTTCAGTTTCCCAACTAGTTTTCAGATGTTTATTTCTAATGTGTCTTCTTCTGTGCGCAAGAGAGTAAAATAAAAACTACAATCACAATCTATTTGTACTCGAACAGGCCGAAAAAAAAAAAAAACACTTATGATGACCTCACAGGAAAATAAAAACACAGGTTCCTTTCAAGAACAATATCCACTATAACCCAGTTATATTCTATTGTTATTAGTTTAGAGTCTTCCTCATAGGACAGTGATGACACTCACAAACCAGACTTCATGCAAACGTCATTAAACTAATTGTATACAAAGCTAAGGTTAGCTTCACTTGCCTGAGTAGACAATGTTTTTCTCAGCGTCCAGGGATTTCTCTCCCACAACGTGAACCTTTCGTCCTGTGTTCTGTTCAAAATGCTCCTTCAGTTCTTCTGCCCTCCGTGTTTTGCCACTACAGGGGTAACCACACATTACTACAAGAGGCATTGCAGCTACCCGGTGAGTCTTACTTGGCTAACTACACTACACGGTGTGATGAAAAGCATGTTTCCACTCTAACCCGGATGTGAAGTTGGAGGTAATTTCATGGTGCGACCGACAGGGGGCAGCAGAACCTCGTTTCAGATTTGATCAATTCTGCAGTTGAATACATTTATTTTTTTATTACAGACACTCTTATAATATACTCTCTAATACAAATAAGATATTTTAAAATATATTATATATATATACACAATCAACAAGAAGAGCCGACACCTGATATGGCTTTCAGTTTGTTTATTATCATGTGGTGACACAAATATTTAAATAAAATAACTAGACATAAGAACAAGTCAGTGCATTTGGTATTACATTGTCAAATACAATATAAATTGTTTCACAGAAATCAACTCTCCTCTTCATCCGTAGCGTCGCACATTGTTCAAGCAGCATCTCCTTCTCCTCTAATTGGAAAGAAAAATAAATATCAGTTATATATATGCTGATTTGTTATTATGAAAATGACAATGGAGGTAGTTTTTTTGATTTACTGACATGTCCGGTGTCTGTTTCCGCTGTGTGAGCTGTGCAGTTTTTAACATCTGAATCAACAATGCGTGCAGGTCTCCTAGTCGGTACAAAGGACTTCTTACATCTCTGTCTTCAGTAGGAGCATGTACATCTTCAAAGGAAGACTCCATCAAGGAACTATCCGCGACACTTTTCTTTCCCATGAAATGACCTTAACAAATACAATAAAATACAATCTTAATAGCCTACGGACTTTCCAATTTTAAAATAAATAAATCACAACTCACAAGCAAATTAATATTTCTCTTACCTGTCGCCCACAGATTCCCCCTCGGATTCACCTTGATCTTTGAAACTTTATTTCTTAATTCAGTCAAATCAAAAGTCATCGAAGAAGTCATGGCCATGTATGAGATAAGGATGAAATAAGACAGGAATCCTGCTCCGAAGGTCTTTGCCAAAATGCCAGTCATTCTTCAAATGTGTTAAGCAATTGGCTGACAATTCATTAAACTCTCTTCACTCCTCTGTCACTTTGGGGACTTGCAGATATACTGCCATAGGGTGGGATTGACATTCTGATTGGATGAAGTCATCCATCCGTGGCTGGTTTCTTATAGGATGAAATGCTGCACATTACGAGTCCTTGTGACTTCTAATTTGCCATATTTAGTGACACGTATGTGACCTCAATGCAAAATCTCTAATTGTCACATCTAAATACCGTTAAATACTTCCCCCCGGCTTCCAGTGGTTTCATACACAAACCAGTCCATCACATAAAAACACTGACACAAATATTATATTAAATGCACCAATTTAATTTGAAGTACTTCATGTAAACATTACAGCAAGGCACATGGGCCACTGCAAGCTGAATAGATGTAATGGCTTTAAGAAATGCTGTTAATCCAGGGTTCATTGGCTACTGTACGTACATGGGTTTCTTTCCTAAACAAGTCCTCACTGTACACAGTATCAAAAGTACAAATACCTTTCAACGAGCATTACAAAGTAACAAGTCTTGAACAAGTCATTCTTGTCAGCATCTGTGAGGGGAGACAACAGGACTTTACAGAACACAGAAACAGAGAGGCTCGTCTAGCACTTGAATAAAAAAGTCAATATGACCCTATAGCCTCATATCCTTCACAAAATAATTTATAAAATTCAATAATGTGGGATAATACACATTTTATAAACTCATTTTTACATTGCACTTAGATAACCGGCAACTCCTCAAACACTTTCCTTTTGAACAATCACTGCCTTTGCCCTTGGAGGTAGGAACTGTCACGTATTAAACATAAAACAAAGAGGTGCTGCTTTACAAATCAGGACCTGCACACATCAAGTATCCACCATTATGAAAGGTTTTTCCTCTGAGTTGATTCCTACTAGATTAATAATAATTATTATTACTATTATAAAAAAAAGAAATAAGCAGCTTCATGTTAACAGGTCCTGATTCATAAAACATGATCTCTGTCCAACTTCACTTTCCAACCCGCTCTGCATCACCCAAAACAATATACCCTGATTTGACAGAACACCGACGGCTCACCTGCCTGTAAAAAATACACTCCTGGCAATTTGAGGTATTTTCAACACTGCTGCACCAAGCACCCTATACCTCTCAATGTTTCCCCTGAACACTTAGGGGGGGAACGACCTTGCACCAAACATGTTCAATAAACATGAAAACAAAAAAAGCATTTCAGAATGCTAAAATACATCAAAAAGAAAGTCAGTATACCAAAGATGGCAGAAATAAGGCTTTTAAGGTATTACTGAATTAAGATATGCTTGCTATAAATGTCAACTAAATGTCTAGGTGTGTACTGTAAATTAAATGCAACACAGTCATGTGATAGAAGCTGCAAGCTGAATACCATCAAGGTTATTGCGTGTTGCATGAAATACTTCTGACTAAATGCAAGAAATTGACATTACTATTGATAACAGACTATAATCCTGTATACTTCACTGTTCCATGGATTATTCAAAGCTAGACCTACTTATACTGACATTCCTGAGTCACCTGTCAGGCTGGATGCAACAATCGGAGGGAAAAAAGAAATAGAAATAAAAGGCTTCGCTATAAAGTGTGCGCAGTTTGACTGGAAGGCAAGATTAATATATTACCAACATGCAATGTTAAATAAAAAATAATTAAAAGAGCAATATAAATCTATGAAAATACTGTACTTTTACCTTATGCTATCATTTTTTTTAAAATACTGCACAGGCTCTGAACGAGAGTAACATTTAAATTAAGAGCCCAAACACTTTGTACCACCTCCATGCAGAATATCAAACTTTCTGTTACTTTCACAGACGACATCAGAGCAGCTTTAAAGAGGTGTTCAGAACCACTGCTTGTTTCTGAGAGACGTTCCTCAGTTTTAAATTTATGTCGACTGTCCTGTCGCATCGCAGAGCTGCTGGCTCTTTCCCCCGCGAGGGCTCATGATCATTAAGCGTGGGTATCGAGGCTTTCTCCTCATCAGTCACTGCATATCTGACTGGCTGACTCTCCTGCTTCTTCTTTCTAACCGCTGAAGACGACTCTCCTCCTCCTCCTCCTCTTCCCTCTTTCGCAGGATCCTTTACTTTGTGTACAATGAAAAGGTGTCTGTTAAGAGACAGCACAGATGTGAAACACAGGCCACAGTGCAGGCACTGAGGAGTGTTTTCATCCGTTTTATGCTGCGGTATGTGCTGCAGGAACTTTGTGTTATCATCTGTGGTGAAACCACACTTTGAACAGCGGAAATTGGTTTTCAGCCGCTTCGCTGAAGGAGCCTCAATACTGGAAGTGTGATCCTGCTGCTTCTCCTGTGTGTCCACGGCAGGTCTATCTGACACAGGCTCCTGTGAATCACAGCGGTCACATGTTTTTTTAATAATCACCACAATCATTTGCATTGGTGTCATTTTTAAATAATAATAACACTACCTTTCTTACAGCCTTTTTTGACTCCAGGGTGGCTGTTTTTGGCATTTGGCTGAGATCAGGATTTTTGATTCCGTGCATTAGACTGATGTGGTTCTTCAACGTAACACTTGTTGTGAATATTGTCTTGCTGTCAGTGCAATACCTGAATTGTGAAAACATGAAATTGAAATGAGGTAAATCATAACTTTTATATAGTAGTGGAAACAGCGACTTTAAAAAAAAATATTACCAGCAAGTGTAACTTTTCTTTTTTCCATCATGGTCAATGCGAATATGTCGTCTCAGACTGATCGCAGCGTTAAAAGACCGCTCACAATGTCGACATGGGTACTTCTTCATTGACTGAAAAATAAAAAAGAGAAAAGTGTTACCATACACGCTTGACAAAATGGACAGAGGCTCGTCTAGCGGCTTTCAGCAATTTGTTCAGATAAGAGCTAATAATGACTTCATTAGCTTGCTGTCTACTTGTGATTTTACAGGACTGGTTTCTAGCAGCACATCAATTAATGCGTCACACTCAGCTACAGGGGGTAGGTCTCGATTTTACCATCTCAAATCCTAATAAAAGTCTAGATGACAAAATGAAAACAATAAAACTTGATGGTGAGTAGCTGAACGTTAGAAACAGGACAACACTTTAGGATATGAAACACAACATCCGCAGCATGTCTCGTGCCACAAATGCTAAGTTCAATTTAATTAGCACATGACCTCAGGTAAGCACTCACTGTCCTGAGACACGTTTCAGGAGAGCAGCTAATGAAGCGCTCAAATGAAAAGCACTTATTTTCTCATTTACTTTAAAGTTTGACAGAGTTAATATTCTGACATTGATCGTGCTAACATGATATATAGTACGAGTATCAGTATTTTTTTAATCTATATTGTATAAATATCTATTGGATATATGAGTTCAACATTTATATATAAAAACGTATATGCTAAATTCTGTAGTTTCAGGATTACCGAACACAAATCTCAGCAGATCTAACAGTGATCTGTAGTTTGACCTCATAAGAGTTGCAGTACAGTGAGCCTACTCATTTCACATTTGCTAGTTATCTTATTGTAAGGCAGGAACCTCGTAAAATATACATCTGAGTGCGGCCATCACTTATGTTTTGGGTGAGCACGTGTTCCGTCATGGGGTTTTCATGTTCTCTTACCTTTCCATGGTTGATCTTCATGTGAGAAACAAATGCATCTCTTTCAGGGAAAAACTGGAGACACTCCCCACACGTCCAGCCGGTAGGTTTTGCACGCGGCCTGCGCTCCTGGTCAGCCTTTTTTCTTGGACTATCTTTATGTTTAATGGGACTCTTGTGTTGTTGCACTGAATGGGATTTCTGGTGCCTGTCAGCTTTGCCATTTTCAATACTGGGCTTTTCTGCTTCTCCGTCATGTGTCCTACATGAACACCCTGCAAGACAGAAAAAAAGGAAATGACTTTAAAAAAAACACATAATAATAATGATTACATTTCAAAAAGTCACTATTAGGGAGTGTTTTTTTTTTTTTAAATAACAAACACTGAGAATATCTCTTTAATCAAAAGTGCAGTCAGGACAAACCTTGAAGTGCTGCATTAACATCTGTTTATGTGGAAAGACAGAGTTGCATTCTGGACACTTGAAAACACATGTAACTCGCTTGTTGGCATTCTGATGAAAATGCTGAAACAGTAACGGCTTTTTCTTGAAAATGGTCTCGCATGAACACTTGAAGATTAACCTGCAAATGAAAAGAGAAAAAAGTTCAGATGAAAGGTTAAAAAAAAAAAAAAAAAAGTATTCAACTTTTAACAGCTAGGTCATGAGACGTTGACTTACTGCGGGGATACTTTGCCAGCATTGTGTTTAATGTTTAAATGCACTTCACAGCTGTCGGGGGTCTTGAAGGCAATTGGACAGATGGAGCACTTGTATAAGACTTCACAGTGTTTTCCTCAATGTGAGTCTTTTGTCCTTGCAGGGTTTTAAAAACCATATCACAGTGAAGACATCTGGAAGGAAATCAAACATTACACCAAAGAACACTGTACTGCAGCTTTCTTTTTTAATAAGGCTGTTCTTTTCAAATGCACGCTTTACTTACTTGTACCAGGCCTTGCGTGCGTAGTGGAGACAGTTTTCCTTAACATGTTTCTGTATGTCTGCAGAAAGACTCGTGGCACCACACTCAGGACAGCTATATGGAGGCTTGTGTGAATGGATGCGTTCGTGAGCTTTGAAGCTGCATTTGTTAGGTAACAGCATCAAGCACACCTGACACATCTGTTTGATATAGGATAAAACAAGAGAGAAGACAACAAAACTCCATCAGATTGCCTCTAAAGTATTATTCAGGTAATAGTCAATGAATAATTTGTTACTCTTTCAGTATAATAAAACCTGAAAAAGCCTTTCAATTGTGAAAAAAAACATTTGAATACACCAACAATGAGTGTCAGCTACATTATTATTACTATTATCAATAATCATAATTTTAGCCTTTTATAAATATCATTACAATGATTATAATAATAAATGTTATAATTAAAACAAACAACTAAACATGGTCAGCCTTGCGCTACAATATTTTTTATTGAAACATGCACTCACTAGTCCTTCCATGTCGTCTGACGGCCTCTGGTAATGGCCTGCGAGTGCTTTGTAGTCTATTAACTGCTTGTTACACTCCAGGCAACTGAGCTGATGGTGAATGACATTGTCTGGATACAGGGGCAGGACAGGTTGACTTTTGAGTGAGGATGACCGAGAGGGGTAAGAGTCCACATTCACATGTTCAGCAGTCAGGGCTAAAAACATTTGCTCCTCTGCTATGGGTTTCATATGAAGCTGAGTGCACTGCATCACCATGCCGTTCTTCTTGTGCTCCCGTGCGTGCGCCAACAGGGCACACTTGTTGAAGAACACCATGGTCTTGGCACAGTGGGTACATGCTACTTCAATGTGGACACTCCTCCTGCTGTAATGATACGCGAGACTCCTCTCCACCCCAAACGAGTCCCCGCATTCGAGGCAGCAGTATCCGCGTGGTGGAAGGTTTATGTTGCTGTCTGGAGGGGGGTTCAGATTGGGAACATATGTAGGCAAGGGGTTGGCATTGTTCAACAGTCTGTTCAAGGTTCCTGCTGCTGTGTTGTGAATAGATGTGCGAGGTGAAGAGTTAGCTGTTTTGACCTGATGCACCAGTGGCACAGTGCTGTACACCGTCGAGGACAGTGCGTGTTTGCTTTGATGATGGGAGGTGGATCGGGCGGCAACTGTGGCAGCAACACTGTGGGGGACCAGGTTCAGACTAGCTAGATGCATGGCTTTGGGAAGGAAGTTTGCACCGGTTGCTTGGCTTATTGTCGCCGATTCTCTCTTTTTTTTCTGCTTATGATGTGCAACAGAACGCTTGGCAGAACCGTTTAAACTATGGAGCGTTGTCGCAGACTGTGGTTTCTCCGTCTTACTTGAGTTTGCTTCTGATCTGTTGTGTAAAACTTTCTGTGACGATGCACTAGCCGGGACACTTTTAGTCTGTATTCCAACGACGCTTTCACCTGCTGCACTTTGAGACCGATGTGGAGACATATTACAGTAAGAATCGTCGCTGATCATACTTTGAGATGGAGAGGATTCATATGCAGAATGAATGTCATCCGTTTCTGAATCAGGCAGCACACTGGTCACTGTGCGCTTGATCTGTCCAGACTTGGTTTTGATGGTCTTGATTCTGACCCTAGGTATGGCGGCAGGTAACCCAGATGTCACTGCAGGGGAGGCCTTGCTACTACTGTCGCTCCAGATGCTTACAGGACTATCAGAGGGTTTAACTAACCGTTTCACAGCTTCAACTGGACTTCTGGGGCTTTTTGGGGATATGGGCAAGTTCAAGCTTACTTTCATGCATTCATTCTGATTGACTGACGACTCTCTGGGATCTGTTCTAGCATTCAGAGCCACGAGAGCCTCAAGGCAAGAGTTTAGTTTAGATGTCTGAGAATTGCCGAGAGGACAAGCAGCAGGAACATCTTTCGTTGTTGCTGAATCGCAGTCGGTACCAATAAAGTTCTTGCTAAGACTTGGTGGAGGAAGAGCACTGTGTCTTCTGGGAGTTCTATCTGTTTTGTTACTGGCTAAGATGCCTAAGTGCTCCTTGCTTCCATTACTTTGCACTGCTTGCCTCTCATTGTTCTTGGAAAAACCCGAGGAGCATTCATCAAACACGGTACGGTCCACATTTCTTGCATCGTCTTCAGCGAAAGGGTCCACCAGAACAGAAGCTTCCGGGAAACAGGGTTCCTTCTGTTTCGGTGCATTCGCTCTCGACTCCACTGGGCATCTTCAGACTCGGAACTGGAGATTGGACTCGTATGAGAGAGCGATTGTGAAAACAGCGGCGTTCCACCTGGTTTGTGCTGAACAGGAGCCTTCCCGAGAAGCTCCCTTGAACTCTCCCCGTTCAAAGCCGAGACCATTTTTTTGGACAAGCCGGCGTCGGCTGCGTCAACGGGGGGCTCTTGAACCCTGAATCCATTTTGCAACGCCGGTCCAAGACCTTCCAACGTCTCGTGCCGACTTGTGTTTTTCACAATAACACTTACAGCGGGCACATCTGCAGTCGCCTTGTTACTCAATAAGCTGTCATCCAGGCAGACTCCTGTGTGTTTCAGCTGACCCTCTCCGGTCTCCTCACCCTGCGGGGGCTCTTTGGCATCCAGCCCTGTGGCATCTGGGATGTCAAAGGCAGCTAGAAGATCATCAAAATCTGGGGTTTTCATGTCACCCATGGCTGTTCAGTGTCATCAACCTGCAGAAAATACAAACACAGATTTACCTTCCTTATCATGTCATTCGTAAGTAAAGACATTAGGCACGGCAGAGGGGGTGTGCAGGCTTACTGGTAAACTATTATCAGCGATTATCAACTGTTTAAAAAAAAAAAAAAAAGCTTGTCAACATCCTATATGCTAACGTTAGCTTCAGCTAGTTAGTCCTCATCCATGCATCTACTATTAATATTAACATTCACTAAAAAAAAAAATAGGCATTCAAAACAGTCTATATTCGTTGCAAAAAAAATAAATATCAAATGATTCACATGCGGGTCTGTTTTGTTGTTGTGACAGCGACATTAGGAGAAAGCTTTTCAGATGCGCATAACGGAGCCCTGGAGCAAACTTAGCTTAGCAACATGCTAACACGCAAATCATTTTGGTACAAAGCTGGGAAAACTCGCGACTTTATCAACGCTTACCATTTGATCCAGTTACGTTTAACATTTCTACTCAGTCATGAAGTTTAGCGAGTGAAGCTGTGTGCGCTTATTCGGTGGTAACGTTGGGCTGAAGCATCATCTCGTAGCTACAAGCTGTTCAGCGGTTCACTTGGTTTTTTTCTTTTTTTTTTCCTGTTTAGGTGTTCGAGCCCTCGGCGCTGTCTTACAGGCGTGAGGCGGTGCCACTTACCGGTTCAGCTACATCCCACCACAAGAAGAAGAAGAAGAAGGAGAAGAAGTAGGGATATATTCCATCGCGTTTTTGTAAGTCGGTTGCCAAAACACACAGACTTTGTCATGATGTAATTGGTACGTTGAAATAATTGGCTTAAAGTACTATTTAATCAAATGGGCCTGTAAAACATTAATGTTTGGAACACTGCCATGGCCCTTGCCTGAGCCCCCGCCCCCATCCCGGTCACTGACACCCTTCAAATATTCCTTCTTAACTTGCTCTCAAAGAAATGTTATAACCTCTTAACCCCGTGCATGAGCAGTGCTTACTGCTCATGCACTTATGTATGCACGTATCCATTTAGGATGCATGCTACTACTTCTAACATTACACTTTTTAAGCTTGGATTATTACTAATACTCACACTCATTTTGTATGCTGTACTATAAGTGCAAAGATATTGGAGCATGCAATGTTTTAGTGAGGGTCATTGTTCTGAATTCCGTAAGACAAAATTGAGGGCATATTACTACATATTACATATTAAACTGACCCTGAAAAGATGTGTAATCGATTCCAGCACAGTTCCTAGACACACAGGCCTGATGAACTTTGACAACAGGTACAAAACAAACAAGTTCGTCAGCCCAAATATTGACTTAAAGGGGGGTAATGATGTAACAGGACATAACAAATAAACTGAGCATTACTGACGTTTTGTCAGTGGCCATAGTTATGTAATCTGATGGAACAGAGCTAAACTTGGGTTTTGACCTATATTTTTATATAGTATGCTGTATATGTTTAGCCTATTTATTATTATTTATTTTGTATTGTGTGAAACAATCACTCGATCATCTACACGTGTTTCATCAGTCTAATCTCCCACATAGATTTTTAAATTAAATCTTATGGCAAACAAGTTGATGTTGAACACTGGAAAGAGTGTCTTGTTTTATTGAGCCAGGCATTTAACGTTATGCTTCAAAATCTGTTCTCATGTCATTAACCTCTGACAGGGTACCCAAGCCTTTTTGAAAACCCTGTGAACCCAAATATACGGCACTTAAACAAGAGTCAATGTTTATCATAAGCAACTGAACAGACTGAGCCCCCATTGAGTATCATGAACCATGGACAAACACCATTTTAAGTATTCAGAGAATTGTTTTTCTGTGACAAAATCAAATTTGGATTGCAGCCAGAACAACTAAAAGTTGCCATTATATCTGATCATGAATCATTTCCCAGAAAACTAAGGTACAGATTGCACTGCAGCGTATCTAATGGACCCGGATAACGATTTTGGGGCGATGACATTCTGTAGTCCTGAGTGCACTAAAACTATCACTAAAACAAATGAGATTCTGTCATCAAAAAACATTCAAGTTTTCTTTTTGCTTTGATCCCTGAAATGACCCTTTGTGTATCCCAACAAACATACAGAAACATTCAAGTCAACTGTATGGTTCACATATCGTTGAGCTATCAAATGTAATGTATTTTTTTCACATGCTTTTTTTCCCAACTATACAACACGAGTTTACTGTTGTAGTCTGATGGAAAAATCAAAGCGTTAACAGCCTATAAAATCAAGTTCGTCAGCCCAACTATTGACTTAAAGGGGGGTAATGATGTAACAGGACATAACAAATAAACTGAGCATTACTGACGTTTTTTCAGTGGCCATAGTTATGTAATCTGATGGAACAGAGCTAAACTTGGCTTTTGACCTATAGTTTTATATAGTCTGCTGTATATGTTTAGCCTATTGTTTTTTGTGGGTTTTTTTGTGTAGCCTGTGTTTTTTGGTGAACAAATAATAAGTAATAATAATGACAATAATAATAGTAATATAAAGATAAAAGATAAAGATACATTTTATTGATCCCCCGTGGGGGAAATTTGTGCATTACAGCAGCTCAAGAAAACAGGGGACGGGAATATAATTATTAAAAATCTAATCAAACATATTTACATCAGTTAAATAAAAAAATACAATAATGGAAAATTACACAGTAACTACACTGGAAAGAGTTAAATATTAATAATAAACACCTTGTATTAGTGCTGGGCAATATGGACCAAAACTCATATCTAGATATTGTTTAGCTGAATGGCGATACTCGATATGTATTGATATGTATTTTATTAACAGTGAAAACACATGGAAAAATAAACTACCTGTTTGTGAATTTAAAAAGTAATATTATAAAATAAAAATGTTCCTTAAATACAATAAAAGAGAGAGAGAGAGGAGGAGCAGGGTTAAGAGGGACAGACAGTCAGTCATCATCAGTGAGATGAGAAAAAGGTGAACTGGCACCTCTGTAACATTATTTTAATGAAACATAAACTATATACATATTAACGATATTGTCTTACCCTATATGTTGTTTGAAAATATATCGATATATCTTAAAAACTTGATATATTTCCCAGCCCTACCTTGTATGAAGCACGTTTCTTAACATGGTTACAAAATGTTATACAAAAAAATACAGACAGATAAAAGGAAGGTAAAAAAAAAAAAAAAAACAATACTGAAAAACATTGATAAAAAAATCGATTGTTTAGCGACAATAGAAGATATCATTTTGAAAAAAAAACTTGACCTTTGACTTGACTTGACTTGGCATTCTGGGCCATTTTGAGTCTGGCTGAAACTGATTAAGATTGCATTACAGTAGTGTGGCGAAAAAAATAAAAGCATGAATAAGTTTGTGCTGATACGTGGGAGACAGGATTGATCTTATTTTAGAAATATGTTTGAGTTGAAAGAAACCGGATTGGAAAGTATTTCTGTGCATCAAAATAAAAATCTGTGTCAAATGTTTAGCTTTTAGTGTGATTTTGATGTGAAGTTAACCAGGCTTGCCATGGAGAGGACTAGATGAATTACTAATTATGACTTCATATTCGTCTTGATTAAGTTATAAAACGTTTTGTGATATCTAGTATAAAATGTTGCTTTTTGAGGCATTTGAGGAAATTGTCTAAACTGTTGGGATTATTGGATTGGAAGGGAACGTAAATCTGTGTGTCATCTGCAAATGAGTGACTGGAGAGACCATGGTTCTGAATGATCTGTGCTGAGTGGTAGCACAGAAATGAAGAATTTCTGCCAGACTTTTTCTACAAGTCAGGCTGAAAAGACAGGTCATCAACTCCAGCTTGTAGACACACAGGCCTGCTGAACTTTGGTTACAGGTAAAATCAAGTTTATCAGGCCGACTATTGACTTAAAAGGGATAATGATGTAACAGGACATAACAGATAAATTGAGTAACAAGGACATTTTGGCCAAGGTTATAGTTATGCAATCTGCTTAACCAAATTAAGTTAGGTTTGACCTCTAGCCTAGTGTTATATATGTTAGCCGGTCAATAAACAACAAATCAGTTATTACATTAAAAGAAGCAAGGGTCATCCTTAATGGTAAAATATTTCATTAATTTAATTCAATATTGCATCTCAAAACTATTATTTTTATTTTGTATTGTGTGAAACAATCACACGATCATCTACACGTGTTTCATCAGTCTAATCTCCCACATAGATTTTAAAATTGAATCTTATGGCAAACAAGTTGATGTTGAACACTGGAAAGAGTGTCTTGTTTTATTGAGCCAGGCATTTAACGTTATGCTTCAAAATCTGTTCTCATGTCATTAACCTCTGACAGGGTACCCAAGCCTTTCTGAAAACCCTGTGAACCCAAATATACGGCACTTAAACAAGAGTCAATGTTTATCATAAGCAACTGAACAGACTGAGCCCCCATTGAGTATCATGAACCATGGACAAACACCATTTTAAGTATTCAGAGAATTGTTTTTCTTTGACAAAATCAAATTTGGATAGCAGCCAGAACAACTAAAAGTTGCCATTATATCTGATCATGAATCATTTCCCAGAAAACTAAGGTACAGATTGCACTGCAGCGTATCTAATGGACCCGGATAACGATTTTGGGGCGATGACATTCTGTAGTCCTGAGTGCACTAAAACTATCACTAAAACAGATGAGATTCTGTCATCAAAAACATTCAAGTTTTCTTTTTGCTTTGATCCCTGAAATGACCCTTTGTGTATCCCAACAAACATACAGAAACATTCAAGTCAACTGTATGGTTCACATATCTTTGAGCTATCAAATGTAATGTATTTTTTTTTACATGCTTTTTTTTGCCAACTATACAACACGAGTTTACTGTTGTCGTCTGATGGAAAAATCAAAGCGTTAACAGCCTATAAAATCATTTATAATGTGTCATTCTTTTACCTGTGACCAAGTTTCTGTTATGGATACGTAAATATCAACCTTAGAGGGAAATAGTTTGTATAATTCTTATCATAAGTATGTTTTTGCAAGTTAATACGGATGCAAAGAAGTTTATTCTAAATAAACGAAAGCCCAGCCATGCTTGCAATTATTTTCTTCCATGTCACTATTTGGAGTCAACAAGTTGCAGCTTAATTCAACCAAAATATGACGGATCAAATTCTTTATGGTCGACACATAATCTTGTTTCGCTGATCACAGCCACCACAGTTTTAATGTGTCTGTCCTCCCTAAATATTGTTGCACCTGTTAAAGTGAGGTCTAAGAAAAGACGCCTCTGTTTAATGACCGTACTCGCAGCTATAAAAGGGGACTGTTGGAAAGCAGTGCACAGATGGAAAGAAATAAGATTCATTTTTTCAATATAAGCTTGTCAATCAACAAGTTAATCCAGCAGACTGTGAAAAGTTTTCCCATTTTTTACTGAGCCTCTATCACCCCAAATTTTAGCTACTCTGATGTTCTTCCAAAAACGTTAACTGAACTATTTGAAACAGTGTCAGATATGTACGTGTCTTTCAGCCCTTGATGTGATAGCAACAACACTCTTACCAAAAGTGATGGGATATGTCTGGTTGCTTTCTATTTTTAACAGTTCTCTGTCCATTGGTTGTGTCCCAACTTATTTTAAAACTTCCTGTATGCATCCATCTTTTAAATAACCTGGACTAGATCCCTCCCTTAGTAAAGTTACCTTTAATTTCTAAAATTGTAGGCTGTATACAAAAATAGTGCCCAAACAATTTCTTTGTAAATGGCTTGGGCAAATAACAATAACAATTATTTTGAAATTCTTTAATCTAGAATCCAGAAGTTTCACAGCACCGAGACAAGCTCTGCTCGGGGTCAAACACAACATGATTATGACTGCTGATCAAGGCATGTGCTCAGTCTTTGTGCTTCTGGACCTGAGTGCAGCCTTTGACTCCTCAAAATTTTATTAGACAGTCTGAGGAACAGGTTAGAGGTTTCTGGCACAGTTAAAGACGAGTTCTAGCCAATACAAATTTCTGTGTCGCTATAAGCTGCTCTTTCTTTTGCGTGGGTATGGTGTGCCCCAGGGGTCAGTCCATTTTCCTTATACATGCTCCACCTGGGTCACATCATACAAAAACATGATGTAAACATAACACAGATGATTCAAATTGGATCAGAGCATATATATTCAATTCAATTCAATTCAAAAAACTTTATTTGTCCCCGGGGGGCAATTCAAAGGCACACAGAGCAGTAAATTAACAACAGTGCAAGTAAACAAAACATTTTAACCTAAATATAAAGTGTCAATTTAAATACAACTTAAAGCTTAGACTTAACTTAAAAATACAAAATATAAAAGAGTAGATATAAGTGGACAGTGATCGGACTAACAGATGTGAACAGATGTAACCAGAACTATGTGCAGTAAACGAGAAATAAATATATATATACAGAACTTTGTGCAAGTATGCAAATACTAAATACTAAATGATAAGTTAATAAGATGCATGGTGAATAATGGAACAACAGAACTAACATAAACAATATAACTGTCAAGGTAAAAATGAGATAAATAAAGTGACCGTAGTGCAATGATGGATAAGAAACAACAGGAATAAAGTTAGCAGAACTGTATGAATACTGATATAAAAGGGATATAATAAAGTGATGTAGTGCATGAGAGCAGATAAAGCAGAGGCAGTTAAGGTGCATGTAAAAAAGAAGTCTGCTTCGTCTGTGTAGTAGCGGTTAAAAGTTATAAACACACTCTTCCTGTGTGTCCTCGGGAAAAACCATGGAAAACAATATATCTAAAGAAAAAATAAACAGCAGAAAAACGCTAAATAACTGCTCTGTGAGCCAGCCGGTCTTCAGCACGAGCAGCGACCCGGAACCGGAAAATGAGCAAACACTGCCATCTGCTGGTCTGCTGGATTCGGGTGTTACACCCATTGTAGACAGTCATGACTCACAGAGTTATTTTCAGAGGATATACTTGATTTCTATTACATTTAAGTATGAAAAATTGCATATAAAGCTTTTTAATTGGATTTTCTTTCTTTTAAATATACAAAAAAAAAAAGTTAAAAGAAATTTTCTCATCATACCTTGTTTATTGTAACAGCCTTTTAACCTGCTCCACAAGTGTGGAAGATCTACTGGAGCTTAGGTCAGCTGGGTCTGTAATCTTGTTAAGATCATTTTCTGTAGACATACTTTATCTGTAGGCCTAGACGAATAAATAAATTTGGTTTAATCCTACTCAATCCTTCTGGTATTTAGTTTCACAAAAAAATAACTTATGATTGAATTCTTTGTAGAATCAAAGGATTAATAAAATATCTATTTATAGCAACTATATTTTGGTATTATTGATTTATTGTGAATTTATTAATGCAGTCATTTATTTCATTTAGGCAGTGTCCATACTCCAAAAGCAAACTTTTTCCACTACAATCATTGGATAGCATTGAAAATGTTATTGCAAACACAGCTGTTCTGGGCTTCAGGAGAAATTCTTTTTTAGTTCATTTCAATTTACACAGAAAGTACAAAAAAAAAAAGAGAAGTGCTTTTGAGTGAAGATTTCTCGTCCATCATGTTGATTAGTCACGTAGGTCTTTGGAACTAAGAATATTTTCCTTGGAAATAACGTCAGTGATCATGACTTTTTATCACTAGTAGTAACGCTGTTTGCAATCTTCGCGGGAGATTTATTTTACAGTTTTATTAGAGGCATGGGTGGAGCAGCCTCCCACAGATAAAGTCATTCACGATTCATCTGCTATCTTTTCCCCTATATTGTCACATATCAGTTTATCAAGCTCAGCAATCACTTTCCATTATCATGCCCAATTGAATGTAGCTGCTTAAGGTCCATGTAATCAATTTTGTTGCATTATCATACTTGTGCCTTTATCCTGTTCCTCCTGACACAAATCACAGCAGTAGCAAAAGTTGTCTGTTAATTAATGATAAGAGGTTTTATAGTGCAGTAGTAGTTTTTCTTGCTGTGTATTTTACAACACAGCATTTGACAGCCTGGTCTAGGAGGACGCACAATGAGTAAGCCATTAGCTCTACTTTTTCCCTCAATTAAGCTCTTTGTTTTGCACTTGTGAACTAGAATTTTTGTAAACCGTTCTTGAAAGATAAGCCACGTGGACACTGCAGACTAATTTTAGATTTTTTTTTATCTCAGATTAAACAGAAACACAGCTTGTTACTTGTTTGTTTTACTGCTTGTAAAAGATGATGCTGCTATCCCAAAGCGTGCTGCATATGGAAGTAAACAGTGCTTGTGTTTTTCAGCGGAACTCAACAAAGTGCAGCTCAAAAATGTACCCTACACCCACGGAAATGGTGTGGACAACCCGGCTTTTAAAATAGAGGTATGTGTAACACTACATTTGGCTCTGTGTGATTAGTTTCTGAAATAAAATGCTTCTATTTTTCTCAGGTGGACAACATTTCTGATACTAACAGCATCAAAAGTGAGACTAAAAAGACTAAGAAGGGACTGGGATCATACTTCAGGTGTGTCTGTTCATTTGATTGCATTGTGTGAGGGTACAGCTGTTTTATTGTGGATTTAATACTTCTGGGTATGCACTTGTAAAGCTAAAAATCTCTGCATTGATGTTGTTAATACTGAAGCTGAATGTACTGCATGTGCTTGATTAACATGCAAAGAGCTATGCCTGTTTTGTGTTTTACTTTACACTTTAAACATGTTCAAATCTTACTGTATTCTATACATATAATACTCTTTGGCGAATAAACTTCACATGCTATTTTAATCTTTAATTGTGTGAAAGACGGCACTTTGAAATAATTCAAGGGACAGATATTTGATCATATTGTTTACACAATTTGACCTTACTTTTTTATTTAACCTCCCATCCAGCAATGTTACAAAGCCCCTTAATGCCACAGAGGATTACGTCAAGGTTCACTCAAAAACCTTCAAAAATGTCGTGCTGGCCATACTTGGAGCAGGTATTGTTAAAACTCTGTTTATTTGTACTTGAAGTATACACGGTTTTAAGTTTACTCAGTTTTTTCTTTGACTTGGTTGAAGACTATCACAAAGGAATAATGTGATGCTCTCTTATCTCCCAAAGGTTATGTGGCATACTTCATCACAGCCTGGGTTATGGATTTCCAAAGGGCCACCGCTCTTGTAGTCCTTACCAGTTTGGCTGTTCTGTCCAAATCGTATGATCTCCTGAAGGAGTACAAAGGAGAAAGCATCATCAGGTGTTTCAGACCCGCAATTAGATGCTTTCAATCTAATTTGAAATGGATGAAATGGTGAGTGAGTAAACTAGTTTAGTTTGTGATGACCAATCAAACGATCATGAGCTTCACATGATTGGGTTTTTTTTAACGGGTGGGGGGGTGTGTCTTTTTATTTTCTTTACAGGGTTTTCATCTTACTGATTGTGGTTCTGCTTGTGGTGTGGCTGGTCTTAGACACAAGCAAACGTCCTGAGCAGCTTATCTCATTTGGAGGTGTGCTCATGTTTGTCCTGCTTATATTCCTGTTGTCAGCACACAGGACTGCTGTGAGTTTTTTTTTTTTTAACACTGACTCTTATGGATGGGTTATAACTGTTGTGACAAATGTTTCGTAACATACAGCGGCCTTATGGCTGATCTTATCTAAAGCATGTTGTGCTGAGATACCATTTGGCCTTGTGCACCTGTCATTAAAAGGTTTAACAAAAGGGCTTCCTTGCAATAATGATCCAATGGCTTCCTTATTTTAATTTTGAACTTTTCAGGTATCTTGGAGACCTGTGTTTTGGGGTCTTGGATTGCAGTTCTGCATCGGCCTTTTCGTAATAAGAACACAACCTGGACTGATAGCTTTCAATTGGCTCGGAGATCAAGTGAAGGTGGATGTCCTCCTTATGCTCTATATGTAACAAACTGTGTTAGAACAAGATGCTTTTCTCTACATGCAGGTTTGAAGGAAAAAAGGCGCGCAATTTTCAACAGTCAGCAGATTGTTTGGCTTTGTTTGTGGCCTCAAATTCTTCAATTGCAAATAACATGAATAGCTATTAAAACATTATTATTATTATTATTATTATGAATCTTAAAACCAAATGATGTCCATGTTGTGTTACGTTATTGTTATCAAAATGTGAACAGTCTGTCTAATACAGTAAAAGTAATGATCTTTCTGGTCTGTATAACAGACTTTACTCGTAAGACATGCAGTAAAAGTCTCCAGGGTGCAATATTCTTTAACTGTAAAGAACATAAGTGCTTATCTTCAAAGCTACCTTATCAAGCTGTACAACCTATTCCTTAAGCTTACAAGAGTTGAGTTAGTGTAATTCGGGCACATGCATATGGCCTGTTTATCACCTCTTAATGTATAATCCAACCTATTGACAGTTACAGATTTAGTTTCATGACTTCCTGTTGTAAAAACCATATCATAGATGAATTAAATGAGGAAAGAAAAACACTTGATATAATACAACCATGTCTCCTCTTTGTCTTATACTGACAGATATTCCTTAACTATGCCAAAGAAGGCTCATCCTTTGTCTTTGGGGATCGCCTCCAAGACATCTTTGCCTTTCAAGTAAGTTCATCAGAACTTTATAATATTTACTTTCCTCTTGTGTTGCAGATCAGTTCAAGAGATGGTCACACCTGTTTTTCATTTACAGAAACAACCACAGCCAGCCAACATTACAAAGTTAACCCTCTGCCAATGTTATCTTTATTATACTGTATAATGTGAGAGGCAAATTTGTGTCACAGTTTGCACTAAAACATCCATCCAAATGGACGATAAATAGAATAGAAAAAACAGGTATACAGTAGGTATCAGGAATAGAGAAGGAATGAGATAAATATTTGTATTTAGCTGCATTGAAGTGAATCACAGGCAGCTGGATGGATGTCAAATCCCCATCTTTTGATGCATTTAGAGTTGAAGAAATTAAAGAAATGGAGAGAATCACTTAAAGGCTGAAAACCAGAGAAGAGGAATGCCTAACAAACTGGAGTAAGTGGGTGAAGGAAACAGATGGAGTGGAATAATAAAATGTAAATAAATAGATTTGAATTAAGAGAGCCCTGAAGGATCCACCCCTCCTCTCTTATTCTTATCTTATTTATTTATTGCGTTTTTCCCATTTTGACTCTTTTCGATGTCCTCCTATCTTTACTTTATTTCCTTCATTTTGTATGTAAAACTAATAAATGTTTAAGTGTGCCAGGATGAACAAAATAAGTGATGACATTTGATAACATGTCATGTAAAAACTTGCAATAAATGAAGATACAAAAAGTTGATCAGTGATTGATAATACAAGCTTTCTTCAATATAGGCACCTAACCAAAATAACACGTTCCTGAAATTGTATGTTCATGTTAAGTTTTAACTTCTTTTTCAGGCTTTGCCCATCGTTATCTTCTTCAGCTCTGTGATGTCCGTGCTTTACTTCTTGGGGTTCATGCAGTGGCTTATCTTGAAGGTAAAAAAAAGTTTTATATTATGGTATCCTATAGGTCACTGCAGGTCTGCATGTATTCTACTTATACCTGCAGTGATATACTATGACCAAGTGCCATGTATTTTTGTCCACACAGATCTCATGGGTTATGCAGATAACGATGGGAACCTCTCCCACAGAGACCTTGAGTGTTGCAGGGAATATATTTGTTGGGCAGGTACTCTAAGCGAGACTTGATGTCTTTGCAACACTATGATTACATTTACTAAACATTGGTTTTATTACAAATTTAACAATCATTCATATCTGTGTTCAAAGAAAAAAATACACAAGCTCTACTTGATGACTTTTTCTTCATGTGTTTGTGCATCAGACTGAGGCTCCGCTGTTGATTCGCCCTTATTTGAAGGACATGACCAAATCTGAAATCCATGCTGTTTTGGTTGGTGGATTCGCCACCATTGCAGGCAGTGTCATGGGAGCATTCATCACATTTGGGGTGAGACAAAACCGCTGTCATGACATCACATCATGTATCCATAGACATAACATTTTGAAACTGAAAAACACATAGCTAGTGAGTCTGGCGCCTAAACTAAATGCAGCATAGCCATGGACTACGGTCCAGGAGCGAGAACCCTTTGATGTGACGGTATCAGCCCAACAACAGCAATATTTTCACCAATGATTATCCTGGGATGAGTGACTTATTTAGTCAATGAAACTTTTAACTTTTACTTTTAATCAATTATTTATGGAAACCGTTACTGTGTTAGCAAATGATTATGTTTTATTCCAGCATGTAGAGATAATAAACAATGGGTCCAAGGAATATACTTTCCCGCTGAAAACAAACTGAAATCTTTCTGGAGATATGAATCTCCAGTAAGAGCCAACAAAAGCCGACAAAGTCTGAAAGCTATTGAAGTTTGATGGACAAATGCCAGAAGATTTCTTGATTCCAAGATAAATTTGCATCATATCATATCGTATAGTTTATGGTTGTCTATAAAGGAAGTTTCTCACAGATTAACCATATTACTGCCATCCAGAAGCTAAACAAGGCAAGTTATAAAGATAAAAGAGTAACAACCGTTTGTAATGAGAGGTTGATGCGCAGTGGCTCTGCTGTTGAGCAGGCACAAATAAATAAATACAGTATATATAAATATTATGGCCAAATAAGGCGACTTGAGAAAACGCCACGTTGTTTAAATCAGTGTTAACTTTCAATAATACATGACAGTACTGTTATTCATGAATAGGAAAGGTTTGACTTCAACGTTAGTAGAGCTGTGTTGTAATTGTTTATCAACTCGTCCGTTATTTTATGGTGATGGTGATGTTGCAAGACTTGTTGTTTCCCAGAGCTGAAGCTGTGCCTGTAAGCTTATGTTTGTATGGACACGGTGTAAAAAACACAATGAAGCCCCAGTTGCTTTAATTGCCGTGAGGTTTAAAATCACAACAAAATCTTATGTTATCTTTGACATGTCATTATTTCAAAAACAGTATGTTTTTGTATTATTCTTTTATTATTGAAGGTTTTTAAAAATAAAGACAGAAACATGCATCGAATAAAACAAAACAACAACAAGAAAACAGAGTTCATACAGGAGCTAGATGTTCCTAAACCTTCATGCAAATTCCCACACCCCCAACATGTTCCTGTTCTCATACATAAATACATATACATACACACAAATACACACATTAACATACATATAAATAAACATTATTAAAGTAAGAAAAATAATTTACCCACTGATATATTGTCAATGTCCACACTAACTGAGCAATTGCTTTAAATATACATATTTAAATATACAATATGTAATAAACTCCTGCCTATTTGCATAGGCCTTTAAATGTTAATATCATATGAAACTCACAGATCAAAAATAAAACAAGAGTCATGTCATAAAGTAAAAGAAAAGGCCCCCAGATCTTGTCATATTAACACACAGAATATGTTGCTGTATATGACTCTATCCAGTTCAGCTATTTTTGCAAGTGCATGGTACCAGTCTTGAATGATGGGAGCTGAAGCACCTTTCCATCTACAGTACAGTGTAGCTTTTCAGGTAACTGCAAAGGCACTTAGAAACTCTTAATTGTTACACAATCTCACACCATGTGCAGGTAGGTCATTGCCTCAGCTGAATATGTCCAACAGGTGCCTGTTGGTCTGAGTACAAATCTATGTAGTTTGCTAGGATGGAGTCCTAAAACAGTAACTCTAAAAATGAAGAATATTTATGACAATTTCTGTGCTGCTTTTTACTGAAACGGCACCCCAGCCACCCTGGATTTAATATAACGTCTTCTAATTTTGAAGATTGATGCCTCTTCCTTGATATCAGCCTCTGTGATGGCTGCTCCCTGTGCCTTGGCCATCTCCAAGCTGTCTTACCCAGAGACAGAGGAGAGTGCCTTCAAGTCTGACCAAAGTATTAAAGTGGATTGCGGGTGCGTATATTTGTCCTTGTTTTTGTTTTCTTCTCAAAAATGATGCTCCTGCTTTTGAGAACTAAATTTGATTTTTTTTTTTTTTTTTTTTAAACTCCTAGAGATGAACAGAACATTTTGGAAGCTGCCAGCAGCGGAGCATCTGCTTCAATAGGTCTTGTAGCTAACATTGCTGCAAATCTGATCGCGTTCCTTGCCATCCTGGCATTCATAAATGAAGCTTTTAGCTGGTTCGGAAGTATGGTGGGATATCCTGAACTCACATTTCAGGTATGTTTAAGCCAAAGACTGATAATGTAAATGAGACATGCACCATTTTTCTGTTACTTTTAGAAGGAGATAAATCATCATCATAAAATTGTACTAAATCAAAAGAGGTTATCTTAAATGTGCAGGTGGTAAAAAGAAAAAGTGCCTACAATATTAATATCCAACAAGATCAGAAGCACAGAAAAAGAAATGTATAAAATGTTCTTTAACTTTTCATGTGTACATTTTAAGTAGGAAGCTTGCTTTTAATAGATATGGCAAACAATACCAGGATTAGCTCATGTGGTTCTGTGTTCACAGCTGATTTGTTCGTACGTCTTCATGCCTGTGGCCTTTATGATGGGGATACCATACGAGGACAGTTTCATTGTGGCTGAGCTAATCGGCACGAAGCTCTTCCTCAATGAGTTTGTTGCTTTTGAGAAGTTATCTGAATTGAAACTCAACAGACTCGCTGGTGTTGATGAAGTTATTGGTGGTTTAAAACAATGGATTTCTGTGAGTAATTCATAATGTCAGTTGCATTTGAGGATATGATAAAAAGTATCAATTCATTGCCGCATTTTTGAATCATGTACGCAATTTTAAAATAACTTTAAAATCCTGATTTTGTTCATGGTCATGTTTCAGGTCCGATCAGAAATTATCACCACTTATGCTCTTTGTGGGTTTGCCAACCTCAGCTCTCTGGGTATTGTGATTGGAGGCCTAGGTGAGTGTGTTTTTGTAATGTTTCCACCCAGAACATACTCTCCATGATGTTTTCTAACACGTTTTTTTCTCAAAGCGTCCATATGCCCATCCAGAAGAGGCGACGTCTCGTCCATGGTGTTGAGAGCTATGATCACTGGGACTTGTGTATCTCTCATAAATGCTTGCATCGCAGGTACAGTAAGAGCTTTTGGATAGAACTGGCAATGTACCTCAGCTTGTTTCTTATTTCAGTATAACTAAGTTTCTCTTTCACCTGATACCTCAGGGATCCTCTTTGTTCCTCCACTTGACTGTGTCGGGCTGTTTGCGAAAGCTGCTTTCAATGCCTCAGATTTAAACATGGAAACTTGCTGCCAAGACCTCTTTCACAAGTAAGGACAGACATTTTTTTTTGCTATTGCCATGATATTAAATATTTTAATATATCTCACTGTTATATCGTGCTCTTTGATCTCACATGTTACATGAATTCTCTTGCAGCACTGATGTTGCACACAATGGGAACATCTCATTTGAAGGATCTTGGAACAACGTAGTAAATGTCACTTCGTTTCTCTCTAACTGTTGTACCTGTTGTGGTCTTTCTCAAGCAGCTTGTGTGTAGAGGAGACAAATACACGACACTGTCTGTTTTATACTGTAATTTCACTGTAATTTGTACATTTGTGTCACTGTTCATGTAAAAATTTAAAGCTTATATCCATGTCTTTTGAAGGTGAATGTAACTGTCTTGTATTTTGCTATAAATTTATTTGGGTTCTGACTTTTTTCAAAGTCAAAAAGATTTAAAGGACATACCTTAAAGGTCACACATTATTCTCCATTTCAACCAGCTCCCCAAAACATGTCTGTGAAGTTTCTTGCTCAAAATCCACTCTGATCCTGTATTTTATCATGCCCAAGCTTTAAATGCAAGTGAGCTGTGTTTGACCAGCTCCCCTCTGAAAGAGCTTGGGGGCCTCAGACTTTCTCTCCATTCCCTTTTTATTTATGGTGAGAAGGCAGAACAAACACCAAGCTGTGGATGTCAGCCACCGGGGGGGGGAGGAGTTACTGCCCTTTGTGATGTCACAAAATGTCCAAAAGGCCTGTTTGAGCACACATTTTCTATAAAGTGGAGCAGGGAATTAACAGAGAGGATGGACTTTTGTCATGTAGGGGGTTTGTAGACAGACAAGGGTCACCTATACTGTAAGTGTTAGAAAAACATGGTTAAGTGTATTTTGCATAATATGTGACCTTTAAGACATGTTTACCTCAGGAAATACTCAGGCACCAACAGTTTGATGAAAGTAAATATTTCAAATAGATTATCTTTGGTAATTTTCTTTTTCTTTTTCTGTGAAATAATTTTAACATTGTTTTTGTTTATTGTATTTTTGTGCTTTTCATTTTGTATTTTTGATATGTTTGATTTTATTTGATATGTCTGTCTATTTGATTTAATCAATCACTCAATCACACCCAAATCCTATGGGGGGGATATATGTGACCTATACATATATACATGTAAAAAAAAAAAAAAAAAAGACAAGACATGACGTAACATGACCAAGACAGAACATACTGGAAATTACGTTTATTCTTCTTTCTCAATTACTCATTCATTGTCTCACTCATTCTCATGTTAACAATTTCTTCAATCTATACTGCAGATATTTAGTCCTGTGACTTTATGTACACATAAATACAATACAACACTTTTCTTGCATGACATTAAACCTCAACACCAACATCTGCTTTTCTAAACTTTCGCTTCATTTCAATATATTTTACGCTTTTGTGTCATTGCAGTCAATTGTTTCACTCTTGTTGGGTTAAGAGTGGCAATTTGGACTTATGTGAAGACTGATTAATCATTAAACAATAATGTTTCCTGATGTTCCTGAAGTTTTCTTGTCAGATTTTGATGACTTGTTAAAGGATTCATGTTGGAATTCAAACATGAATACCTGTGCGAAGTCCTGCTTGACAGAATATAGTAAATTATATTAAAGTCCATGCTGGCATAGCAACTATGTTTTTTATTTAAATATGAAACCCTTAAGATAAGTCTGATTACTGCTCACCAGCTTTACACCAACAAAAGCCCCCTGTTTGGATAAAGAGGTGATTCTCAGTGTACATAGACTTCAGAATTTACACAGGGAGCCTTACTGAGCGACAAATAGGCTTCTGAAAATTATGTCAGTCTGCCTTTAGCCCACAGTCCATAGGTCAGGTCCAAATAGTTGTTATATGCTGATTCAGAAGCTTCCCTTCTACTTAAGAAAACACATACTTTGCATGTCAATTAGCTTGAGCATACCATAGTTAAAGAGTTTACTGGTAAGCCCCTTATTGCTCATTGCTTTGCATGTGACATTTGCTGGAAAAACTGTACGAGGACTGATTAAAGACACAGACACACAACATCAAAAGACTTAAAGAAATACTACAAAATAATGCCGAAAACAAGGTGCTCACAAACATCTTTGAACGAAAACAGAGCTGTCAGTCAACAGCATGAGCTCAACTGTTCTGTAAAAGGAAATGCTGCATAATCAGTTCTAATGGAAACAATAAATCCATAATAAACATTAAGTCCCACCAACATACTGTACATCACAGATAAACATGTAGTGTTCAGCATGGACAGATTACCTCAGCCCCCTCTGTTTCTGTGGTTCCATAACTATTCAAATTAAACTACTGAAATGATTTTTAAAACAAAAACAAGTTTCAGTGCATATCCTATGTCACACAGTTTGGTGATGTTTTGAGTTGACAAATGGAGCTTGGAGCTATTTGTCAACTTTCAGAGTTTCAAATATCTAAGGCATGTGTTTCAAACGGTATAATATGCACGTTTTGGCTAACCTTATGTGGCACAGTTTTTTAGTTTTATTCTAAAATTAAAATTAAAAAAACACAACTGTTTTTGCTGTTCGGTATCTTAGGGCTATAAAGTCGTTAAACCCATGCACATTTCTGCAAATGTCCTCATAAATCTTTCACTACAGAAGGAGGATGGATGTCTCATACTGTAACTGCAATGCTGACGGAGAAATTCACAGTAAATTTTTATGACAAGTCAGGTCAACAAACCTCCCTTTTCAGATAACCTTACTCTTCAAGTCTTCTTAGAAACTGGAACCAACTGGTACCACTTAAACATTCGAAGCAATAACATCTCGCTTGAAACAAAAAAAGGCACTTTTTTTCTACCTCATCTCAAGGGCAGCAGCAGTTTCTGTTGGCTTTGGTTTAGTGTCGGATTTATTGTCCTCTGTCTCCTGAATCTTTTTAGTTACCTTTGGGCTAGAGTTAGTCTTTCTAAGCATCTGCGGGCTGTGTCCTTTCCGCTGCAGCTGTGGGCTGGAGCCCAACTTGCGGTTGAGCAGGGGGCTCCGGGAGCCCTTTGTCTTGTTGGGCTGCAGACTATCCACTGTCTTTAACGGTTGCAGGCTAAGCAGTCCACAGTAGTAGTTGCACTGATGGGTAGTCAGGAACTGTTCAAATACTTCTGGTGAGCCGTTTTCAGTAAGTCCTTGATATCTGAAAAACAGAGCAGAACTTATACTCCAGCTATTCTATTAGAAAACAAATAATTACATGTGAATGTACTGGTATGTATACAAACCCTTTTGACTTTGTCACAACTCTGATATTTGTCATCTTCGTTTCAACACCTGAAAAACAGATACAATATTTATACAATATAATTCCCAATAATCAATAAATGATTGCTTCAGTTATTACATTGTGTGTCTTACCCTCCAGCTGTGTGACCAACAGATTTCCATGTGTCCACTGATGAATCCAGTGTTGGAAGGTGCAGCATTTCTGCTCCACCTCAGAAGCAGTTTTTGTAATCAGCTGGCCTTTAGGATCCATTGTACAATACTTGAGGAAGTCACCCTTGAGATCAGCCTCCACTGTGGCATATGGCACAGAGTTTGCAGGCCGGTACATCAGGTACTGAGGAATCACTCTGTGGGCATCACATGAAAGTTGAAAGTAGTGTGTTGTTTAAAAATAGTGTGTATATATATAGTAGTAGTAAAATGTATTTTTGGTCTTTTATAACTTTATTACAGAGATAAGATAGATAGATGGATAGAGTCAGAGGGAGAGTGGGGAATAACATTTTCGGATTCGAACCTGGCTGCCTCTGCACATGACGTGTGCAAACTAACCACTTTAGCCACTGGCGCCCCAGGTTTTTTTCTATATATACATGTATACATGTACTTTTTTTTATCCATGTTTGCATGACAGCTGAAGAGAGACAGGGAATGTTAACAGCCTCTGTACGTGGGGCGTTCAACATCGCCGCTAGGCTACACGGCACCCTCATTTTTATGTATGTTGATAGAAGTCTATAATCAGAGCTACTGTACTTACTCTAGTGAGTAGCCAAAGTTCTCTATGACTCTGGCTTCAGCTGCAAAGATTTTGCAGTATTCTCGAGTCATGTTTTGGACTTTGCATTCCTGGCAACACACAAAGAAAATAAATCAATGTATGTACAGAAATCGTAATCTCGACTTTATTTGGTGCAATCATTAACAATTATTGGTAGATACAAAGAACCACCACTCACCTGCTTAGTAATCTCCAGATTTCTCTCTGTAAGGTTGCTCTCCTGTTTGGTCCCATATGCGATGGGATTTTGGACTTTGATCATGCAAGCGCTTCCAGACTCAAAAATGGGATCAAGGCCATAGATGACCTTCACTCTGCTGGCTTTGTGAGCGCAGCCCTCTCCGATGTTCGCCGCCTCGGTCATGATGCGGCCAAAGTACTTGCCGCCCCAGTTGCCACAGTCGGCCAGACCTTTGGTGAACAGCAGTGGCATCATCTCGATCTCCTCTCCGACTATAGGAAAAAAGCGAACCGGTTATTTCAAAAAGCTTTAACTGAAAGAAAATGTGAGAAACTATGTTTTTATAGCTGATTGAAAAGTGTTACCTTCCAAATCATCTCTTAAGAGTATCTCAGATAGAACTGTAAAACACAAAAAAAAAAAACACTCCTAAAAGCACAGTTAAAAGGTAAAATGGAGACTTGATGTTATCAGCCAATCAGCTTCTTACTGTCTTCACTGAGAAGGAAGTCAGTGGTGTCAGTCCCATATTCATTCTTGATGGTACAGCCATACACCCCACAGTCTGACTGGACGCGAGAACAATAGCCAGAGCTACCTGGCTTTCATCTCCTCCACTGAAAGAAACATCAGGGGAAAATAAACAATTATGAACAAGTCACATGGAGGACTCATCAACAACCCTCCAGGTGTCACTGTAACACCAACTTTCATGTTACGTGGCACAAGTCTGCTGATGCAGCCGAAAGCACAAATATAGATCTTTAATGCCCCCTGCAGATGGGAAAAATATTGTGTCAGGTTAGAGTTTCTGTGTCTAACCAGAGATTCACCTCTCTGTGGCACAGCTGTGGGGTTCACAGTCATATGAGCACGATGTCACTGCAGTGAGAATATAAGAATGAAAGGAGGCCATGGACTCTGCACTCCAAATCCTTGTATTGTAGCATTATTGTTTCATATTTGGAACGTGTCCATATTGTCATGCCTTGCTGGAAATCCTCAAAACAGTAGCAGGAAGAAAGGGAGACAAGTAATCATGTTAATGCCTACAGTATAGTGAACAACATGATTTGTGGAACAAGTGGTTAGAACAGTATTAACACTGTGACCAAGGAAGGGGATTTACCTTCTCTTCACTTCTAGTATCTCAACCTCATCTCTGAACCACTTTATGGTGGAGTCGCTGAGCACATTGAAGAACTGGCACCACAGCTTCAGGTGTCCCGAGGCATCTGGGAATGGCTCTCCCCTGATCTTTCGGATGACCTGTGGAGCTGGTGGGTGCGTGTGAGAGGGGGAGAGGAGACCAAAGTAAATATATACTGTACTGTCGAGTAGAGACTGTCATGTGTTTCCACTTCCTCTGACACAGTGGTATAAATATCACACCTTTGTTTTGACCAACTTTTCACATTGAGAGCTTACCAGGAAAACTATGATAAGTAGACTGTGTGAGTGATGGAGGATGACATGTTAATCATTGTGTCAAAAAGAAAGTATACTGTATAAACTAGGTCACAGTGTTTGATAGAAAAATATGCTGAACTTGTTTAACTTTTTTCGAAAAAAAAAGAACAATCTTTTACGCAGATGATGCCATGTTTTTACCTTTCAAAGGGTCCAGCTTCTTTTCTGTCTTCTCCTCTTGTTTGGTGCTAGTTTGATCTTCTGTGGGCGGCTCCTCAACGACCTTTGGCACCTCCAAGGTGATCTTTCTGCGGGGCAGCAGTGGGGAGCGCCTCTCCATAGGTGGGGTATTCTGTCCTGTGGGAGCTTGTAGCAACGCTGCTCTGCGAGCCTGGCTGGGCGACATGTAGGGGCTCTCTTTCTTGCCCTGAGTATCCAGTGCACTGACCACAGCTCCTTCTCCGTCCTCTTTTGGTTTCGGGATGAATATTTTGCGACGAGCTCCAGAGGCCAACTCTTCTGGCGTGGCAG